ATTCCACGGTAAACAATTCCACTGTCTGTCACCAGAACCACTATCAAAACTACCGCGATCGCAATGATCAAGTGATTTGAAAGTTATTACCAAGGTTATTACCTTGCCAACCACTTGCGCTGAGGGTCACAGCACCTCCCGTAGCCTATAATTTACTGGTCGTAATTCTTTGTCCACCTTCCTACCGAAGGTTCCGATGGTAGGATCGTGACCAGCTAGATGTGCTACCTCCTGAATGCAGAATCAGCCGGAGAGGCTGAAATATGACTTAGGTCATAAGCAACACTGAGCAGGGAGCGCTGCACGGCAACCAGTGGTTTGAATAGGATTTGGTAGCGATTTGACAGCTTTGCTTAGAGGCACGTGGTCATAAATTTATAGTACAATCATGCAAAATATGTTAACATTTACGAATTGCAAAAGCAATGTCGCTGTAAACTGGAAATATGTCGGGAGATTCAAGCAGGAAGGTTTTAACTCCTATGTAGTTTTTTACCATGAATTTACATAATTATTATGGTGGTAATGGTGGTAATGGCTCACAAAATACAATGTGGTATCTGGCATAGATACGTGAAGAATCATTGACCTTTTCCTCGAAAATGTAAAAACAATGCCAAAAGTTATATTGCTGGTCAATATAACTTTTGGCATTGTTTTTACATTTTCGAGGAAAAGGTCAATGATTCTTCACGTATCTATGTCTCGCTATGTTCCTCGCTAAAGCACTTCACACCATCACCCCGGCAGGCGGTGGGCCTCCCAGCCACCTTCCGCGCGGTGGGGGGGGGGCATTTTTTGCCCCCCCCCCTCGTATCTCCGAAACTACTAGACGGATCCGGAAAATTCAAACGGCGTTCGATAGCCCTGTCAAATTTGTCGACGGAAACCAAATTTCATTGACCTCGGGGTCACCGATGACGTCACAGGTCAGGTCAAAGATAAAATGTTTCACCGTTCACGGGCTTCTAGGGAAAGCGCTATAACACCGAGTAAAACGCATTTTGTCGAAAATCAGCGATAAAGCGTCAGTTGTCTAGTACATATGTTGCTATTAGAGGTCACTGGTCATACCAGGTCAGGTCACAGGTCAGGTCACCAAAGGTCACCAAGGGTCACCACATGAACCCAACTTTACTAAGGTTGTGCGATGCATGTTTAATGGCCAGTTTTTCATTTCCAACTCAATGGTATTGGTTATCCCGCGACCGCCTGGGGGGGGGGGGTCGGATCCGACCCCCCCCCCCCTCCGTTTTTCTTAAATAACTCATGAACTGCTTGCGCTATCAACTTGAAACTTGGCATACCTTCTCCCCCATCAATTTGACGTCTCCTGTGCAATTTTTAAGAAAAAAAAATCATTTTTTTTAGATATATCGATTTTAGTGATGTAACTGCATGGCGTTTTCAGTCAAAAAATGGTAAATGTTTTTTTTTAAGCAAATTGCAAATTAAGGACATAAAAAGACGCAGCTCAACGAGTTCTTTAAAATGGCTATCTCGGATTTTCCATAAAATGCGTTTTTCACCCCTAAATATTCAAAAAACTATATTTTTTGGAAAACAGCTTATACAATCCAAAATTTTGAGGATTTCCCAAAAATCGGAATATATGTCATAGAGCTCTATTAGAACATTAGATGTCTTAAATTTCAACTTTCTATCTTGATTTTTGACCCCCAAATTGTAAAAAATAGCTCCAACATGCATAGGACATGGTGACGTCATAAGCATTTTCGCGAATTAGAGGCACTTCTGAACATCGCATGGAAAACAAATGGCACCACTAGATTCCTGGGACAAAGCTCGTCTAGAAAAGTGCATTTTTATGTCAAAAATAAAAAGTTGAAAAATTGACCTTTTTTCTCAGCAGTCAGCCCTCGTTTAGTTATGTATGGTATAAACGATTTTTTATGCTTTCAATGCACACTTATCACTACCACAGTGATTTGGGGTCACATATAACCATTATCATCGGATTTGGCGTGAAAAATAAGCCATAAAACATGTGTCGCACTCCCATGTAGCAGAAAGTGAAAACCGTGACCTTTCGTGACCTGACCTGACCTTGACCCGTACTTAGTATGACCCCTATACGCACATGGTACCTTCACTAGGTCGTTGAGGTCATTTGTGGTGAGTTTCGAGCAGCAGCTATCGATTCCGCTGTCCGTAAGCCTTATCATGCAAAACCCCTGAATTTGACCTTTGACCTGACCTTGACCCGAAAGTTGACCTCAATCTTAAAATCTTAAGAGTGCTTTGGGAAGGTCTCGTAGAGACCTTTCGAACGCCGCCTCGCGGGGCTCGATACGACCATTGGTTCTCGAGATAACAGGGGGGGGGGGGTCGGATCCGACCCCCCCCCCAGGCTGTCGTGGGTACGGAAATAGCCCAGGCGGTGCCGGGTTATAAGACCATCAGGTACGGTTTAGGTCACTTTCTGGTGGAGATCAGGTCAAGGTCAGGTAAAAAAAGTCAAATTTCAAAATTGATATTTTTCCATAAAATGGATATCGATTCGATGCAGCTCGTCACGGGGAGTCTAATGGTGGTCTTTGTTTTGCGCTACGAGGTCTAGAATTGCTAAAAATTGAGTTTGAAAATTTGACGTCATCAATTTTGAACATTTTTTTCGCTATAACTTGGCCAAAAAAGAGGTATTGATCTCAAATTTGGTATGTAGATAGAAAGCGATAGGGACTATCACATATATTCCGGTTTTTTTCAAAATTCAAAGAACTTTTTGGATTTTTTAGCTATTATTTTCAAAAAATCTATTTTTTATTTTTGGGGGTCAAAATCCAAAAAAAATCGAAAATCCGAAATAGCAGTTTTGTAGCCCTTTTGATTCCACACCTTTTATGTCTGGACCATTTTTCTGTAGCTCTAAAGCTGTAGGCCTGACAGCTCTTCCCGCGAAACCTTTTTTTTGGTCGAAAATGGCAAAAATGACGTCACTCTAACGTCATTAGCGGCCAACCTATCATAGCCTTTGGGAAAAAATTTTGGTCACCATGTGCGCTAGCTACTCCCGGGAGGGTACTGAAAGTTTGGTGACAATCGGCGCAGCGGTTCTCGAGATATATCGAAAAAACTAAAGGGGGGCAAAAAAATGCCCCCCCCCCCACCGCCTGGAAGGTTAATTTCATCGAACCGAGAAGTGGTATCTGGCAGGTGCATGATCAGAAGATGGACATCAAGACGTAAACACATTCATTTATTTGCTATTTGATATAATTTGGAAATACTAAATGCCACTAATGTCAAACTATGACACCTATGTAAGTAGGCTGGGACACATTCATGAGACACACCCATTTATAATACGCCCACCTACATCCACTGGCTGGTCAAATAAAGCCATACCACTCATCATTCCTCTCAGAAAATATCAGCCAACAGACGAGCGGCGCTTGCGACAGCTGAGACCCAAAGCGACAGCTAAAAGTGGCTCGCTGCCTGGATAAAACCGCATATTTACGTTCCAAGTACCGGTTACGGGGCGAGCTGGAATCCCGAGATTTGTCCAGAGGGCGTGAGTAAAGGATTTGTTGCCAGCGGCGGGGCTGGAGCTGTGGGACTGTGTGTTGTGACGTCATAGGGTGACTGGCGGATCTATAACCGAGGGGGTGGGGCTGTCCACTCCTTCTCAATGTTCAATGGGTGTCGGTGACCACTGCAGTGCGGGAGGCAGAAACCACCCAAATCATCATCATCATCATCATCATCATCATCATAATTATCATCATCATAATCATTCATCAGCATCATCATCATTATCATCATCATTATTTCGATTTCCGAAATTGGCAAAATGCTGTTATTTTCTTCGCGCAGAAATAACACGATTTTTTGTTGGTGTAAACACTTACCTCAACTTGCACTATCTAGAGGCAATAAAGAAGTATCAACTCGTCAGGTTTTTTGGGGGAAGGGGGATTTTCTAGGAGAGTATATATCCCCCCGCAGCGACAAACGTTACCTTTCGTGAACGGCCATGTCGACAATGCAGCTGGGGTAGTTCAATGTGACTGATGAAAAACACATTTTACTAAACCTACTGAAATACTATTTTAGTCGTTATCCATTGTCAATGGTTATACGATATATCAGTTTGATTATGGCTATGACTCAGGAAATAGTTCGACAAGGTACGCCATGCACTATAAAACAGCACAGGCTTCAGTACTTGGGACGAGTGAAGCGTAGTTCACACCGAATCCGTATTACGGACGTAGTGAGCTAATCCAGACTAAAAAATGCGACTTTCTTAGACGATGCCAAAATGTGTCTGTCAACCGCCCTAATCTGGCAGCGTTCAGCGTGCTTATTATTTGATAAAGCAGGAAACTCAACTCAACTCATCTCACCATGTAACAGAATGAAACAGAAGCTGTGAAAATTGCACTTCTTGGTTCGACGAGCCTTTTTGATCGATAACATTGATCAACCTGACCATCTTCAAAAAGGTTTACCAGGCGGTCTTCTTCGAAAAGGACAGTCCCTTGCCTGTGCGCCTTCATCATATCCCTGTGTCTATTTATTATATGTCAGAAAACCTACGCTGCCATTCAACTGCATTGCATTGTCATGTGTTCTCTGATGCAGTGACGCGTCACGCCATGGTGATTGACAGGTGTAGCCAGGTGCCTCTGCAGTGATGTTTGTTGCCCCGCATCCGACGATTTTGTATTGCCACTTCTGAGTTCTGGGGTTGTAACTGGGCTGCCAGGCTTTCATTCCTCCAATGACGTCAGTTTTATATTTCAGATCACGTTGGCTCTCCTAGGCCTGACAGTGGGATACCAGAGTTCCATTCCTCCAATGACGTCAGTTTATATTTCAGATCACGTTGGCCTTCCTGGGCCTGACAGTGGGATACCAGACTTCCATTCCTCCAATGACGTCAGTTTTATATTTCAGATCACGTTGGCTGTCTGGCTGTTGTACTATGTATAGGCTTCCATTCCTCCAATGACGTCAGTTTCATATTTCAGATCACGTTGGCTGTCCTGGGCTTGACGCTGGGTTACCAGGCGTCCGGACAAGAAGCCATCAGAGGTCTTCCCTGTATACAGAGACTTCATCAGCTGTTCTGTAGAAACCAGGGAAACACCTACCCAAAGTGAGTTATAAGCCCAGTTTCCATGGACACCTCGCACCTGTGATCCGGATCAGAAAAATTGAATTTATAGCTAACTCAGTCAAGTTAGACATGCTACATGAACATGAAAATAAGGGAATGACTGATTGTTTACGCTTTACACCTTATCTATTTTGAATTAAATCTTGTAACGTAGAGTTCGAGAAATACTATACGATTTAAATTTTGTAATCCGGATCATGAGTGCCAATGGAAACGTCGTCATAGACTACAAATGAGACGACTCAAACGTTGAAAATTGTGGACGAAAGGTAGGGGTTGACTGTCAAACGTTTAGTGTTTTGAAAAAAGGAACTAAAAAAAGGAACGTTTAGTGACCCAAAGTTCAGTCAAAGCGTAGGTAATGGAACAAGAAAAATGCACATGAAATACGACATACCTAGATAGAACATGCCCTTGTAACAAAAATCAGCTGTATCAAACGAAAGTCAACGTAATAAACACTTGAGTTATATTTTTCGACTAGGTGGTAGTCATTCAGATGGCCTAACCTGTTGGAACCAATTTTGTCCTAAATTCATTTATGAGTCATATCAAGTCGACCATGGTGTCTCTGTTGTATGTTTCTGTGGCCCATGCAAGTAATGATGTCGTTGTTTCTATGTTTCAGTGAGCGGATTGAATCGTTCATCGACCTCAACAAAGCGCTCACCATCAGGATGTTTGGAGAGTTTCAAGCTCCCGAGGTCAGCTTTCCGACGATCCAGGCGTTTCGTACTGTCGACTTTCCAGATTATCTACGACCCCAGGACGCCAGTGAAAATCCAGTGACGTCATCCACAGTGTCGCCAGTGACGTCAGCGCCGCGGCGGACTTCGGCGAGGCGCGATGCGAGAGAGCGGTTCGAGGCGGCGAGAGCTAGATTGCGAGCGGCGAGAGCGAAAGCGATGGCGGCGAGAGCGAGAGAGAGCGCGGCGAGAGCGAGTGCAGAGCGAAGAGCGATGACACGCGTTCAGCCGACACCAGTGGTGACGCGAACGCCCACTTTGGGAGCCGCCACCCGGCCTCCGTTCGCCGGAAATGTGTTCTTGAACGGAGGGGAGGAGCTTATAGCGGCGGCCAGCCAACCAGCGACGCGCTACCCGCTCCGTGACCTTGAGGCAACCAATCGGCAGTCAGCGGTGCGCGCGGGGTCATCGCGTCGGCGAATCAGCTCCGCGCGTCGCGCTTGTGGGCGGGGCGGGGACTGCGCGGTGGCGGTGCCATCTAGCGACAACCGCACGAGATATAAGTACACGGAACCTGAAAATCCTCTCCGGCTGCCTGAGCGGAGGCGAAGTGGGGGGCGCCCATCCTCAGCGGGCGCCCCCAATACACCCCAGGTGGCGCCCTCATCGGCGCCCTCAGCGGCGCCCTTGGCGACGCCCCCAATTTCAAAAAAGGTAAGGAGGGTTCACTTTGTCCGGCGCCCAGGTCAGCCCCGCGACACCCGCTCCTGGGGAAATTCAGACGCTAAAAGCATGGGCAAGCGCAGCCACTTCATCGGCTATTGGGTGGCGGTTTAGCGGCTGTAGTATTATGCACGGCTTAGCTGCCAGTTCAGCTTTTGTAGAGCATGCCACCAATAGAGCTTTGACATCGCAAAAGACGGACCACCCTGTACATTTGCTCTTGTTCGCGGTTTTGGTGATGCCTTGTGGCATGGTTACTCGGTAGCATGGGGACAGTCTGACTGCTATGGCAGTTGAAGGGGAGCAAAGACCTCGCGCGTATTTCGCTCCATTTCAGATGTTACTGAAGCATTGTTTTGAATTTTCCTAAAAATTCGTCGCAAACATAACGCAGCACTCAAGCTGGGTACCAAATGATGTGCATCAGGGTGTGAAAAAAGGCACAAACATAATTCAACAGCACTATTTTTCAAACCACAAAACTGGTAGCTATAAGAAATTTCGCTCGTTTTTGACAAGACGCGTTCACAAAAAAGCGAAGCCTCGCAATCCAAGGAAGGTTATGAATCAGCGCCCAACAACAGTTCCAGGAATGAAAATTTATTAGAGAAATAATTGTAATTGTGCCCGCTCCTGATCTTCTCAAAACGTGCATTGAAATCCTCCTATTTTCTAGCTCCCCTGTCTTTGAACTCGCACATGCGAATTTTCTCGATTTTTACGCTCCTTGTAGGCTTCTCCACTGCTGAAGGCGTCTGAATTCCCCGAGTTGGTTCGCGGGCTGCCCCCGACCTGGGTCACAGACAAAGTGTGCCCTCCTTTGGGGTAAAGGGCGTCAGCCAGGGCAGTGCTCCTTGGCAGTTGTCAAAGTTCAAAGTTCTCCTCTCCTGTGGCAGGGGATTCCCGTTGGAGTGTAAGGTCCCCAGAGCAAGGAACTCTCATCAAAGGTCTGTCTGCGAGCGGGCCTGGTGGCGCGATCGGTTAGGGCGTCGTCCCGAGGTGTGGGAGGTACCGGGTTCGATTCCCGGTTCCGGCGTTCCGCGGGCGTCGTCCCCGGCAGTGTCACCAGGTGTGGGGTAGGCTCTCACTTCAGTCGTAGCATGGGGAAGGGCATGGGGACCAGAACGGCGAACTCTCCTATTATTGGAACAAAAAGCGCCCGTTAGAGTGAGGTCTGAATCAAGACAAAACCTGGCCCTGAGCTTAGAAGACCTCAGATTCCACTCATTCCAGGTGTACACCTACTCTGTTGGCCTCTTTGCTTTGATCACCCAGGGAATTTATCTTTCCAGATGCAGGGACCGCCTGTAGAGCGACCTCGGTTACTAAGACGAGGATCTTCCCATAGATAGAGAATCGTGTTAGGTCAGTGTGTTCCAAGATGCTTCTGTGTCGGACTTATCACGACATTGCCAAGTCCCCTTTCTTGGAAAAAGTTTTTACTTGTGAAGCAAGATTTCTCAATGGGATTGGGTGATTTTTAGGGTAAATGTATTTCTCTCAGATTGATTTATTTCGGAGAAACACCGCTCCTTTCAGCGGAATACAAGTCTGTGGGTTTTTCAAAGGACGCAACTTTCTCTTTGCAGACTGGCCGTTCCCTTTCCTTCTTTGTGTAGCTAGAGCACCAGACTAGTTCTATCGTAAAATGGATTCTTCGCACTGCCGTCCGAAAGAGGGCTTCCCCGGTAAAACGGGGGTTTTCGCAAGGACAGTGCCCTTCCCTTTACTTTCGATAACTTGAGACATATATTGACCTGATAAAGGACAGCCAACCATATCCTTGTCCTGGGTGTTTTGTGCGCAGGCTGGTCGGGCGAAATTGTTCTCCCAAGTGGACTTTTGCCGTCAAGAAAAATGTCCAATGGAATTCAAGTACTGGACGAGCCACTGTTAGGGCCGGGGACTGGAAATGTAACAATTGGAGGAACGAAGTCTTGTCCAGCTTTCAGCTAATCACCTGCTTCGCTTTTGCTTCTTGAAGCTTCGTAAGAGGCAGTTTCAGATCGCGAATACGTGTGCTTCCATTACTGCGGGCTCTCGTTTCCTCCAAAAACTGCTGTGCTAGTTTAGACGGCTGGATGGCACTTAATTACGACTCTCCGTGATAACTGATAACGAAGTAAATAGCTGATCACTAGAGACCATTGCTAAACCATTTCATGTGCCTGAAAAAAGCTAACACCTGACATTGAAAGCAGTGCTCGCTATGGACCATCTGAACTTTTGTGAAACAAGGCAATAGTTGCCGTTTTCCTAATAAGAATTTATCTTTTCTTTTAAAATGTATGAGATACAATTGACAGATATCCAGCATGCAAATGTCAAACTCTGAGGATCTTACTATTGATAAATGACATGAATTGTAAGCCTCTTAGGAGCTATGGTGAAAACTTTTAGCTACTAGGTCTTTTTCAATGGCGAACGCTGTTTTACTTTGCGATATGCCCACTTTAACCTTTCCATGTGACTAACCCGTAAGGCCTTTGCGTCGCGATGTTTCCTAACAGTTTGTGTTAGTCTAACGGTTTTCTGATACCTATTTTCACCTAAGAGTATCAGTTTACTACAAAGCTTCCTTGAACATTTTCTTTTTTACCTAAAAATGTACATTTTGGCGTGCTTTTTAGAAATGGATTGATCGACTTCTGTCAGCAGTTCATGTTCACGCTCACGCTTGTTCATTGCTCCTTTTTCATCATATAATTTTTTACACTTATTTGCTGAAAGTAAATTGTCTTCACATACCTAGGCAACTTTCAAAATATCTTTTATGCCTATACAGTGTGTGTCCTAATAATAATTAAGCTAATAATTTAGATCATCAAAAGTAATACTACAAATTATATCGCCTTCTGTAACTAACACTTCCACCAATGGCCACCGCAGCTGCCCGCGCGCATCAAACGCTCCAGCAGTGTCTTCAACAACACAATGGAGGAAAAAGTGGAAGAGCAAGAGGAAGGACCGCCAACAGGTCATCGGAGACGTCGTCAATCCTCCCGGCGCTTCAGTGCCGCCTCAAGACAGGCGATTCCGGCGCCACCCAAGATTGACAAAGGCAGCAAACACTTGTGAGTTTTTGTGCGAGGAAAAAATGTTTTATAAGGTCATTCCAAACAAACATTAGAATCAGATGTCTTGCTTACTAGAAACACAAAAATAACTATAGAATGTCGAAAAATTCCAAAAAAAGATACGATGAAAACATTCAACGTTTTATGAATTTTTCTCAGCTTTTGTGATGTATACATGTACATATATGATATGTATACAATTATACATAGGCACCTATACCAATAGTTTCCTATATATTCTACCTCGTAAACCAAACATGTAATTATTTAGTCTTTTTCAAGCAACTTGAACTTCATGAAATGTGTTAAAGGTAGTGTGCCAGCTTTCTTGGACCGTATGGAGTTAATGGCCCAGATAAGGAGAACCGGATTTTTAGAACTTATCCATACCTTCAAAACTCATGGAAACGTCTTAAATTCTTCAAATTTTGAGTACCCCAGTGCGAAATTCGCCCCGACGGGTTGTCGGTCGTACCCCAACCACATTTCACACCACTATGAACAATAAATGCACACACTGAAATCGCTATTACCGATATGCTCATCCAATCAAGTTTCGATAAACCCGTTCATCATCATCTCCTGCGGTTTCGAACACGCCTGTTAGGTGGCTTCTGATGCTCGTCGAGGTCGGAATTTCCAAATACGCGTGGTGCGTCGGGCCGCGCGCTCTGACTTCGGCCAAGAAAAATGCGTCAGCTGATCATTGTCATTTCTGCCACTTGCGTGTGGTGAAATGGGGTCATAACTTATAAGACGGCTTTTTCATATCAATTATTTTACATAAAATCATATTTCAAACCATAAATTATGTTCGACAGCCAAATAAAAGAAACAATACCAATACGGGCTTACAGTTTAAGGCTCGACATTGTGTTGTCTACGATTAGACAGCTGATAACTCATTCCCGTACATCGTATGGTCGTAACACTATAATGACCTTTGCTTATTGTCACAAGTGCGCCGCATTCGCGATTGTTGCCCGACGCCTGTTTGCAGGTGAGCCCACTACAGTTGTTATACATATCTAAAAACCGAAAAACTTTTAGGCGAAAAAGGCACTATTCCAGGCCCATTTTTGATTTTTTTGCGATATTAGGTAAAAACAGAAGCTTCTTATCCTAGGAAAAATAAAATGGGAAATCTTTCAAAGGTGGCACACTACCTTTAAAAGTGAGAGAGTGTCAACATTTACATGCTTTTATTCATTATTGTCTTTCTCGGCTACTCAGTGGGCAGAAACATGTCCATATGTTATCTCCCTTTTTCTCCCCCGGCAGAACCCTTCTGACCATTTTATCCGTCTTTTTCTTGCTCGACAGAACCTTCTCACCATTTTTTCACCATTGAGCTCACAATTTTGTCCCACTTTGTTCTCACCCGACACTTTCCACATTTGTCACCAGTTATTCTCACCATTTTGTGTCCCTTTATTTTCCCCATTTTGTCAGCCCCTTTGTTCTCAGCTGGCAGAACCTTCTCACCATTTTATCTCCGTTTGTTCTCACCATTTTGTTTCCCTTTCCCTACCCGACAGAACGTTCTCACCATTCTTTCTCTATTCTCACTATTTTGTCACCCTTTGTTCTCACCCAACCGAACCTTCTCCCCATTTTGTCTCCCTTTGTTTTCACCATTTTGTATCCCTTTGTTCTCACCATTTTGTCTCCGCTTGTTCTCACCATTTTGTTTCTCTTTGTTCTCACCATTTTGTCTCTGTTTGTCCTCACCATTTTGTCTCCGTTTGTTCTCACCATTTTGTCTCTATTTGTTCTCACCACTTTGTCTCCGTTTGTTCTCACCCTTTTGTCTCCCTTTGTTCACATCATTTTGTCTCCCTTTGTTCTCAACACTTTGTCTCCGTTTGTTCTCACCATTTTGTCTGACTTTGTTCTCACCATTTTGTCTCCGTTTGTTCTCACCATTTTGTCTCCCTTTGTTCTCACCATTTTGTCTCCGTTTGTTCTCACCTGACAGAGTGGACAGCTGTGAATCTCGGATCGAGATCACGACTCCGTTCTGGGCGGCCAACTCTGCGGGGGAGATCAGAGCCATCGTCAACACCAAACATTTCCCACAGGCGATACACCAGGAGATATGCAAGTAAGTGACGTCACCATGGTGGTCGGGAGTGAGGTAGTTGGTATTGGAAGTGACGTCACTGGTGGTCGGGAGTGAGGTATAGCTGGTATTGGAAGTGACGTCATTGGGGAGTGAGAAATTTTTTGGCTAGTGAGAGTGACGCCATTGGGTACTGAGAGTGACGCCATTGGGTAGGAAGAGTGACGATATTGGCTAGTGAGGGTGACGTCATTTGGTACGTACATACTGAGAGTGACGTTATTGGGTGAGAAGGGGTAATGTGAGGTCACATAGGCCGTTTGGATACTATGTAGATTGGGTTTGATGGTGCCAAGTTTGTCGCCGTTTCAGTCATGATCAATTTCGCTGCATTCGAAACTGTCTCTCATATCACTTTTGAAGGCTACTCCTACTAGCCAAAGGAGATGTCAGCTATCAGCAATTACAGTCAATGATTGGCAAATTACACTGCAAATTATCCTAAAATTACTCGAGACTCGCTTAAAATGTAAAAAAGCAGCGTCTAGCATGGGCAATGTTAGTAACGGTACCGCTACAGCCGCGGTAACAAGGCAGTTCAGAGGTGCTACCTCTTGCAAGAACCCGTAAAAATATCCCACAAAGCGAATTCTGCACGCTGCAGACATTCCCACCGTATTTCAAAATTCCTCACTAAGATGAATTCTCACAGTACAGGAAAATTTGTGGAATTTGTGACAACATCGTGGGACGCGGCAATGTGCTAGGCGCTACCGCTCAGCTTTTGCTAAGACTCTAAAGCCTGCCGCTCTTGTAAGTGCTGGGTACATGCTTCCATCGGGCCGCAAAATCGACTCATAATGTTGCAGCGTGGTATTGCTAAACGTTTGCTCCTAAGACTACTCTTTAGTAGGAATTCGCCACTTGTTTCTATTTCTGCTGAGATAGTCAGTTGACCCATAGCTGCAGCGTGTCATAAGATATTGCAAAACGCTTGCTGTGAAGACCTCCCTTGGGTTGAGACTAGAGATCTAGGGCCTTGCTAGAGATAGTCTGATACCAAAATAACCAATGGAATCATAGAGTGCAGCGCTCTAGGTATATCAAGGACATTGCCAACGTTTTTCCAAAAGGCTACTCTTGAATAGAAGCTCGCGACATATTTCTAGGTTTCATTGGACTGCCCAATCGGCTCATGTTCGTAACGCGATATAAAACTTCGAAAGACACCCACGAACGTGGGTGTCTTTCGAACATATCACGCTCGTGACATACCTATTTTCACCATGAATGTAAATCTACTCATAACAACAATCGCATGATCAAAATACTGCCGTTGAATGGAAACTGGAGACATTATAGCATACCGAGACGGTCAATAGCAGCCCTTAATTACAACGTGGTAGAAAATGTTACAAAACGCCTGCTCCAAGCGGACTGCCCTTGAGGTGAGGCTGGCGACACCGGCTCGCTGTAAGCCGGCCAATATTCTCTCGCAGTACGGCAGACCTACCCGTTACGGCGTCGCTGAGCCGATTTGAGGGATTTGCTCCCCGTACCCAGCACGGCGGCTTAGAGACTGGCCAGGGACGGCTCCCGCAGCAGAGGGAGGGGGAGTGGGGAGGAGGTACGAGTGGGGAGGGTTCAGGGGAGTGGGGAGGAGTAAGGGGAGGGGATTTCCAGTTTCTGAGCGTTCCTGGTGACACAGAGCTACGGCTGAGAAAATAGCACGATAGTTTGCAGACTTCGCGATGTCGTCAGTTTGGCTCGGATCAAACTCATCGAGCCAGAAATGTCGAGTTAGTGGCTGGGACTGTGGCGTAGCCGACTTATCTGGCCTACATCGCTTGTGCTTCTGTTTTTAGCATATATGCTTGTCCATCTGTCTGTATTCATGTACAATGTTTGTTTATCCGTCTGCCTGATTCTCTCTTTCCCTTCTCTTTTTCTTTCTTTCTCTCTCTCTCTCTCTCTCTCTCTCTCTCTCTCTCTCTCTCTCTCTCTCTCTCTCTCTCTCTCTCTCTCTCTCTCTCTCTCTCTCTCTCTCTCTCTCTCCCTACGTAATGAAATATATCACTAACTCATGATCTCTCTCTTTCTCCTACAGGGGCACAAAAACCAGCAGGTGCTCAGGAGACTGCACGTGCGAGCAAAAATACACCTATCACCGCCTGCTAGCCTATGATCCAGAAAATGATTGTAAAGGAATTTTCATAGACTGGTTTCTGTTTCCATCCTGCTGTGCGTGCCGGTGTCCGCCATAAGGGTGACATTTAGTGGGAAGTGTACGAGAATTTGCCCTTAGCGTATAATGGTGATGTTTAGTGTTGTGCTTACCGGAGATCGTCTCTATGGACTGGTTTCTGTTTTCATCATGCTGCGCATATGATGTTTGGCGTAAGGGTGATAATCACTGACAAGTCTACCAGAGATCACCCTTGTCGCCTGACGACATTCATCAAGTATTGAATACGAAAGACTGACATGGAAGGCTAGTAGGCTGCTACTGCGATGTCCACCATACGAGCCATATATAGTGGCAACTCTACCAGAGATCGGCCTTATTGGATAAGGCCGATGTTTAGTGTTGAGACGACGACAGATCGCCTTTATAGACTCCTGCATACCCGATCTGCTGCATGTGCTGCGATCTGCCGTAAAGGCGATTATCAACGTTAATTGCTACAGGATTGACCTTTATAGACAGCGACCTTCGAAAGTGACATTAGTGACAGAACATAATGAATTGTGTTCAAGTATGTAACGATGCTAATAAGAAGCACTGAATGTCAAGGACGTTAGTGGAAAACTGATTTGCCCGACGGTGATGCTTGTGGAAACGAACGATAATTTGTGAAAACGAACGAGGTTGCGAGGGTTGAAACACGAAAATCAACGTGTTTTGAAGCATATGAACGGTGAACGTGTACGCTTCAAAGCATATTTCAAACGAACATTTAACCCGCGCCCCACTGGGGGGGGGGGGCTATTTATAGCCCCCCTCCCGTTTTTCTGCAATAACTTCCAAACGGCTTGACGTATCGACGCCAAACTTTCAGTACCTTCGGCTGCATCAATTTGACACCTTGTGTCAAAATTTGAACTTCGTACCTACCATAGGTCGGCCGGAAATGACGTCAGAATGACGTCATGTTCGGCCGATTTCGACGCAAAACATTGAACCACGGCAATCGCTCCCAAGAGCTCAGTTTTTAAGCTAGATCCAATTTCTTTACATGAGAGGACTCAGAATAGACTGCGCTATCAAACTGCTATCTCGGATTTTCGAAATTTTGAAAATTTTGAAAAATTTATAATAAAATTCAAAATTTATATTTTTACATTTTTTTCAAAAAGTTTTTGACTTTTCAAAAAAAAAACGGAATATATGTGATAGAACGCATTATTATGACTAACTCTAGCAAGTTTTAGCTAAATATCTTCAAAAATGGCCAAGTTATACGCATTATTGCAAAAAATTAACAATTATTCATTTTTCAAATCAACCTTTCAGCACGAATTTCACATCGTACGCCAATATAAATAGCACCATCGTGTTCCTGAGCTCAAACTGCATCCAATAGACACCCTTTTTGTTAAAAAATTTCAATTTCAAAATTTGACCTTTTTTGACCTGAAAGTGACCTGACCTAAGCTAAATTCGACTCAAAATGACCTCGAATGACACAGACGACATCAAATTCGAAATGTTTGGCCTAAATGGACCATAAAACATGTGTCACGTGACCGACGGATGATATAATATTTTCGTGACCTGTGATGACCTGACCTTGACCTGAAAATCAAAGTACAAGTTTGGTACCCTCAGAGTATCTAGAGCATCTGTTCACGAGTGTGTGAACCAAAAATGAGCCTGATCTGACTTGTAAGACGGCGGCCAGAGCCCAAAACGTGAAGAAGCCAAAATGCTAATAGTTTTTACTTTGACCTGACCTGTGACGTCATCGGTGACATCGAGGTCAATGAAATTAAGTTTCGCTCGACAGTTTTTCCGGGGCTATCAGACGCCGTTTGAATTTTGGCGATCGGCCCAGTAGTTTCGGAGTTAGGAGGGGGGGCTATGAATAGCCCCCCCCCCCCAGTAGGGCGTGTTATACGCAGACCCCAGTGGGGCGCGGGTTAACGACAATATGAACAGTGAATTGGTACTGAATTCATAAGAGTAAGTGCAGAAACGGATTTTGTGCTTATTCGCAATGGCTTTTGCATTCCTACGGGTGCCGGTTGCCTATAAATGTGTTTTTTTTTTACAACATTGTATGATTTTCCGTATGCTTGCTGATGCGACATTGTGCGATATCCTGTCGATATGACGTCTTTTCAGTTTTTACTGTACTTTTAAAACAACTTCTTTGCTGAATATCATCTGCATGATGCAAAAATTGAGCACCATTCTAGGGTGGGACACTACATCGAATGTGATATAGTTGAGTGTCACTGGTGTCAGATTAAACGCAGTGTCAGAAGAGTGTCATCTGAGTGTCCTTGGTGCCAGACTAAATTGGGTGTTACATGCGTTGTTTGAAAGTATTTGATGCAGTGCTGTCAGAGATGCATGTATCTGCGTGTCGACTGTCGAGTGCGCTAGTGGTCTGTGTTACTACCGCAGAACACAGTTGGGATCGTGTGGCATTGTGCTTGACCGCCACTAGCGGGCCCTGGCGGCCGACTTGCGAATCAATAGTTCTGAATTTCATCACCAGAGGGCTGAGTGTGCTGGCTATGGTTTTGTAGGCTGACGCAGAACTGGGCCAGCAAGTTGATGACGTCACAGGTTCTATAAATATACCCTGTTGACACGTGTCGCCGCTAACGGCTTTTTACTGAAATATGTGTAAAAAGACGTACACGAGTGTGTTTATCAGAGGTTTGTCAGCCAGTCTATTTTTGGTGGCATCGGTCAGGGCTCTGAAACACCATAATTAGTTCACTGTCCTGGCTTGAATCAAAATCAAATGAATCAAATTGAAAAGGAGAAAAATATCCGTCACCAGACCTAGCTGCTTTGTAGAAGGCATACAAGTTGGATTTAGTAAACACATCGAAGGTGGCGGTTATGTTGAGAAACAAAAAAGTTGGACCTAAATTCCAATTAGCCTAAAAGCTGTGGACAGAACCCCACTACATGGACATCGATGATTTAGTAAGCTACGATAATTGTTTGGCCAATAATAGGTAGTCTATACAGCTCCCATCTTCCCAAAATCTAAGAATGGACTGTCGACCTCAGTCGTGACAAGTCCGTAGTTTCTAGAGGGCGCCCCTCCCTTCCCCTACCCAGGTCTACCGCCCCCCCCCCCCCCCGCTAAGGTCGAGTCGATATACCCCATCGACCGCCCTAGCTCGACACACCTGGTTGGCACGCGATCCGAGCTGCACGGCTGGCCGGACCCGGGTGGTTTATGAAGTCGGATGGCGGAGGGGTGTATCACGACAGGGTGTTGTATGTTGTGGGCTGGTGGAGTTGGAATTCACAACGGTTGCAGTCATAGTTTTAGAGTCACAGTTAAATTTACAGGAGTCGGAGTCACTGGAGTCACAGTTTCACAGTCACAAGAGCCACAGTCATGAGTTTAGGTCACAGTTTCAGAGTCACAGAGTAGGCGCCACATTCACATCAGTCATCATCTTATAAAGATACAAGTGCCTACGGGACAATATTTGGTAGAGGTATAATCGTCATGAAAAAGTCAACAATATTTGCCCTTGACCATTTGTAAGAGACATGCTAGCCCGCGCCGTGCTGGTGGCCTGAACTTTCCGCCGAGTGCTGGGGGGGGGGCGTTTTCACGCCCCCCTCCCCGTCTAACTCGGCTCCTGGGCCACGTAGCGACACGCGGTAAGCGGCAATCGAAAGAGCGTCAAAAATAAGGACGAAAACACTTCGGTCATTTTTTGGGTCAGGTCAAAGGTCAGGTCACCAGAGGTCACCAAAGGTAAAATGTTGACTATTTCAACATTTTGGAAACTGCCAACGGCTATCTCGGGAACCGATAGAGCTACAGCGCCGCGGAAAAGCGCATTCGATAGCCCTTTTACAGACCTTTCTGAGTAATGTTCTCAGATTTGACCTCAGGTCAACGGTTTAGCCTCTAGAGGGCAAAAACTCCAAAAATAGCCGTTTTTACGAAAAACGTTTTTTCGTCAATAACTTTTGACTCATAAGCGCCATGACATTACTTTTGCCAGCATCGTGTTCCTCTTGTCGAGACGCGTCGAATGAACTATTTGTTGACCTTGAAAGGTCATTTTGAAAATTTGACCTCAGGTCAAGGTCATGACCTGACCGAAAAGGGTCATGTTGCATATCAGTCGATCCGTATCGTCGAGCTGAACACATCTGACGTGTTTTCACCGCTCTAGCACGTCTCTATCAAAAGTTATAGCCAAAAAACTGCTGGCGACCGTTCATGACCTGAGATGACCTCAGGGGCACACAGAGGGGTCACAGGTGCATTTTTCCTATTCAGTGTGTCATGTTTACCTATGAACCGATGTTTGAGAGCGTTTTGAACGATATTCGTCCAAAAGAGGCGCATTTCAATTTTCTCCCATTGACTTATAATGGAGAGGTCGCAAAATTGACCTGACCTTAGGTCACAGATATCAAAAATCCGAGATACACATTTTATACATACTGTTACTCATATCAATCGCTGAAAGTTTCAAAGTGATCGTTCAGTCGGTGTAGCTATAGCGAGCCTTTGAACTTTTTCTGAGGTAAGGTCACTTGACGTGACCTGGTGACCTGACCTTGAACGGCCTAGGTCTGAAATTTTCACAACATGTGCGGAAATGATGTAGGAACACGTGTACCAAAAACGGCGGCGCTGCGCGCCGCCGTTTTTGAGATATTCGCGAAAAACCTGAGGGGGGGCGTAAAAACGCCCCCCCCCCAGCACGGCGCGGGCTAGAGAGACGAAAACACTTAGAAATGTGTTCATTTCAATAAAGGACAGCATTACTGATGCAAACAATATGCCTGATTAGGCGGTTCCATATTACATATCAAATAAGAATTTGTCACATATACAAGCTAAACATAATCCTACTATGCTAAAATATTTTATAGATTTGTGACCAGCCCATTCCAAAATCCACGTCCGTTTTAGGTTAGTAGACCAGCCTTGGCTCAATCCCTGTTGGATCAATATCCTCAGGGCAACGGCGTCATAACATTACCAACTGCACGACGAAAGATTTACTCAATCCCAGCTGCAGTGCACTAGCCAAGCTTTGTGTTGCTAGCACTAGCCAAGCTATAGTGTGTTGATGATGATTTGATGTGACGGGGCGCACTAGCAATGGGACTTTATCGCAAGCTATGTGTTGTCTGCGACATGGATTGTGTTAAAACCTAATACAAACGAAGTAAAAAGACAAACAAGATACATGACAACACACGCTGATTATTATAGCAGCATTCAAATGGCTGATCCGAATGGCCTGATAAGCTAACGATCCTGTCGAGACGCAACTTTCCCCGCAACTGTACTGTCCGAAGCTTGCGTTTTGCACCTGTCGTTAGAGCTTGTCCCTGCAACTGCTCGCGTATATCTGTACAATTCTTTAAACATTGGTCGGTGATTTTCGCCCGAAGCTATTGTCCGCATTTTACCACACATGCAGGCCTTATCTTATTTACTCCGTGAATATGACAGCACTTGCTCAAGTACAGCTACTTGGAACAGCTATGAAATACTTGTACGTCTATGAAATACTTGTACGTCTTGTACGTCTAAATACAGAATTCCGCTGTGAAATAAACGGCAATTGAGTGCAAAATGCATTTCTACGCATTCTAGCTCAGCGTAGTCCAACATTCCAAAAATTCATTTCACTCAGTCATATTTGCATTTGCCAGTAGTGGTAGCATCATGCATTTTACCAAATGCCGTGCAAAGGAAGTACGGCACATTATACACGTAAACTTGGGCCTGCCTGCGGCCCAATCCTGGTCCCTTCGATGCCGTCTCTGTGTTTTGGCAGGGGTTGCCTGGTCACCGCTTATTGCCCCGACGGTAAAGCACCGGTTAGGCCCAGCGGTGGGTATCGGTTCAGTGCATGTAGTGGTCACTGGAGGGGTAGGGAGAGTCTGGTGGAGTAGTGAGGAGGTGAGTTGCATGGGCGAGAAGGTATATTAGAGGGGTAATGCGGTCGGGTGGACGGATAAAAGGGTTAGATAGGGGAGTGAGGAGGCTTATTAGAGGGTGAGAGGGTCGGATAAAGGAGTGAGAAGGTACATTAGAGGGATGATGTCTGCCACAGCGGTGAAAGGGTCTGGTAGAAGGGTAAGAAAATATGCAAGAGGCGTGAGGTCTGTCACAGGAATGAGAAGGTATATTAGAAGGGTGAGAAGGTCTGTCACAGGGTTAAGAGGGTCGAGTAGAAGGGTGAGATGGCCTGGTAGAGGGGTGAGGAGGTATGTCACAGAAGTGAGTGAGAAGGTTTGTTAGAGGGGTGAGAGGGGCGGATAGAGGGGTGAAAAGGTGTATTAGAAGGGTGAGAAGGTGTGTCAGAGGGATGAGAAGGTCTGGTAAAGGGGCATGAAATTCGAATGAGGGAGAGAGAACGTATGTTAGAGGGAAGAAAAGTCAGAGGGGCTAAAGGAACGGTAGGGGAGAGCGGGGAGAGTTGTATCATGTCCAAGTTGTATCAGGGCGAATTGTGCCAAACTTATCCAATAGATAGCGCTCGTGACACGACCAGCCGACGAGGTTTTCCGGGCGCCATCTTTCCCTGTTCTGTCGTGTGGCTGGGTGGACGCGTCTCGGGGTGAGAGCCGATTTTATGTTTTTTTAATGTCATTCTAAAAAAATGAGTTGCAAGAAAATGTGTGTTTTGGGCATTTAGATGTGCACGAATTTGAAAGATCTCCGTAGCGGTGGTGAGGGTAGGTTCTAAGGCTGCGTGAGTGAAAATGGATTTCTCCAGCTGTCCGCTGTTTTTGAGCACGAGGATGTTTTTTCCAAGATGGCGCCGAGGTACATGTTGTATCAGAGCCGGGTGGGGTATGTTGTAACATGTATGTATGTATGGGCATGTTGCTTTTGATCGCGAAAGCTAAGCCTTGTCTCGCGTTTGTAGGTAGCTAGTCAATACTCGTTCCATTTCGGCACAATGTGTTGGCTTCTTTGCTCTTAACGGGCCACTTTTGCATCTAGTCTGTTGATGTTTCGTTCGTTTCGATGTTTCGTTCGGATTGCATTGACCTATGTTTGGTCTAATAAAAGTGAAGCCTTTGATTGAGCATATACATTGTATTAGCCCCATTTAATGTTGTTATGCTCAAAACCAGTAGCAAGCACACTCCCTGAAACGTGAAATACCTAGTGATACAAATTACCCCACCATGTATATACAACTCACCCAAGCCATGGGGCAAGTTGTATCAAAAACATTGCTCTATTCGGCAGACCGTAGAAGAAAAACTGGTAGAGGTAGCGGAAAAGTTACTTTGCACAAAAAAGCAGAAGAATCAAGGAAGGAGATAGTATGGAAATAATGAGTTTATCACGGATAGTTACGAGGTTATGGGTCTCGGAGTAAAAACTGATACAACCCACCCCACTCTCCCCTAACCACTACTCACTAGTCCATAAATATAGGGGTAAAGGGGGTTTGTTTAGGCAGTGAGCTGATCTATACGGGCGGCAAAACGTGGGAACATATATTTTAGGAGAGATTCTGTTACAGGGGTCAAGAGGTATGCTACAGGAGTGAGAGCGTATGCGTGCTACAGGGAAGAAGATATCCTAGAGGGGTGTAAGGGTCAGTTAGAGCTCATGAGAGTGCATGATTGTTACTGCGTGAACAGATTTGTAAGGGAGTAAAGGGAGAAGAATTGAAGGATCTTTTAGAGGGATTATGTTATAGTACTAGTGAGCCAGAACTATTTCAGAGCTAAAAGGATCTGTATGGTGCGGGTGAGGCCTGTGAGATGAGCTGGGTGGTGTTTTGGTCACAGCCGGTCTTGTGAGACTTATAGAACTGCAAAATGCCAATTATAGCGGATGTCCTGTGTGTACAGTGAGCAGCGTCAAAGGAAGGACTTGTCCTCGAGACCACTCATATTACGGGTTAAACAATATCTGCATCTGCTTCAACAGGACTTGGAGCTTCTGTAACCCGCCGGCATGTCTTCAGATAAGGTGAGATTGCAATTTTTTGTCGTGTCATGTGTCAACTACCTGGACCTTGGCAGTTGGCATACACCCATTCATTACAGCTAGGATGATAGTACCTATTTTTTGTATAATTTAGTCGGTAATGGTGCTTTTGATTTGAAATTAAGCTCTGACCAATTGAGGTTTCTGCATAGCTAACTAAGTGAAAATGACATACGATGGAACATCATTTACAACGAGGAAACGATATTGCAGAAACCTTGTAACCCATTCATTCGAAATAATGCTAACAAACATTTATTCATTCATAATGTCGTTTCAATATCATCAGCGAATGTGAACGGAGCTCACGCGGATAAGTGCTAATCAAAATTATTATATTTGGCATAGTTAAAACATTTTCAAACGATATTTTTGATGACGTCACAGGTTCCTACCAATCACATTGCGTGTTTCGTTTCTCCTCAGGTGATTTTAGCCTATGGCCTATCGGCGCTGGCCTGTCTGCTAGCGATAATGTGGCAGTCTGAATGCGACCCACGAGATATGGCAGCCCACGATTACGCCAAATTCAAAATGAAGCCGCACAAAATGATGGAATATGTTAGCAAGCCGACCATGCTAAGTACGGTGAGTAAAGAAACAGTTTGGCCAGATTTGTTCTCTAAGGAAAGACTGCTTAACATTTTAGGTTAATATGAGTTATTACGCCGTGATTGTATTGACTTTTGCGTTCTTTGGAGGTTGTGAAGTAATTTTTTTTTGTGTAGAAGTGACCACTCGATGTAGTATGCAGGTTTTTGTTGTGAAACAAACGTATTTCTGTGAAATTCAACAATTTAGTTTAGAGATGTTGGTCGCATACCTATGCTCTAAATTATGCTATATTTTAGCCATTTACGTAATGACGAAGCTCTTAGTTACCTGAGTGATAAATGGTCACAGTTGTTCCAGTGTCTCACAATCTGCTCTCTGATTGGTTGCCGCTGTCCAGTGTCTCACAATCTGCTCTCTGATTGGTGGCCGCTGTCTCAGTGTCCCACAATCTGCTTTCTTATTGGTTGCCGCTACCCCATTGTGTCACAATCTGCTCTCTGATTGGCTCCCACTGTCCGGTGTCTCACAATCTGCTATCTGATTGGCCGCCGCTGTCCAGTGTCTCACAATCTTCCCTCTGATTGGCTGCCGCTGTCCCAGTGTCTCACAATCTGCTCTCTGATTGGTTCTCAGTGGTTCCAGTGGATCCGCGACATCCGTCCCACCGGCCCCCGGTTCATGACGCCCGGAAAAACGTTCCTGGGAGAATTTAACGTTGGTCCTCTCGGTAAGAACACGCCATTTTTGTCTACGTCTTATCCTTTGCATTTATTCTACTTCTAACTTGTTTTCCAAATCAAGCTAATCAAGCTAATCTAGCAAACCAAGAAGTGCAGATAAAAGTATATAACTCCTCTCATAAATCCATTTGTAAGTAGGCAAAAAGCATGTAACCTATTTCTTATGACTCCAGAATAATTCCTTACAAGCTTATATAACTACAAGTACCTATCCAGCGTATCAATATTTTCTACCAACACCTCCCTGATATCTCCCGTCTTTTTCTAGGACCCTACTACATCCTTCTAAACGTCACCGACTACGTCCCCGGTAAGGTTTTGGCGATGGACGCAGATAGCTGGCTGCGCCCCCAGCTCCGAATTGAAGTGGAGGACCTCAAGGATGACGGGTGTACCCTGCACCTGAATATGGTGTTCAACAGGACTTCGGTGCTGTTTCAGGTGAGATGGAGGGTGTCGGTTTGTCACTTTGTGTCACTTTGTACCGTGTTGTGTCACTTTGTGTCACTTTGTGTCACTTTGTGTCACTTTGTGTCACTTTGTGTCATTTTGTGTCATTTTGTATCATTTTGTGTCTAGATGTTAGGATTGGTTGATGTCAGAATGACAAAGTCTTAGCGTGTTAGCATTTATACATGCATACATGCAATTCATGTGAAAGATCATTTAATTTTCTCTTCTACCCGCTACTCACACTTTCCCGAGTAAACTTTTGCTTAGGTACCAAGGTACTACATAACCTGAGCCTGCAGATAGGCATAACAAATCATTTTAGTCACGTGACCTCCCACATCATTTCCCACAGTACACTATCGGCTGGATGGGAAGTCACATGACCCACAACAAGCTCCAGTCACGTGACCTCCCACCCTCTCTCCCCCACAGTACACTATTGGCTGGATGGGAAGTCACATGACCCACAACAAGCTCCAGTCACGTGACCTCCCACCCTCTCTCCCCCACAGTACACCATCGGCTGGATGGGAAGTCACATGACCCACAACCAGTTCCGGCACGCCCTCTTTATGCTGCGTATGATGATCCACCCTGAGGCTGAAGATCACCATGACATCCATCCAGATGACCTACATCATGAGCTTGATCTCAGTCACCTGGAAGAGATGGAGGACGTCGAAGTGGGGGAGGAGGTCAGACTTCCTCTCAGTGGAAAGCAGTGATGAAGAGTGAAGTGGTGGACTAAGATGCTGGACGTTTGCCGGAGGGATTCGATGTTACGGAGGTGTGTTTGATTGATATTATAAGTGGTTGAGATGGTTTAGAGCAGGCCTACGGGGCCGATAGATTTTCGGTGTCTTCGACTTTGACTCCGATTCCTGCTTTTGAAAAACCGACTCTGACTCCGACTCCGGGTAGAACTGTTGTCTCCCACCGACTCAAACTCCGACTCCGACTCCAGAAACCTGGCAGGGCTGCAGAGGTGATGGATATTCGGATGACTCCGACTCCGATTTCCAAAAAAAAGATTCCGACTACGGATCATTTCGACGACTCCGACCATTTCCGACTCCGACTACGCAGCCCTGGTTCATAGGCTTTTGAGAGAGACTTTGCAGAGATGTCGTGGAGAAATATGGTGGAGATATGTTAGAAAGATGATCGAACTGATTCAATCATGCTGGAAATGTCTAAGAGAAGTGGCGGAAGAGTGTCTGATTGAGGATAGATGCTGTAGAGATATTGGTACTGGTTGAAATGGTTAGGGGCTGGTAGAGAAATGATGGATATTTGGTGGAGAAACGGTAGATATTTGGTGGAGAAATGGTCGATATTTGATGGAGAAATGGTCGATATTTGGTGGAGAGATGTGATGGAGACTGGAGATATGTTAGACAGGTGTTGTAAAAAGTTGAAATATTTAGGGAAGGTGGTTGGAGGAGGATGAAGGAGTGACAGATGGTCCTACGGAACATGTTCTGGGATGACGTTGGAGATGGTTTAGGGAGATACGAGAGGGACGCTAGGTTAGCTTGTCTCCGCAGAGCACGGTAGACGGTAGTGATTGCATTTGGAAATATTTTAGGGATATGACGGCGTAATGAGAATTTGATGAGATGTTAGAAAAAACATGCAATCAACATGTTGGAAAAATGTTGATTATCTCCCTGGTGGCGATAGGGATAAGTCACATATACACTTTGATTGGTGACAATGGGTGAAAAGTAAATTGCCTTGACGCTTTGAGGGCCCGCGTGTTGAGCTTAGCAGTTTCGTGATTGGATTTAGGTATTGAATTGAAAAGCGTGTAATTGATTGTTGATTGCAGTGATGTGTGAGTGTTGCGGTGAAATGTACCTACTACCTACTTGTCGTACCTAAGTTTAGTGATCGAAACCTTCTTTAGAGTGAGTGCGGTGACTTGAGGGCAAAATACAATCAAATTGATAATGTAGAAGAATTTGCCATAGTGGGAAATGAACAAGAAGGAGCCTAAGCGTCGCTGTAAGCTGCCATGGTGCCCGCTGCCTACACTGGCGCTGGAATCGCGGTCTCTTAGATGACTCCCTGCGTTGCACTAGGTCCACTTCAGGATTTTCACCATTACGCCCCGTTGTATAGCGCAAATAACGAGGAAATTTTAGTATAGAAGAGACTCACTTCGGGATTCACCACGCTCATAAGGCCGCGTTCCCACTACGACCGTTCAACATCGTAAATTGCAAGAACGGGAGCAAACGGACGAGATCGTTGATCTAGAGACTTTTCTAAAAAAGTTGAACACTTCCCTAGATCTGGTATACGGGGCAAGATGGGGAAACATCGTAAGACATCGGCAAACGGCTTGGACAAAGCCAATTGAGAGGAGCGATGATGAAGGAGGGATCGGCACAATAAGCTATTGTAAAAAAAAAGTTTAGAATACCTATAGGTAGTTCACGTGGTAAAAGATCCCATGCAACTGAATGAATGATAAAATTAGAAAACCTTTTAAATTTATTAGCGTGTTAAAAGCAAGCGAGCATTAGAAAATATATCAACAATGCGAGCGAAAAGCATTCACAGCTGTGATAACGACAATCTATTGACTTTTGAAGAGAAAATGTGTGCAGTTGATATAACTCATTGTGGTGTTGCTGTGAATACCTTCGGGAAGCTGTAACCGATAAACTGCAAGTTCCGATGATTTCTTAACAGTTTATTATTGCAATCCTCGATAAAACATTTAGCAAATTGAAGCAGGCTGCAATGCAACTGAATTTTCCGACACAGGTTCAGCGATTTAGGTATACGAGTACAAGTATACTGAGCCGGCATTCAGCTTACAGCAGTGTCACAGCTCATGTCACCATCGTCATGTGACCACGCCATCTCGTCAGGCGATGCTAGAATTGTATGAAGGCAATTATTGTGGCAATTCATTGTGGACCAAAAACATCAGGTGTGCGTCCTGCAAACGGATTTACGAGACACCATTTGGTCCACCTGAGGACATATCCTCAACCGAACAGACGAAAAACACGAATGAGTTCAGCAAGGAAACTGACACCGTGTGCTCAATGAAGATAAGCGAGTGTATTCGAGCACAACGGTTCACAGCAGATGGTGGCAACTGTCGACGTTTGTCTGACAGCTCTGCAGTGTGGCGTGGCATCACAATGCAGTGGTCTTCCAGAGGAGAACTTGGTCTAACGTTTGAGATCCCAGGCCTGTCTACCTGAATCTACGATGCAACTCTTGGTAGCTGGCGCGCAATCGGATGGCTACTTTGTTTATCTCCGAGATTCTGAGTTCCGGAGCGGTGCTACGAAAAGAGGGAGATGAATTGCAAGTCGCACCTGTTCTGACATAGCGAGGATCATTCACTCAAGAGTCGCATGCGATGTGCATAACAAGGACCAGACAGCCCAATGACAATCGCATGCTTCGCATGTGGTCGTCCCAATCACATGGCGCGGTCCAGATGGCCTTGATCCAGAAGACACTGTGATTGTTTGAGCCTCGAAAGTCGAATGAGGCCCTCAGTGACGATCCGACGGCGGAAGCTGCGTGTGTTGAACGAGGAGTGGCCGGCCGCTTGAGGTCATAAGTAGGTAAATTAATAAATTGCACTAGACCTACGGTAAACCTGCCGAAAAGTTAAGTTATTCATCGCCACTTAGCGCTCGCCTACATCTAGGTATGTATATAATTAGAGTTATGTAGCTTTTATCCGCAAAAATGCACCACCTTTCATGTCTTGCTGCTTGTCCTCTCACTTCGAATATCAAGAAACTTCCCAAAAAGGGCTTCCTGCTCTATGCACTGCCTAAAAATGCTTATTAGCGTCATTTAATATCTGCACAAACCTTCAAGAACGTTCAAAAAGTTGAACACTGTTCAACTTTTTGGCGACCTCACCAACCAACCAACATGGGGAGCAAACCTTCAAAACCTTGCAAATGCCTCCACCCGAAAACACGTGTCAAATACCCGGTTCCCACCACCACCGGCAGAGATCGTAAAAATGCATGTTGTGATTTTGCCGTTCTTGTCGATTTTCTCCCGTTATTTTACTTTACGATGTTGAACGGTCGTAGTGGGAACGCGGCTTAAGTCATAAGGCACGTATGTATTTCGGTCATTGGTCAGAAAATGTGACTGGCAAAAAGAAAGCGGTCAAACCGAACAGGTCGGAGGAGAAAAAAAAAAACTCGTCTTACGCCAGCAGATAACTCTCGATTACGCCGCCCTGGGCATGCTGTGCCGCAAGGCTCAGTAGTTTCCAAAACACCCAAGACATTGCTAGTGCCTTCAGCGCCTGCAGCAATAAGAATACTGTGCGCATGGCTCAGTAGTATCAAATCTCACCAACAGATGGCTCTAGTATACAGCGCCTGAAGCATGCTGTGCCGCATGGCTGAGTAGTATTAACTCTCGCCAACAGGTGACTCTAGTATACAGCGCCTGAAGCATGCTGTGCCGCACAGCGCAGTAGTTTGAAATCTCGCCAACAGGTGGCTCGTGCGTTGTGCGCCTGAAACATATACTGTACCGCACTGCCCATTAGTTCCCTAAACACCCAGCAGATGGCTCACGTGTCGGGCGCCTGCAGCATGCTGCGCCGCAGAGCAGGGTAGTTCCTTTCCTACTCTTGCCACCAGATGGCTCTACGAGTCAACGCCTGAATCATGCTGTGCCGCATGGCGCATGGCCCCTATGGATATTGATATGCAGTTACTTATTTTCCTTCAACATCGGAAGAAATACATGATAAAGAGGATCCACCTGCGCAATGCACATGCTTTGCCGCATTGCTCATTGTATCCACGCCTCTGCACTTTATCACCGAAAGATTCCGAATGGATGCTTGTATGGAGATTTGACGATGGACAGTTTCAGCTAAATAACCTTTTAACGTTAACAAAAATGTGACATCCATTATGCAATATCGTCATGATTTATACAAACAGACTGACATCCGATTCCAGTAAAGCCAGTAACTACAGGGTGATTTTTTTTACTTGTTAAAAAGTAATGAGGTTTAGTGGCGTCAAAATGCAAATATATATTGTAAAATTATATACCAGCATGACGAGCATTCTGGGACATTTTGATTTCATGCATACACGATGTGAAGGAACGTCCATCGTGTATTTTACTTGTGCTTGAAGTTACCCCCCTCTCTCACCGACACGAATCAGCCCGCCTGAGCACGTGCTGAACAGCACCATGGACTCCCATGCTCATTAGGCGGACTGAAAAGGTTCCTATCACCCATTTTCAGCTCTGCCAGATATTTCCAATGTTTTCTTGTTATATCTGCCATACCTGGGTCCAAAAACTAGAAGTCTAGAAAGGGCAGGTCGAGGATTTTGCTACTGGCGGCCCTGGTGGTGTCTGATTCGCTGTTTTTGTTTCTCCCTGAAGACTGATTCTTCAGAGGATGCACATACGCCAGATGGACCGTTTGAAGGTTATTTATGACTACAAGCTTGTTCGTGCATTATTTAACGTCTTTCTGAGGTATCCCCTTGATGATCGTATGCTTCGAACTGCCTCAATGCTTCAAAATCATCGTTTTGTGTCGTTCCTTACTGAACGGCGGTGGACCATGCGTGCCCGATTGGTGGGACATTTTCAGGCTCCACTGGGGCCGAGGCCTTCGGTTAAAAGGGACAAATCATGACACCATACAAAATGTCCCAGATTTATCTATCACGTGCATTGCTTTTTTGCACAAGATTTTTCGATTTAGGGACCACCATTGACGTTTACTTTTTAACAGTTAAAAAAAAATCACCCTGTAATGTATCACCCGCATACACACGCCGTCATTTGTTTGTTTGTTTGTTTTGTTGGGTTAGGCCCTTTCGGTCGACAAGACCATTGCAGAGCCGGAAGGATGATAGGAATTAGGGGGAGACATTGGTCTGGGCAGGCACCCTAGTGAGTCGCCGGGGCTGAGCCCGTCCAGAGGACAGGCCACCCAGCCCCAAGGCACTCACTGCACCCGGCTACGGGGTGCGCTCCCTCAGGAGCAGCGGTGCCGCTCCAAGGGAGCAGCCCGCATGAGATAAAGTTGCCTGCCCAGCCCGGAAGGGGGTTGTGGCGTGGAGAAGGATTTCAGTATCCTGAGGATAGAAGCACGGACAGGTGACGCCGTCATTTCTCGGCTAACAGGCTTCTAACACCCCTCTGCAAACATACCCGCCCGTTCCAGTCTGCGGCGTGGCACCGTATCGACCAGTGCCGTAGGAGCCATATTCCGTAGACTCAGCACGGCCAGGTGAGCCTTATAGGCGCGGCGTCACGGGACGGGCTCATTATCTGCCCTGAGGCTATCACGTGAGGTTGCCGGGGCAGCAGTCGCCAGTGCCGCTGCAGGGTCAGGTGACCTGTGACCTCAGCAGAGCGGGTGAAGGTTTGGATTTAGCTTGGAGCGCTTGAATGCTATTTCTTTTTTTATTGTTCTGCAAGCGGTGAAGATCGAGTGAGTTGAAATCGAGAGAGGAGGAGTCTTGTGAAAGGTAAGAAAAATCGAGAGAGAAAGAGAGAGAGAGAGAGAGAGAGAGAGAGAGAGAGAGAGAGAGAGAGAGAGAGAGAGAGAGAGAGAGAGAGAGAGAGAGATCCTTTTTATTAGTAGACTCGAGGTCCATTAGGAATCATGGGTAATCATACGACCCTCAACTTAAATACAGATTTTGCCTCGGTTTGGCATCGTTATACCGAAAAAAGTTGGTACACGATTGATATCTCTTGCTATAACATTTATGCACCATTCTATTACCGACAGAATCTGTCAACCCCAACACCCTGCTATTCCAGCCCCACAAGACGGTGTTAGCGAATCAACAAACAACACAAAACTAACACTGAAATCCGGCAGGAAAGGCAGAATGAGGGTCTACATCATCTGTTTATGCCTGGCATCCTGGATGGTGGCAACGTCATTGGCACAAAACAAAAAGCGAGGTAAGTTACTTATTTTTCCAATGTGAAGGCATGAGAAGCGTGCCACTGGTTCTACGGTGTTCAATGGTTTTTTTTTTTTTTGATGATACAGTTCGAATTTGTTACTTCCCATTATGGCTACCGAATACGTAAAAAGGCATCCTTGGCTGAATTCAGCAGCAAAATAAATAACAATATTTGTCTAACCAAACAGTATTTTCCTTTTCACTATTGCGAAATAAAAAATCAGAATGTATCTCAGAACGCGGCATTAGCTGTTGAAAAGTGTCATAGGATTGATATGCTTTGGCTTTATCTCATCATTGACATGTGAGTGACAATTCAGTTATCAAGCTGTACAGTAACGTCCTAAGTCACCCTCCAGTTCTCGCCACCGTTAAAAACGTTAAACCTCTCAGAACGAAAAAATACCGGAGCTGCTTACCTACACATGAACTTCAGTTACTTCAAGCTTTTCAATTCCTATTTCATCAATGACGAGAAGTAGGATGTGCAACAATGTAACAATGTGTCTCACTCTCGACTTATTCCTGCCTTTTGTGTAAAGAAGCAAACCCCACGAAGCATTACCACCTCACTCACTCTCTCTCTCCCTCTCTCTCTCCCTCTCTCTCTCCCTCTCTCTCTCTCTCTCTCTCTCTCCCTCTCTCTCTCTCTCTCTCTCTCTCTCTCTCTCTCTCTCTCTCTCTCTCTCTCTCTCTCTCTCTCTCCCTCCTTCCCCATCTCCCTCAGATTACAAGATCTGGGATGCTAGCTATGGCAACCTTACTTGCTTTAGCTGCTCGCTGGACTTTCGGTGGACAAAATTTAACGGCCGTGACCCTTGTCTGGGCCTGTACGAGCCACTAAATAAGACAAATCTGGTGCGGTGCGGAGCCAACGAGATATTCTGCAAGGTGAGACACTTGGTGATGACTGATGAGTGTGGTCTAGCCGAGAGTATTTGTTTGATTGCTAGGGCCATGCTGTGTATTGGATTATGTCGACGGCTCAAACTGTTTCTGTAATAATGGCCGTACTCTTCAAAACGACCTTTCTATAAAGCCTAATATGACAATTTGCAAACAAATTCTGTGTGATTCCGGCCAATAAACGTACCGACAAGTTATCAATGACTTGTCAGACAAGAGTGTTTTCAAATCGCTTTTCTGTCCACCTCTAGGTGGCTTCTGCCCTCTTCTTTCTCCCACAATACGCCCTTCTAACCCCTTTCTTCCCCCACAGGAGGATTTTCTCACCGGTAACGGCATCCTCTGGACAGTCAGTCGTCAGTGTACCTCCATCTGTTACGCCGGCTGCCGTCCGAGGGGGTTTGGAATCACCCATACCGCGTGTACTCGGTGTTGTACTAAGCACGGGTGTAACGATCAACCCCCGAGTCAGCTGGGCAGCGGGCATGGTGGCAGAGGGGATACTCCGTACACCTAAGGGGATATGTTAACGCCTTTAGGGAGTAAACATATCCTCCGTCGTTTCGCTACCGTCGCTTCTCCAGCTGATACATGTCAGCTAATTATTTTGGCTTATGTAGGTATAGATGTTCCTACTTTCGGGCTTCGGCAATGCTTTACATCAGTAGCGCTGAGGAACATAACATAGACATGTCGAAGGTTGTATTGGTGAAGGTCAAGTGGTTAGTTACATATTTTTGAGTTCGGTTGAATAAAACCTAATCTTAGTTCAATAAAATATGTGTGTAGGTGCACGAGTGAGCATATGCAGTGTGTCTGAATGAGGTAGAGACATAATCTATGTACATAGGTAGGTAGATCTTTGTCGTTCGGAGTTTTGCGACAATCTCTAGCCCTCGCCGGCCGAGGGGGGGCGGGTGCCGCCCCCCCCCATAGGTTTTTTCGCGATAGCTCCGAACACGCTGGCGATAGAGAGCTGAAACTTGGCATACCTGACCTTTGATCCAAGCCGGATCTTTTGACACCAACCGCATTTTTGGGTCAGGTCAGGTCACTGACCTATGACGTCATAAGTGAACCTCTGCACGGTCTTCAGATGTCGCAACTTCGCAACGCCCTCACTGCCAGTGGAGATGTCACAGGGAAATGAAACTTGCAGGATCTAGTATCCATTATGAGTCCCACAACTTGTATATCTCGGATTTTTCCTAAAGGTCATATGAGGTCAGGTCATTTTCGTGACCTCACCATTATAAGTCAATGGGGAAAAATGAAAACTGCTATTCTGGCGCCGGGAACGATCTCCAACTATCTCAAGCACACAGAATCGTGATTTGATGCACTCCTTGCAAGGTTAGATGCGTCACTTTTGCAATGTTGACCTTTCGTGACGTCATTTATGACGTCATCAAGGTCATATTAGTTTTTCGTCAATAACTCTTGATCAAATTGAGCTAGCGAGTCGGGAAAGCCACTATTGGACTCAGGAAGGCCTGCCGAATCGAATGATATGCGACATGACCTCTTTCGACCAACTTCGTGACCTGGGGGTGCTGACCTGACCTTGACCTGAGGTCAACACCCCAAGTTGACCTGACCCGGACAAAAAGTATATCATTCGACGCGCCTGAGCGAGGCGAACACGATGCTGCCAAAATCGGCGCTCTGCGGCCGTTTTTTGCGAAGTTATCCACCAAAAACTGAACCGTACCTTGGGGCACTTGACCTGACCTCAGAGGTCACCGGTTGACCTAGGACCTTAAAATCGGGTACCAATCTCTGCGTCTCGTAACGGCGCACACGCTCGTTTTTTCCGCGACGCGCTAGCTCCACCAGGGGCGAAACGGCGAGGGGGGGGTCGTACCCGCCCCCCCCCCCCTCGGCCGGCGCGTATGTAGAAAACCAATAGGTCCGGCGAGGGCTAGAGTCTAACGCTTGAGTTGGGGCGTGTGGTAACGATGTGGGATATATTTGTCACATAAATAATGACAAAATCATTGCTGCCAGAGTTGTATGAGTGATGTAACGAATGAAACAATAAACATATTTCGGTGACGCATGCTCTAGTTTCGAATCTGTCGTTTGTAATGTCATGACAAGTGGTCCATGATGGTGCGATATAAATAATCATGTAATCACCGATATCAATAATCGTATAATCACCGAAATCAATAATTATATATAATCACCGATATATCAATAATCATACAAACACCGATATCAATAATCATAAAATCACCAATATCAATAGTCATATAATCACCGCCATATCAATTATCATATAATTACCGATTATTAGAAGGATGAATAACCTGTTGCTCATTTCTATCAGAAATAGAAAAAATAAACCAATAAATATTCGGGCGTGGCCCTTCTTCAGTGGTACAAGATCACAATAAAACAAGCCACGCCCGAATATATATTGGTTTATTTTTTCTATTTCTGATAGAAATGAGCAACAGGTTATTCATCCTTCTAATAATCTTATTAACAATGCTCAGCTCAACGTTCAAATACCTGAAATTATAATCACCGACATCAAAATTACGAGACATAGGTACATTTTGTACATACCTACCTACTGTTATTACTTTTATTAAAACGCTCGACCGCACGGGGGGGGGGGGGTGCCACCTCCAGGTAGTTTTTTCTGCTCTGCACTTAGCATTTTTAAAGCTAGAAGCATTTTTTCGTGTAGCTGCTTTTCTATCTTTTCTCAGCGTCCACTGAAAATTTCAAGTTTCTGTGGTTTTTGGTTTCGGAGATATGACCTTCTTCAGGTCATGTTCGCCGGTCCCGTAGCTCAGTTGGTTAGAGCGTTGGACTCCGCGTGGTGAGAGCACGCGTTCCCGGTTATGACAGTCCGGGTTCGAAGCGCGACGAGCGCTCGACATTTATGGGCCTCTTGACAGGTATGGCTGCGGTTGGTGGCAGGCCGTAGCCAGGCGAAGTCAGTGAGGGGACCGGCCGTGCGCGGCTTTGTGCGCACGTTAAACTTTGGACTCTAAATTCTGCCATAGAATCGGAATTGCGCGATCGGAGGGTAGAGGACAGGGTCATCGCAACAAGCTTTGCTTAGCGGTGGCTCTGTCCTTGTGAATCCTTCCCATCAAAAGGTTCGGACTAAATTTATAAAAAAATGTCATGACATGATGACCCAAATGACCAATACCGGGATACCATACATCTTGCGTTGGCTGTAGGTATGTCTTGTGAGCTTTTGACACCTTGATCATCGGCTTTTTTGCCAGTGCCCAGTCTTACATCCCGCCTATCATGGCACGTTGTTCGACGATGTACAAAGGTCAGGGTCAGGGTCAAGGTCAACCTAGCGGTCATCTAAAAACATTGCGTTTCAGGCAGCGCTGAATTAACTTTTCGTGAAGTTTCTTTGACTACATTTTTTGGTAAAAACTTTCTCAGTTCATGATCTCATGTAATAGGGACACATAAACAATCGGTGCATACATCAGTATACACACAGACACCCACAGACATACAAACACATATCATTGACCTTGACCTAACTTGACCTGAAATGACCTCAACCAGCAAAAACTTAGTCGGAGACTCGGATAGTGTGACAAAGAGCTGTTCTAGCTTGGCTTGGCAGCGTCATCGGTATGTGATGGGCACCGCACGCGACATTCCAACGATGACCCAAAACAGCATTTGAATTTTGACCTGACCTGGAAGGTCAATGAATGACACAATGAGGTAAAATTGGATGCCTGTTGGTCTTTACCACGAAGCTCTATCGCCAGCAGGAACGAAATTGAGCGGGGGGGGGGAGGGTGGCAACCATCCCACTATTTCCGTTCTAGGATGGGAAAGTGGCATTTGCGGGAGAGGGTTAATCGCTGAAACATTCAAAGCAATCGGTCACTCGGTGTAGCTATGACAGACATTGAAACTTTTTATGAGGTGACTGGTGAGGTCACGAACTCACCTAGTGATCTGACCTTGAATAACCTTGGTCTAAAATTTTCACCATATGTGTAGAATTGATGTATGATAAGGTGTGCCCAAAACGTCGCGAAAAACCACTGGGGGGGGGGGGGTTCAAATCCCCCAGGATGGCGTGGGCTAAACAAAAAAAAATCAGCTTGTAACTTTCCGAGAACTTATGGCGGGGAGCAAAACGCTCCCCCTCCCTGCAGGAGGCAGGGCGGGTCGTCCAGTAGCGGCGGAACACCTTCAATTGAGGGGGGGGGGGGGGCACTGCCGACTTTTGGTTCCATTCTTTCCAAGTGCAGCGCCCATAGGGCTAATGTTGAAATGCCAAATCAAAGGGGGGCACGATGCCCCGGTGCCCTCCCCGTTCCACCGCCTATCCCTATGGGTGGGTCCAACCAATCCAACAATAAGCATACCTACGGGGCGCGGGTCAAAAAAGTAGCCAAGCAGTCGTCATGCCTCTAAATGCCATGCCCCTTCCCTCACAGTCATGTGGGCACCAGCCATGAGCCAGCTTGCCTAGCCCCAACTTTGTCGAAAGTATGTTAGGTATTGACGTCTCTCAAAAGAAATGGTAACCTATGACGTCATTTTCTCAGTGGGGGTTTACAGACAACATGTAATATACCCAAACCCTGATTTTTAGACGTGAAGTGAAGCACGAGTGAATCGTTTTCGTCTCAAGGCCGTGCCGCTTTGTTTAGTTTGTGAGGTGACGCCGGCGTGTAGAGACGTATCGATACGCAAAGCAAAATACATTTAAATTATATAGTACTTTCGTGAAAATTTGTGATTAGTGGAGGTTTGGAGATCTTCGGAAGGACCATGGCGCTGAAGGCGCTGTTTTTCGCTGCTTTGGTGGGAGGTAAGTGTGCAAACTAGGTACTGCTTGTTGTTTCAGTTTGACTTGTGATGTTTTTTTTTGCCAATTTCATGCTCTTTATGGTCGCTGTAAATGTCGTAGTGTTTCTTTTTACTCTGTCTTGTGCTGCTTTCTGTATTATTCACTGTTCTGCTGTTCAACATTAGCATCCTGGTCTGGATAGTTGATTTGATTTTACAGGGTGGTGTGTCACCGCGGTGCTCTGCGGTGTGCTGCAGCACGCTGCTGTATTGGTGTGGCGTTTGAGACAAATTCAGCTTGACCCTTCAGAGTTACGAGCATCCGAGTTTGTTGATGTTTCCATGGAACTCCAACACGCCCCTGGCATGCTGATGCCGTAGCTCCCAGCGCGCTGCAGGGCGTGCATCTTCATGACGGTGAAATAGGGGCCTTGTGCACATTCCATAAAACTTTTTCCATTTTGTAAACAGTATGCATGTAAACATTCTCTACGGAGGGTTGCACATTTCAAATACATTTTTCCATTCTCATTGAGACTTCTGTGCACCTTTTTATATGATAGGAGAATTTCAAAACTCAACAACACTCTGTGGAGGGAGTGTGAGTGAGGGGTGGGCAAATGCCTCAAATGGAGCTGGATCTGGAAATACTGTTCAAATATGTTACATTTCCAATTTTTTTTTTTTTGTATGAGTAATCCAGAAATGGACACTATGGGGCAGGGGCAAACTTCCCCAAACCCCAAAAATTCAATTTCTGGATAAAATCAGGTTTTGTCTCCCTGAGGATATTAAGGGAATTTTGATACTGATTGCTAATGGGTATGTTCCAGCAGTAAATCTAAAAAATTGGAGGAGATTTGATGATTCCAGGAGAGCCAATTTACGAGAAGAGCAGTACCGGGAGCATTTCTGTGAGGAAATCAGCTGTTTGCAGGCTGTAACAGTTGGCAACTCAATGAGTGCCAACATTTATTTTGAGATAAACATTGTTTTCAAATGAAGAAGACTTATGGATATTGGAAATCACCATCAAAAATATATTCCTCAATCCCTGCAATCATTTCCTTATTGCTCAAATCTCACTGATAAATAGTTAATGTTTTAACAATTTTCATTGATGTTTGAAACCAAGATTATGACTATATTTTAAACCAACCAGAATGAGTTAACCTCAACATACACCTCACCTAAACTTTTGTGGTAAATGTATAGACAAAGTACTGTGAAGATAAAACATCATCTAACCTGACCTAACTTCACCTAATGAATTACAGCCTTGAACCTACAGACACAACCTACAACCTAAACGTACCAACCTACAACTTACCAATTTACCAACAGTACTTCATCTACACATGTGCCATTTTTTGTTGGGTTGGATTTTTGAATGTTATGTGTGTGAAAAAATGGCTTAGATGTCCCCACTAAACTTCAATAAATGTGAAAAAAGTGCTGTTATTAACAAGAAAGAGTCTAGAATGATTATCAAATGTATACTGATACACATATTTGTTGGGAATGGAGTAAAATGAGTATTCATAAATATGCAACTGAGCGAGATAGGTATCATTTCTCTTGTTTGTGCCTCTTTAGAAAAAAACAATGTCATCAAAAGGTCAACCAATGTCCAATGGTGTGCTCTGACCGGTTCTCGTCCTTTCAGTGGCCCTGTGCGGCCCCACCATAGTTCACCATGGGGAGACGGGCCGTCTGCGGCCTCAGCTCGGCTCCAAGCGGTGCACGTTCGGGCCGTCGTACTGGTGTGACCACGTCAGGTGAGCTGTATATCTGACCACCTCTGATGGCTGTCTATGTAGTGGTCAGGTGAGCTGTTTATCTGACCACCTCTGATGGCTGTCTATGTAGTGTCTACTCTTGTCTCCTGTTGACCTTTGTATGACCTCTACTGACCTAAGGATACCTGCTGATCTAGTCTCAGTTGATAGGTACTTGATTCTCTGCCTGGTTATCCTGACTTTTTAACTTCTACCGGGTTCTCCTGACCTTGAATTTTCATGCTGACCTCTGCTGACTTATTGCGCTTTGCTAGCTCCTGTTGGTCATTTTTAGTTTTTTTTTACCTCTACTGACCTCTACCTCGATGACGCCGACTCTGACTGACTTTCAAAAACCAACTCCGACTCCGACTCCGGGTAGAAATGTATACTCCGGCCGACTCCAACTCCGACTCTGGTTTCCTAAATCGACTCCGACTCCGGTCGGTACTGTCGACCCGCCCGACTCCGACCGACTCCAACTCCGCAGCGCTGCTGCTGACAATCGTTTAACTCTGTTAACGTCGCCTCCCCCCGTCGCATACCTCCAGCAAGTCGTCCTAGTACGGAAGAGAAATAGACGTACTTGTTAACACCTCCCAATGTTCCAGTGAATCATCCCAACATATTTCAATATATATAATATACACAGTCTATATATCAATAGGTGTATCGTACTGACCTACATACTGACCCTCATATGATCTCAGGCAGCTTTTGCCAAATTGTCAGGGAGCTCAGATTGTTTTTTTTTTCAATAGAAAACACAATTCTAACGAATAGTATTTTAAGTTTTGACAACAAACCTTCGGTTATGACCTACACTGACTATCTGCTAACGCCCGCTTATCTCTGCTAACACCTCCCTATCTCTGCTAACGCCTCCCGTCTCATCCCTCTAGCAAATCATCCGAGTGCGGGATGACATCGTGGTGCATCAGCAACGTCTGGCAGCACCTGGACCTGCCGGAGGACAACGATGACGTCTGCGGCATCTGCAAGGAGATGGTGAAGGAGGCCCGCGATCAGCTCAACAGTAATGAGACTCAGGTCAGTGTGGTGACGAACGGGGGGGGGGGGTTCTTGAAGGCTACCAGTGTTAGACGTTGTAATTGTATTGTATTTTATTTACATTTAAGAGCGATCCACATACAAAGTGCGTGGCGATTACTGCTCAGATGCTACGTTGGTGTCTTGAAGGGCATAGCTCAACAGTAATGAGACTCAGTTCAGTGTGGTGACAAGCGGCAGGCGGGGGGGGGGGGGGCTGAAGACTGCCATGTTAGACGGTGGTGTCTTGAAGGGCTGAGCGCTAATGAGACCCAGGTGCCTTTCTTGACAAGCAGGAGGGTCAGTGTCTTGAGTGAAGGGGAAGGGTTAGTCATCATTAATGAGGGGTTCAAGGTATGAAGGGAAGGCAGTCTTCTTGGGAGGCTAGTATTATAAATTATTATAAATTATTATGATTTTTTTTTTGGGTGGGGGGGGGGGGCTTACAGTGTCGTGAAGGGGAAATCTCTTGCGTCACGTTGTGGAAGGATGCAAGAACTAGTTAATTCGTAGCAAGACACAGATCAATTCCTTTAAGTATGTCAGCCATTTGATTAAACTAGTACAACGATGATAGTGGGGGTCAGAGTAGCATATTGAATAGTCAGTACTTGCTCCCACGTATAATCTACGCACCACCTAGCGAAATGCCGTTGATAGAACACAGTGTCCCAAAATTTGTAGATGTGGGTGGGAAACGACATCCAAATGCAAATCATTTTCCACTCTCACCTCCAGTTTTCAAGCCCAATTTTCCACTCCCAATTCCACCGAGAAGGAGCAGTTGCGGGAATGGTTGTATTACATCTGTCACGATTGTAGATAGATTAATGTTTTTTTTAATCATTTCCCCACTCTTTTTGGGCCTTACCTGACCGACAATTTTTCACTCTCATCTTTTTTTTTTGGTCAGCAATTTTCCCCTCTGACACCCAAGCAAAAATATGATTTTGGTACACTGAATTAGAACACCTATCCGTGACACCAGAGGCTACCATAGGGTTTGTTATCATTTAGGGTCGATAACCCTAGGGTGTAATGCCACGCATGCGGGTATTATCAATTCGCGGTCATGAGCGTAGTACGATATGCGCCGGAGTAAGTTTTACCAAATGCTGCGTGTGTGGTGATAGTAGTTAAAAGAAGTTTTCTTTTCGGATTGTTATTCGTGGATAAGTTTCTCGGTAGTTGTTGTGTGTTGTCACGTTCTAACTTAACCTGGGCCAGGAATGGCTCGTAAGTTTGTCTTCGATAGGCTGTGTTTGTGCTATATTCTCGAATGGAAACTTCACCGTGTTAACCTTTACACATGAATATTCGGGACCATAAATAGTCCGTGATAAAACACTTCTAAACGTGTCGCAAAACTTCCATTTGGCATCCCCACGAACCCAAATGACCACGAGAGCAGATTGCACGCCCTCCAACCCACCTATTTTGCATCTCTAGTACCAACTGCGCCGCGGCCCTGCCGACTGCTGTGAGGCCACGTCACCCTCCACCCCCCCCCCCGCCTCATCCGTCCGTGACCACCGGGGAGGGGGGGGGGGGGGTGATAGGCCTGGGACGTGATTCAGGGCTTCCTGTGTGGTTAGTTCTACCCCTCCCCAGGAACTAACCCAAGTGGCTGCCTGCGGTAACTGGCTATGACTGCGGCTGGGTGTCTTTGTTGTTGGTGGTTTGAGTCATGAACCAAGGCGGTCGAATACAGGGTGATTTTTTTTAACTGTTAAAAAGTAAACGTCAATGGTGGTCCCTAAATCGAAAAATCTTGTGCAAAAAAGCAATGCACGTGATAGATAAATCTGGGACATTTTGTATGGTGTCATGATTTGTCCCTTTTAACCGAAGGCCTCGGCCCCAATGGAGCCTGAAAATGTCCCACCAATCGGGCACGCATGGTCCACCGCCGTTCAGTAAGGAACGACACAAAACGATGATTTTGAAGCATTGATGCAGTTCGAAGCATACGATCATCAAGGAGATACCTCAGAAAGACGTTAAATAATGCACGAACAGGCTTGTAGTCATAAATAACCTTCAAACGGTCAATCTGGCGTATGTGCAGCCTCTGAAGAATCAGTTTTCAGGGAGAAACAAAAACAGCGAATCAGACACCACCAGGGCTGCCAGTAGCAAAATCCTCGACCTGCCCTTTCTAGACTTCTAGTTTTTGGACCCAGGTATGGCAGATATAACAAGAAAACATTGGAAATATCTAGCAGTGCTGAAAATGGGTGATAGGAGCCTTTTCAGTCCGCCTAATGAGTCTGGGAAGCCATGGTGCTGTTCAACACGTGCTCAAGCGGGCTGATTCGTGTTGGTGAGAGAGAGGGTAACTTCAAGCACAAGTAAAATACACGATGGACGTTCCTTCACATCGTGTATGCATGAAATCAAAATGTCCCAGAATGCTCGTCATGCTGGTATATAATTTTACGATATATATTTGCATTTAAACGCCACTAAACCTCATTACTTTTTAACAAGTAAAAAAAATCACCCTGTATGTGTAGAGGGAGGAATGCAAACATTACAATGGATGCAAAATCAAACTGGTTTAATTATTATGAATGCTTGCGTGCAGAATTATCGTATAATTTTTGTGGAACATCGCTTTACTTTGACGTGTTTTTGTTTCAGCATTTAGACATGAGGCAACAAATATGAGATATTTACATTCAATTTATGCATATTTGCTAATTTGTATGATGTAGTTCAACACTTCTCCTAGACATGAAAATTCATACAAGCAAATTGACCGTGACAATCGGAAGATCGACTGCGGCTGTGCTCTGCGCTATTTCCCTCACTCACTGCCTTCTCCCAGTTGCCACTCTTCCCAACGCCAACTCGCTCTCGATCCCTTTTCGCTTCGTTGGCTCTCTCCTTCAATCCAAGGTCCGATTCGTTGCCTTCAGCAGGTAGACTCTCTATGTCTTGAAAACCCGCCTTGGGTGCCGTTTTTTTTTTCTCTCTCTCTCTCTCTCTCTCTCTCTCTCTCTCTCTCTCTCTCTCTCTCTCTCTCTCTCTCTCTCTATCTCCCTCCCCCTCCCCCTCCCCCACCACCCCAGCCGACCGACAGAGGCAGAAGCCAGACATGACCAAGTCAGGCGCAGTCAGCTGACCGTGTTCAAGGTGACCTTGACACTGACGTCGCCCGGGGCGGAAGCCGCGGGGAGGGGAGGAGAGGGCCTGGGGTGGGGAGGGGTTCTGGTGATGCCGGGGTGCTCGAGGCAGTTGGAGCGGAAGAAGATCATGACTGAATCGACCGCTATGGTCTCGCATGACTCGAGCATTATTTGACGCCTTTTATTGATGTGCATGTTTTTTTTGCGTTCATATTTTGAGTACCTAACTTGTATACTTTTACTTGCTATGGCCTATGCTTTATTGGAATACTTTGTATTACGATTTTACTCATCGTTGTTATGTAGACAAAATAATTGTGCTAGTAGAGAATGCAGTTACCAAAGCGGAACCATTGCTGTTTCGCATCAGAAGATCGTCTCATCGCTTTTAATGCTCTGTTCTCATCCATGAACAGGGTTCTCTGTAACCCAGCTAAGCTACTAGACACTGGTACTCGCCTACCGGGCTTGGCACGTGAACAAGGCATGGTTCCCAACTGTTTTTCTGACAAGAGTCGTGTTGGCTTTCTCGGAAGTGGGGGAGTTTTTATCTGCTCTTGTCAGAGCACGATGCCAGTTTTATGACCGTCAGGAGTTTTTGTCGGATGACGGTGTCTGGCGCTTCGTTTGTCACCGACAGGATGTGCTGGTATGAAAAGCATTTGACTAATGGGTATCAAATGAAGACGAAATTAAACACAATTTTGATTTGACCTAACCCTAGCTGGTATATTGAAACCAAACTGACCTTACCCTTGCTGTTGTATTGGACGCGAACTGACCCTTTGCTGATGCATTGAACCCGCCTAACTTGACCTGATCTGAAACTTCCCTTCTCTCTGTCTCTGTCTCTGTCTCTCTCTCTCTCTCTCTCTCTCTCTCTCTCTCTCTCTCTCTCTCTCTCTCTCTCTCTCTCTCTCTCTCTCTCTCTCTCTCTCTCTCTGTCTCTGTCTCTGTCTCTGTCTCTGTCTCTGTCTCTGTCTCTGTCTCTGTCTCTGTCTCTGTCTCTGTCTCTGTCTCTGTCTCTGTCTCTGTCTCTGTCTCTGTCTCTGTCTCTGTCTCTGTCTCTGTCTCTGTCTCTGTCTGTCTCTGTCTGTCTCTGTCTGTCTCTGTCTCTGTCTCTGTCTCTGTCTCTGTCTCTGTCTCTGTCTCTGCCTCTGCCTCTGCCTCTGCCTCTGCCTCTGCCTCTGCCTCTGCCTCTGCCTCTGTCTCTGTCTCTGTCTCTCTCTCTCTCTCTCTCTCTCTCTCTCTCTCTCTCTCTCTCTCTCTCTTCCTCTCTTCCCTTTCATCTCTATATTTCCCTTTCCCCTCTCTCCCTCTCCTATCTCATTTTCTTTCACTCTCTTCTTGTTTCAGACCGAGCTGACCTCATTCTGTCTCCTATGATATTGTAAGAGACGACCCGACCTATGCCGCTACTTATTCATTTGTACCGACTGGTGTCACTATATTCGACCTGACCTGACCTGACCCGTCTCCCTCCCCTCTCGTTTCAGGAGGAGCTGAAAGAGGTGCTGGAGGGCTCCTGTAACCTGATTCCTCTGCACATTATCTCTGAAGAATGTGACAAACTGGTGGATGACTTCATCCCAGAGTTGACGGAGATGCTCAGCTCACAGATGAATCCACAGGTGAGAACTTCAGGCGTTCTTAGGAAATATTTAGGGAGACAGATGGGAATCTTAGGGTTCTCACGGCTGAACAGTGAAGTCAGAACCTCAGGCGTTCCCAGGAAATATTTAGGGAGATAGATGAGAACTTAAAGGGTTCTCACAGATGAACACTGAAGTGAGAACCATAGGGGTTCTCAGAAAATATTTAGGGAGATAGATGAGAATCTTAGGGTTTCTCACAGATGAACACTGAAGTGAGAACCTCAGGCGTTCTCAGGAAATATTTAGGGAGACAGATGAGAATCCTAGGCATTTTCACAGATTAACACTTAAGTGAGAACCACGGGGGTTCTCAGGAGATTTTCAGAGAGACAGATGAGAACCTGAGGGGTTTTCATTTAAGGGAACCCACAAGAGAGACGCTGAGTAACAGGCAACACGGGGCTCATACCAATATGAACTCGTGTAACAGGCACACGTGTTGACAGTTGAGTTTACATGCGGGAGTCCGACAAAATCCATAAGGAGCTGACAAATAAAACTACAAACGGGATCCACAGAATCTTTTGGAAACCAACATCAAATAAAGAAAAAAGACTGTGTCATGAAACCCATAGGAATCACGGTAAATCCAACTGAAACCCAAAAAGAAATACGCAATGTATGCGTCTCGCTAAGGCACTCTACAATTCATGCTCAGACTGTGGGGATGAATCTCATCCCATGCCCTTTTCTTATGCTGCCCAGTGCCGAATGTCTTGTCGCGGTTAGTCTTTCTGCCGGCTTTTTGCGGTGTTTGAATGTGTGGATCGTCTCAGATTGTTTATACATCTGGAGATTTGTTTGAAATGTAGCCAGATGTCCGTGCGATGTTACGAAAGCAGTGGCATGCTGGAAAAATGTGCTGGGAGAGGAAGCACGATGTGGAAAAGCCAACTTTGTAGTATTGTGATGTTCTTTGTTTATTTGCAGTGGGGTTAGATAAGTACAAGGATTAGTTTATTTTACAAGAAATAGGTTAACGAAAACATCTTTTTTTTTCGCGTCGCGTTGACGTGCTGCAAAGCTGTAACACAAATGAACGGACATACTGAGCAAATGATTTGCATTATGCAATTATGCATATATGTTATATAAGTAAGTATCTAGAGGTACACATTTCGCTAAAAAATAACTGATATACAAGCTTTCAAAGTCCTTACATACGATGCAAATCAGCGTGCATGCATGTAAAATATGTAGCAAAATTTACATATTCCTTTTCTACAAGATGCAGACGCAGGAACTAGCACTCACGACTCATTGGCATATCAAAGCATACACTTGTGGTATTCCTTTCCAAGGGCGAAAGTAACATTCAACCAGTTCTTTCATGTGGTAATTAATCACTTCATGCTATGCCTCTCTCCTTCCCCCCTAGTCGCTGGGGGCGGGGAAGAGTGGGTAGGGGATGGGATGTTTACGTGTTGGAGCACTCGGGTGACTGAACCAACCACTGACACTGTCCAGACCCGCGTACCCCCCCCCCTGCACCCCCACCTACCCTGCCCCTACCGCCATCGCCCTTTGTGGTAGGTACGGGTTGCAGTTGAGTGTGGTAAAGTCCAACACAAAGCTTTGATATACATACTTATCATGGATTTATTGTAGACGCGTTGTAGCACAGGCATACAAACTAAAACGTCACGTTGTATTTGCTTGGCGATTGCCCCGGGAAAGTGCAGAGTTAAACACCTACCAATAGAAAACCGCTGTTATTGAAAGAAAAGTAACATTTCGACGCTGGGGGGGGGGGGGGCTACATTACAATCCACGCTAGCCACAACACATTAAAGTCAGTTAGGACTTTCCGTCCCGGGGGAATCACGGGTTTTCCCAACATAACCCCTAGTTGAGCTCAGTCGCTGGTTATTACGGAGCGAGCGAAGCGAGCGTAGTCTTTCCTTAGATTAACGGAAATTTCTGAGTATGAGCGGCCGGCCGGCCGGCCGGCCGGCCGGCCGTGGTCACGCTTTTGCGAGGCTTATATCTCAGCAACCACTTGACCGATTTACATGCGGTAATTTTTGTAGGGTAGCTTCATTCCTTCTACCAAGTATTGCACTATTCCCGATGCATGTGGGTGACCCCTTATGCACGTGCCACGTGCAAAACCAAGAGGTGTCACTTTTGTAATTGTTGCAATATCTCGGTAACTACTGGGCCGATTGCGCTGAGAGTTGGCATGTAGGTAGGCACCCACTAGGCAATGCATATCCATGTGCCAGAGTTGGGGTGCTGCTGCACGTGCGCACGTGCAGGGGTCGTTTCCAGATCTCGAGAACGGCTGGACCGATTGCGCTCAAATTTGGTACACGGTTACGGAGCAGTTAGTAGGGTGCCGTGTACAAGTCAGTTGGGACCCATTTTGCACGTGCGCACGTGCAGGGTGCCGCTTCCAGATCTCGAGAACGGCTGGGCCGATTGTGCTCAAATTTGGCACATCGCTAGAGACCGGTTAGTAAGGTGCCGTGCACAAGTCAGTTGGAGGTACCCCCTCGCAATTTCGCACGTGCAAGGCCCACCCTCTCGCTCGCTCCGTTAGTCGCCACAAAAGGCGTTATACTGGTGTTTATGATCTCTGCTGACCGCAGCTAGTGTAGAGATGTCAGGACGCCCCGACGATGACAATAACAGGATGTTTTGAATGCTGGAGCTAGTCAGTAGTCACGTCCAGCGAGTGACTATCAGCTTGAGCATCCTTTGGTGCAGCTGACTGCGCTATGCGCTGTATAGTGTATAGCTGTGTGGGTATTATAGAGATGGCATACAAGGGAGTTGCTTTTGGCATGGAATCAGGTTCTGTGGGTATGGTGATATATCGTTCACTGTACTTGTGTATCATTTTCGCACAGATATTTCATACGCAGGCCTGACATGCTCACCGTTAGATATTATTGCTAAGGTAAAACCAGAAACAAGCCAAATATTGAAAGAAAGACACTCGTTTCTCGCTTCGACCTGTGACTCAACCCAACACAAAAGCTCATTGAAACTGAGTGCTCGAACGAACCATGTGACCTTACTACCGTAAAGCCACGGCTATATGGTGCACCGTTGAGGTTGCAAAGGCTCGGCATTGGTTTCAATCGTGCACACTAACTTCCAGCACGATATGCGCACGTGTGGGACAAAGGCCACGTATGTCACGTGCCTTTGCCACGGTCACGTTTTACCATGTGAGTCATGTGTTGAAAGACTGACACCAGGGTATAGGAAGGAGGGGGGGTTAGTCACGGGTTTTATCACAGTGCGGGATTGGGGTTTGATGTACTTTATGTAGATGCACGAGCAAAGTGAAGACGTATCGCAAATGAATAACGATGCAAACTCAAAGCACAAATATGCATGCAAATATTATTTACCTTCTCGATACTGATATGTAACTCGGGTAAATGTAGAGTGAGTGAGTGAAGTTAGGCGAGTGATGAGTTTTCGAAGTTATGATGATACGAGTAAAGCATGATGAAATGTGTCCCTGGGTTTGAATAGATTGACATTTGGCTGAAATTAAGTTTGGTTTTGTCGTCTTAATGTCTTAAAATCGTATCACGGCTACACAATGTTTTAGCTTGCCATTTGATATTCCACATAGGCTCTTATTACGTGTTTGCGCCTATAATACGCCTTTACGATGCTTGATTTTAGGATGTATCCGTAACTTGTCTTCATTTAAGCCATGCCACATACCGATCACGGGCGTACGTCTCCACAACTTCTGACGTTCTCCCTCTCACGTCTATCTATTCTTTTCGTTCCGCAGGTTGTTTGCCAGACTGCCGGCCTGTGCAACTCTGCTCGGATCGACAAAATGCTGGAGGAACGCGACAATAAAAAGGTGAGAATTACGCCAGTTCAACACCACTTATCAGTGTGAATACTTTTTTATAATGCCCAGACGAATAAAGGAATACGCTATGTACCGGTGCTACATTAGAAATAAAAGTTTTTAGTTCACACCCATATGAATTGGCGGTGAAACACATGCAGAGGTAGATATTTACGTTGAAAACGGTAAAAGTTACTCTGGGTCAACATATTACGGTATTTGAATGTACCTAAATTCGTCTGGGCCACGGGTGCACCGCTGATGAAGGAGCTACTCGATAGATGATGCCCCAACGATATTACTGGAAAATACTGGAACGGTGCTTGATACGTATAAACATGTGTCGCATTTGCTGTCATATAACAGATGCAAATCGAGTGGAGATGTAGAAGACTTACCCGTATACACCTTTTTACGCACAATTTAGGCGGCAGTGCACACATTTCAGTAATAGTGCGGGCGATTTCGACAGTACGGCAAAGTCTGTCTATGGCGAACTGTCGAAATCGGTTGCACTTTTTACTGACCTATGTGCATTTCGTGTATATTTGGCCGTAAAAAGGTGTAGAAAAGATACGCTGAATATATGCGTATGTTATACACAATATACACTGCTTTCGTGGGAATAGACAGACCTTTCCAGCTTCCTACACCGGTGTCTGATATTTTGCGCTTGGCATGATCCTACGCGAAACTATGTTGCTACAAACTATAAACTCTGATTGTGAGCGGTAGCTGATTGTATATCAGTTCGTACGGTTGGTATGATAAGTTCGATATCAATTCTTATCAGTGTTGGGTGATAGATATCACTTATCAGTTTATTATCATTTAGGGTGGTCAATCTGTAGCCCTTACATATATGGATGTACCATATCACAGTGACCGGCAAAACTCAGATTTATGAGCGGCAAGGATTCACGCTTGCTTCAATGGTTACTGCTTTCTGTAACATCTTGTTGGCTGCGTTTTCGACATATATTCATTCGCGAAAAAACAATATTGTTTCGTTTTCACGATTCCCACCAATAAAACTAATATCCATTCGGGTAGTTCAATCATCTGCGATGTCTGAACTCGGCTCAAACGGATGTACCGCGTATAATAGTTTGTCATTCTCATTACGTTTGTTTTGCGTCTAGTTTCCTTTTTACCACATGCCGAGATATCCCTTTAACATTAGCACGTGCATTTGGGAAATGGCTTCGGCCCGCCTCGGCTAATGTTGAAGGTATTTGGGAAACGATTCGGCCCTAGGGCTTTTTGATTTTCCCAGACAAAGTTTTACTGAATATTCTGAGCGGAAGAACCAAATCCAAAGAAGATATTTACGGATTGTGTGTTCACTAACAGCAACAGCAACAGTGGCTGCGTGTTTACTTACTTTTGCTGTCAACGTAATTCAACTAAACAGGGTTATCGTTTCAATGCCAATGTATTTATTGAATATTGCTGCAGAACATGGTCAGAATAGTCATTATTACTACATATGCACGCAAAAAACGAACAATTTAAATGCGCGAAGCATCTTAACGTGCTGCATTGAAACATTTGATATTGTTCCAGCTGGGCTCCAAGACGTGTTTGATTCAGAGTTTCATCCAATTTTCAGTTTTCCTCACGGTTTTCTCAATCCTGCTGGACTACATATACTTCTTTGTTTTAACTTATTGTTCCAGCTGGCATCCAAGACGCGTTTGATTCAGCGTTTCACCCAATTTTCAGTTTACGGTTTCCTCGCTCCTGCTGGACTCCATATCTTTATTCTAACTTCTAGCTCTTCACCATCTTCATCCTCAGCTTTTTAAACCCTAAATAAGGGGGAAGTAGGGAATTTCATCTTTCATACTCAACGCAGCCCAATAATGAAAAACACAAAAAAATAATCACGGTGACTATAAACATGAACGTAGTATTAATATAATATTAGCACAATATTAAGAATATAATATATGATATCAAATGAATATGATACTAACTGTTGCGCCGGTACGGCATGTGGTAAATCTCTTCCCAACCTTGGGCTGTGAAAATGCATGGTTTTATTCGACCCCCACCGGACACGATTTGGTAGCCGAGGTCTGTGACGTCAGCCGGGCGTGAAGTTTTCCCTTCACCATAGGCTTCACACACAAACCGGCCGAAGTTCATGCCAGGATAGCCCAGCTTGAAAGTGCAAAAATGATTAAATTTTGCCCTCAATAGATTCATTGCTTCATTTTATAACTAAAAACGTCCGTTATTAGGACTCAATGAAGGTAAAAAGTACTCAAAATCGAAGTTTAAGAAGATGCTGTCCGAGCACAATCTGGTAGCATCACGTGACCTCTTTTAAGCAGAATGTATATAATTCAAGGATGTTATTACACGATTGCTGCCTAAAACATCATAAATGATACGCTTGTAACATTTATTGCTTCTGTTTAAGTCATAACATTGCAAAACGCAAAGTTTATCATGGAAGTCACGTGACCAAAGGTATAGCAGGGGTTGGGACAAGCCCTCAAAGGATTTCAAGTTTTTTAATTAAATTATATAAGTTTCATGATGAAATTGATAGAATGTATTTTTTCCGAATGAAATACAAATTTTCGTATGTAAAATATTTTTCTTATGGGCGAAATTCTCCATATAAGAAATGTCAGTGACGTCACCAGGGCTTTACGTGGGCTTTACTCAAAACATCGGACCTACCTGTTTCTTATAGCAAAGTTTATCATGGAAGTCACGTGACCAAAGGTATAGCAGGGGTTGGGACAAGCCCTCAAAGGATTTCAAGTTTTTTAATTAAATTATATAAGTTTCATGATGAAATTGATAGAATGTATTTTTTGAGAATGTATTATTAATAGAATGTATATGTATTATTAATAGAATGTATTATTAATAGAATGTATAGAATGTATTTGCGAGGAAATGTTTCGATAAAATTTGGCATGATGGTCTACTTTTTCGCCTAGAGAAGTTCCTGAGCCCCCGGTCCTGGCATTTGGTCACAGTGTGGTATAGACGCCTAAAAGCTTTCGTAACTTATGCTGACCATATGTCGAGTTGTTTTGACATCAAGCGAGGAACGAGACAGGGGGCCATTTTATCGCCAGCGTTTGCAAATGTTTTCTTTCAGCCTCTCTTAAGTCTACTTGATGTTAGCTTGTGCGGGTCCTTCATGTTTGGCTACCATGTTCCTGCCGTGTGCTACGCAGATGATTTGATGCTGCTCTCTACCAATGCGGGAAACCTAAGTAAACTTTTGGAAATAGTTGATCAATTCGCAGGGTTTTGGAGGCTTGAATTCGTTCATGTAGATCCGATAAAAACCAAAAGTCACTGTATTGTATTTGGTGCTGAACTTTTGTCTGCGCTCCCCGTCTGGCACCTATCTGGTCAGCAGCTTGCTGTACGAGCAGTGACCGAACATCTAGGTGTCACATTGTCAGCGGATCTAGCCGGGTCACTTCATGTACAGCACCGTGTTAGTCGGGCTCGTGGAGCATTCTACGGACTGACTCCTGCTGGAATGCTCAGTGACTGCCTGTCGCCTTCAGATAAAGTCTTTCTTTGGAAAACTGTGGTCATCCCTGCCCTAACTTTCGGATGTCAAACAGTCCCCCTTCGCTCGTGTGATGTTGACGATCTGGATGGCCTGCAATCTCGGTGCATAAAAGCTGCCCTCGGATTATCTAAATACGCTCATCATTCTGCTTTGCTTGTAGCTTTAGGTATCCCGAGAATACATGAACGGCTCAGACGAGCGGTGCTGCTAGCCTTATCGGGTATATTCCGAAGCCACCAACACCGACTGAAACACATTATGCTACGAGAGCTGGCTGTTTTAGCTACCGAGCCTAGACAATTGCACGGAACATTTCTGGACCTGGCATACAAACTGTTTAACTGTTCTTTTCAAAACGTGCTTGATGCTGTGAGGGGTCATGTGGACCATAGCTTCATAGGCAGCGCGATCGACAGCGACGGTGTAGTAGATTCGCTCAGATTCCTTTTAAATTCCAGCCAGACAGTGATGTCCCGTCGTCTCGTGAGGCTTCTGTGCTCATAGGGTTTTTTCCCAAATGTGCTGACTTGTTAATGTGCTTTGCAATTGCGTTTTAGTGTTGTGTTCATCGTCCTACATGCAGTATCTGTACTGCTGGTGTGTTTATTGGAAAGTGAAATGTGTATGTGTATTGTCTGAAAAAGACGCATAATAAATTGATGATGATGATGATGATAGGTATCTTGGTTTTATTCACCTCGGTTTTTGGCTACGGACCTCGTGCCTACCGGCACTCGGTCCTCCGCACAAAAACCTCGGTGAATAAAACGCATTTTCCCAGCCCCGGTCGGGAATATATATTCTCGCTGTTGTTCTGGGCCGGCCTTGCCAATTTAGTCCAATTGACACCACTAGAGCCAATTCGCTTCAATTCGTTTCACCCTCTCTTTACTGCTTCGCCTCTCATAGGCTGGTCGTATAGAGGAAATAATACTTGAAAATAATCGCCATTTTAAAACCCCTTCCTCGTATTTTTTTTTTTTATGGGTTCACTCTAATGCCTCCCATTATACAATCAAACCCCAGCGTCTTGGGAGGGGACTCTTTGTCCGTGCTTAGCGAACCGTAGCTCCACTGTGGAGCTGCACTGTCTTTGTGCGACTGTCTGCGACGGCGTCTGTGATTGGTCGACACTGTGTGACGTCACGGGATCGCAGAGTCTGGCCTGCGCCGTGGTGGAATGCCCCCGGCCCTCTGGATGGTGGATGATGTTATGTTGAGGGGAGTGCTTGGGGTACGGATGACTACCATTCTGGTCATGTGATCTGGGCAGGGTTGGGGGACGAGGGGGAGGGGTGATGATGCATAGTTTTGACACCGCTGGTGTTTGGTTCATGGCAACCAGCTTCAACTTTGTACCCAGTCAAGTGAAGCCTGGTATGAAGATATAACACGGGCGATGCAACGCGACACCATTTTTATGGACAATGGATGGTGGGAATGTATCTGGTCAGAACAATCCGCACAAAACACAGATTCTCACATATCAACACACCAGGGACAGCTTCACTGTTTGTGACAGTTTTTGCGTCCTTTCTTTGCTGATATTCTGGGACTTAGGTTATCTGCCATCATCGCACTGTTTCTTAGCCCGTATTATAGTGGAATTCCATTGGAGTCGGCTGCAGGCTGTTAACATGTCTTTGTTTGCCGTCCATATTTTAACATAAACGAAATCATCTCCTCTCGCTAATCGCTATTTAGACATGAATCCATGATATAATATCATCTACCAATGTTTCCATGGGATTGGTCTGCTATTGGTCTTCTGTGTTTCTTCACGATATTGTTTTACGTTTCTAATATAAACATTTTTTCGCAAAAACTCAGTTCAATTCCGTTGTTTTTGGTTCTTTGTGCAAGTTATGTGCACTGTGCAGCTGACTACTGTTTCTATGTGTGTGTTTTATATTTCATTCGTTGTCAAGCGCAGTCTGTTTAGGCTCCAAGGCATGGTGTCCGTCCATTTTTAGGAATGAAAAACCGACTGTTTGTCTCCGACTGAGTCCACATTATTTATGTCAACTATCCATTCGTTATCTGTCGCCGACCTGAGGTTTCTTTGTAAGAACCTTTTTAGATCCTTTTTATGTTGCTCCTTAGTTTGTTTACATCCATTTTTATATTTTTATATGGTCTGTTAACATCCGTCATTGACGTTGTTCGTCATTTTTACAACAGTTTGATGACGAACGACGTATTAAATGACGTACAACTCGTCACAGTTGATCTCGTATTCAACATGAAAATAAACCATAATCAGCCAACTCTCACAACCCTACCGCCTGTATTCGCCTAACTGACATTATATTGGTCACCACCAGGTGGCTCCCAAGTCGCCCGACACGTGCGCCACCTGTCAGTCGAAAATGGAAACTCTGAAGCACACGGTCACCGCTGGAGGGCAGCAGGAGCTGCTCGATCGCCTGCTACCGGTATGTCTGTGTTTCTGCGCTTGTATTTGTGTTGTGTTACATGTGGGTGAAACATTTTGCAGTTATGGATTGTGTATGATGAGCGCTACTTTCTATGTACTATGAATGTGTTCAAGACGTACTTATGCGCTATTTGTTTGACTCTTTTTGTATTGTGTAGTGATTGTCTGAAATTGAGTCTGGTTCGTATATACTGGCCCGTATCCTTACCACAGTAGTTCACTTTTCAGTCTTAAATTCCTATTCATCTAACAGAAAAGCCAGTATGTATGTGGATGTTGTTATATGCATAGATAGCTAAGCATGTGCGTTGTATTGTCCCATGCGTCCGCACCATGTACCATGCATTATGTATTTGTTACCCACTTTGCAATACCATAGTTATGCAGTATACGCTTCATGTTGTACAAGAACCCCCTCGCCCCCCTCTCCCAGGTCTGCCGCGATTTCGGCTCCTACAGTGACGCCTGTGCCGGTGACCTTGCCACCCATATTCAGCCCATCTTTGAATGGATTCAGCTGATTGACTCCAAGGGAGTGTGCCTGCTGGGCAACGCGTGTCCGGGGCTCTTCGATGAGGCGGTGAGTTGGGAGGGAGGGAGTGAGAGGGAGAGGGAGGAGGAGAGGGGAGGGGAGGGGATGAGGGACAGGGAGAGAAAGAGCTAAAGAGGGTGGGGTATGAGATAATACAAACGAAGAAACAAGCTAAGACGATGAAGTTTGTGAGGCTGAGAACAATTTCCAATCAAAGTTTTCAAAGTTAATTTATAATTTTCTACCGAAACTTCGTCAAAATACAAACTACATTTATTATCTTTTTATCAGTTTTTGAGACGTGTTTTGATGTAACCTTACCTGTTTCGGCCCAAGTCCCCTTTTACACAACCTTTGTAGCTGACAACCATTACAAAACTGCTGCTGGGATGAGCACTGAGTGCTTTTGCACCGCCCTGCATATCTTGTTTGATGCTTGTTTTGTTCACAATGCATGATGATGATGTGCTCACTGACGTAACGTAACCTACCTTCACAGCCTCTGCAGCTGCAGTCCGTGTCGGGCCCTGCAGTGGACTGCGATCTCTGTATCCACATTGTCAAACACTGGAGAGATATCCTGGTGGCTAACACCACCAAAGAGGAGTTCAAGGAGATCCTGGACGGCATCTGCAGCAAGACCAAGGCCTGGGCGCCAAAGGTAACGGGTTACGCCTGAAACAGACTCTTTCCGCAGTCAGGAAATCGCATGCGAGAGCCTATTCAAATACATGGAAGCACGCTCGCATCAATCGCACGCACCTCCCGGATGCGATTGATGCGGGAAGAATTATAATGTATTTGAATAGGCTCTCGCATGCGATTTCATGAACGCGGAAAGAGTCTGTTTCAGCCTTTAGGGTGTTGGCTGCTGAGGCCTGAGGGCGCCCGCGATAAGGGCTGAGGGGTCTTGCTTAAAGTGACTATTGTGAGGCTGCTTAAACTTAGAGAGTTGTGAGTACTCGGGCTTTAGGTTAAGCTTTGGGTTTTAGCTTTACCCAGGCTTTAGCTTTTGTGAAAGGCTTAACCCTATTCCTGGCGGGGGGGGGGGGGGGCCTCAGGAGCCCCCCCCCCCTGAGGTTTTTTGGTTATTTCTCCCAAACGCGTTGAGCTAGGAAGCTCAAATTTTCTGACTTTTCCTAAAAGGCTTCTACGCAACATGTCTGAAAATTTTGAGTTGATCTGACCTCAGGTCAGGTCACCAGAGGCGGTTTGGTGACCTTACCTCAGAAAAGTTTGCAATCACGCCAGAGCTAGAGTTTTTGACCGATCAATTTCTTCTCTTCAGGTTTTAGTTAGGGTACCAGTATGTGCAATTTGTATATCTCGGAATTTTGATATCGGTGACCTAAGGTCAGGTCAGTTTCGCGACCTCCCCATTATAAGTCAATGTGGGAAAAATCAACTCCCTGTTTTTACCACTAAAACGGGTCAGAATGGCCCCATATAACATACATGACTTCATATACGATCAACCTTCACTACCTTGAGGTCTGTTTTGCTGTTGGGCAGCTGTGAGGTCATGTGACGTCATCAAAGGTCACCAAAGGTTTTTGGCCAATAACTCCGTACAGGAACAAGATACAGACGCGTGGATGGTCTCATTGTGTTCAGCTCGTCAAGACGCATCGAATGATATACATGATGACCTCGAGGTCACGTGACCTGAGGTCAACCTTTGACCTTGACCTTTCGAGGTCAACATATATATCATTCGATGCGGATTGACGAGAGGATCACGATGCTGCCCTTAGTTTGTTCCTATCTTGACTAATTCGAAAGTTATTCGAGAAAAACTCTCCATATCTAGCGCCGCCATTTTGACTTTTTCGACCCCTGTGACGTCATCTTTGACCTGACCTGAAAAAGACCTCTGTAAAAATTGTAGATCTTGACCGTGCGTATCCGATGCCGTTTACCGCTTGTCGCTATCTTGCTTCGTTCTCGAGATCTCAGGGGGGGGGGGGCGAATCGGCCCCCCCCCCGCCAGTTTCTTGTCCCGGCGGAGCCCGCCAGGAATAGGGTTAAGCCTGGGTGTAAAATGTTTAGGCTGGGTAAAGACCAAAACATGGGAAAGGCGAAGGCATAGACGTGGAAATTTGCGATGTCGGCCGAATGTTGTGACGAAGAACGCTGATTTAATTCAACATAGACTTGTATGCCATGTTGAGCTGCGTGGCATCATGTGTGTGTCTCTGTTCCATGTTTTATCATGTAACAGAGACTGTACCATGTTTTATCAAAAAGCTAGTGACTCGCCTCACAACTACCTAACTCTAACCCCCCCCCCCCTTTTCTCCACAGTGCACCCAGCTCGTCGACGAATACTATGTCATCATTTACGACTTCCTTGTAAACGAGATGCGTGCTCACAGCATCTGTAAGGCGATCGGTCTCTGTGCCAAACACGCCGCCGAGACCCCTCTGTGGGCTGTGCTGCCGGCTGAATCGGTCGGAGCGTCCGCGCTGAAGACTGGAGGATTGGAAGAGATGCCGTTGGTGGAACTGACTCCGGCGATGCCACACAAGGGTAAATGTTGTGGGTGTGGGGAGGGGTGTAGTTTTCCGAATCGGTAGAACTGTGCTGACGTACAAAGGCAAAAATCACTATGGGTGGAGACTTCCACTGGCGTCCAACTAGCGTCTAACTGAGCAGACGTCCAAGTTGGCGTCTAACTGTTAAACGGATACTTTCAAGCTAGACGCGTCAAAAGTTAGCTGCAAGTTAGACGCGTCTAAGACTTAGACGCGTCTAAGACTTAGACGCGTCTATAGACGTGAAATGGAAGTCTCCACCCTATGTTGGGTCTGAGGTCATACTGGGTCAGAAGCTGGGTGACCCAACATAGTTGTTTTTTCCTTTGAGTGGCAGCGCGGATGGGCTTATGGTTGCTTTGGGAAGCGTAGTGGCACATATGAGATACTGGTTGTTGACTTGTAGGGGTTAGCTTTGTAGGGGTGAAACAATGCTGAGGTGTAAAGATGATGTTAAATCGGTAATGTTAGTTCACATGACCGTACGGAGTGCTATTTCACATTTTGTGTAGTAACGGTATCGGCAAATGGATTAGCTTGGATGGATGTGGCTTGGCATAAGTTAAACTTGAAGCTAGCTTGTATGAGCATTGGGTTAGTCAGGCTGGTCAAAAATACTGTCAAAATGCTGAACAATGATTTGCTGAGTGGGCGGTGTCTAGGGAGTGAGGATGAAAACAATAAGATGGAAGACGGTGCAGACAGTAGGCAGGGTTATACATCATCCTTCAGCATGATAGCTGAACTCGTTTCTTCGCCCGCAGTGGTAGCCAAGAAGGGCGGCCAGACCAAGAAGAAGCTGCACAGTGTGAAACTGCAGAAGAGCCCGCCGCATGCCTACGGAAACGACGGACGTGAGTTTACAATCCGAACCGGTATGGGATTGTTGGAGTTTTTATGCTTCTGATTCTGTACGAAGAGGATGTCATTATCATGGGCAAAGATCATAAGATAATTTAGACTGGCATACCTCATCAGTGAACTAAGACTAAAGTGTCTCTGTGTGCAATCATTTTAATGTCAATGTATGTTTCAAAGTTAACGTCAATGGTTGATGTCAAAATCACGAGCGACGTCTGTCCGACGAGTTCAACGCGCTTCATGTGGTATAATACTGCCTGCATCTTCCTATCCACCACCCATCTCTCTCTCTCTCTCTCTCTCTCTCTCTCTCTCTCTCTCTCTCTCTCTCTCTCTCTCTCTCTCTCTCTCTCTCTCTCTCTCTCTCTCTCTCTCTCTCTCTCTCTCTCTCTCTCTCTCTCTCTCTCTCTCTCTCTCTCTCTCTCTCTCTCTCTCTCTCTCTCTCTCTCTCTCTCTCTCTCTCTCTCTCTCTCTCTCTCTCTCTCTCTCTCTCTCTCTCTCTCTCTCTCTCTCTCTCTCTCTCTCTCTCTCTCTCTCTCTCTCTCTCTCTCTCTCTCTCTCTCTCTCTCTCTCTCTCTCTCTCTCTCTCTCTCTCTCTCTCTCTCTCTCTCTCTCTCTCTCTCTCTCTCTCTCTCTCTCTCTCTCTCTCTCTCTCTCTCTCTCTCTCTCTCTCTCTCTCTCTCTCTCTCTCTCTCTCTCTCTCTCTCTCTCTCTCTCTCTCTCTCTCTCTCTCTCTCTCTCTCTCTCTCTCTCTCTCTCTCTCTCTCTCTCTCTCTCTCTCTCTCTCTCTCTCTCTCTCTCTCTCTCTCTCTCTCTCTCTCTCTCTCTCTCTCTCTCTCTCTCTCTCTCTCTCTCTCTCTCTCTCTCTCTCTCTCTCTCTCTCTCTCTCTCTCTCTCTCTCTCTCTCTCTCTCTCTCTCTCTCTCTCTCTCTCTCTCTCTCTCTCTCTCTCTCTCTCTCTCTCTCTCTCTCTCTCTCTCTCTCTCTCTCTCTCTCTCTCTCTCCTGTTTCTCACTGCCCATCCCCTCACTAACTCCCCATCTCTCTCCCCAGTGGCTCACCCCAACCCTCTCGACACCTCGGAACCAGCCGCCGAAGAGACGCTAACGGTCCCTCAGCAACTCCCCCTGGAGAGATTCGGTCTGCCAGACCTTTCTGCGAGGTTTAAACCGAATACTGAGCTGTGTGACCTGTGCGAATTTGGGCTGAACGAGTTGAGGAAGGTGTTGGAAGAGGGATCGACTGAGGTGAGAGGGGGAGGGGGGGGGTCAAGGGCAGGGCTGCGGAGTCGGTGGAGTTTTGATGACTCAGAGTCTGGCTTTCAAAAACCAACGCCGACTCAAGGCACAAATGTCGATTCCGACTCAGACTGACTCACTAGCCCTGTCAGGTCTTTGGAGTCGCTGGATTTTTTATTAAGCTGACTCCCGCTAAAAAAAAACAACACTCGAGAAGTACAGAATTGTTAACACTGACTCCGACTCCGACTCTGATCTTCTGTATCTTATCTACAGGACGAGATATCTGAGGAAGTGGGCCGTCTGTGTGACCTCCTGCCCGGAACACTGACCGGAAGATGCCATCAATTTGTAACCGAGTACGGCAGCTTCGTTGTGCAGATGATTGCACAAGAGGTGGACCCCACGGAGGTAAGGAAGCGAGGAATGGAAGAATGAAGGATTAGAAGAGTAAGGTGGAGAGAGAATATAGAGTTTGGGGGGGGGGATGGGAGCGTAACTGAAACAAAAACTGTTCAATTGTAACTGTGTATAACTTTGGAACTGTAATTGTATGATATTAGGTATGCGTGGTAAGTGATTTAGCTACAGTAATAAACTATTTTAACGCTATTTTGTCAGGTTCTGCATAGGTTTTGGCTCTGATGGGCATTGGTAACATTCAGCTTCTCTACATTTGAAATGTAAAATGATGCGATGTATGCGTTAATCTGTGTACCACAGCGAGGCTACCAAATATTCATACGTTTAAAACCCATTGGCTAATAATATTAAAAATGCGGAGCACTCTCTTTTGACCATTATTTCACGGCTAGGCGCCGTTGCTAAGTGACTACAAGTACAGTCCTGCCTCTCTGTGTCGTCGTTTTACACTTCTAGTACCTGGCCATCCCAACAGATGTCTCTCTAACACCACCTGTCGGAGACATTCATATATTCCACAAATCATCTGTGCCACATATGATTGCCACAGTACTCAGTAGATATATTGTAGGTTGTAGTTTGTAGAACACATGTATGGAAAAGACGTTTGTGACAATCGTGGCACGTAAAATTTCGTGGCATAATCGATGTACATTATAAGAGATGTCAATCGGATACCAGGGTTGGTATATCGATACCATACCGATACCAACCTGGTATTTGGTGTCTCAAGGGTAGCTTATTTTGTTATTTTGTTGGTATTTTAAATCGTCGCTAATTTGAAAGAGGCTGTGAATTTGGTAAAGCGTCGGTATTCACCTGATTTTACGAGTTGGTTTGGTTTCGGTATTTTCCCACGGTCACTGTTGGTATTTGGTTTGGTATTGGTATGACGATTTTCCGTAACTGACATCACTAATATGCACCCTCTCTCTCTCCCTCAGGTCTGCCCGGCTCTGCGTCTCTGTCCTCTGCCGTCCTCTCTGGCTGAGTCCTCTGAGGAGTTCTCTGAGCAGTCCTCCTCTCAGTCCTCTGAGGAGGAGGAGCGCGAGGGAGACGGACCCGGCTGTGCCATCTGTGAATACGCCATGAACACACTACTGGACTTCCTCAAGGATAAGAAAACCGAGGTGAGTTCTATGGGTGAATTCAAGTCATTCAGCTGGAATGTTCCAACTGAATGACTTGAAGCCAGCCATGTTACAAGCTAGTCTTGAAGCCAGTCTGTGTATACTTGAAGCCAGTCTATGTTACAAGCTTTAATGCTTGATTTCAAGTATTAAAGCTTGTAACATAGACTTTTAATAGTTCAAGTCACTGATCAATCTTATACATGATATATTAGTAAATAATGTCCGGGCCCGAGAATAGTCCCGTCAGTGCCAAATGGAAAACTGACTTTAGTTTTAACAGTGAGTTTTAGCATCGCTTCTTTATTGCTAGTTGCTACCTATAGTACATATGCAATATGCATATTACAGGCATGCAGTGCCTGCCTGCCTGCAGCAAAATGCATCCATGCTAGGCCGTTGTTAGGGAATTCGTATCAACATATGTGTCTCTTGTTCTACTTTGTTGACTTATGTCTTGCCAGGATGCGCTCAGTGCAGGCTATCTCATTTAGCTCATAAACTAGTTAACACATAGGTGTGCATGTTTCTATGTACCATTCCACTCCATTGACACCATTCCATCTCATTTCCACAGGATGAAATCAATATCCGGTCTTAATCTCCTATCTACCATTTCTTTTTACCGACACCATTCCACCCCATTTCCACAGGATCCGTCCTATGTACCATTCCACTTAATTGACACCATTCCACCCCATTTCCACAGGACGAGATCCGTGACGGGCTGGACCGTGTCTGTGAGATGCTGCCCTCCACGGTCTCCCGGGAGTGCCAGGAACTGGTCAACACATTCATGGAGGAGATAATTGATATGATCGTCAGCGGGATGACGGCGGATGAGATCTGTATCACGCTGAGGCTCTGTCAGCCGGCCCGAGCGGCGGGAAATGATCTCAGTGAGTTGGGGAGGGTGGAATTAGTTTTACACGGATAGTGCGAGTTCAGCAAGGGTAGAGTGAGCTTACATGGGTAGAGTAAGTCAACACGGATTGAGTGCGTTAACACTGATAGAGTGAGTTAACACGGGTAGTGAGTTTTACACGGGTAGATGTGAGTTTTACACCGATATATTGATTTAAGTGAGACTGGTTTTGGGCTGGGTAGATTTATATGGGATCTAAATGTAACTTTGCTCTTTGTTTCTGCTTACGTGTGTACTCTTTTGGAGTCCTGATGATCCGTGTATTTTACTTTCGATATACAATTATGGCATATGTGGCGTTTGTGTGACCGTCCGTTGTTTCAATAACATGACAGCCGCCCATTGCGTATTTTACACCCCATCTATCTCGCAGAGTTCATATATTTGACACCCCGTATGTCGTGGGCGCAAAATGACCTTGTTAGTCGGCGCGCCCTAAAGCCCCAATAAACAAATCTGACACTATCGACACTACCTACTGACACCACTTTACACCTCATCTTGTTCCGCCGTTCCAAACTCTGTCTACAATAAGCGGCTTTCGTTTCAGTCTAGTGTGACCCTCTGTATGCTATAGCAGCAGCAGTGTTGTACAATCTGCAGTAACACCCCAGTAGTCTCTTACTTTCTGTGTATTTAACACCCAGCCTCTCCCACAGTGTCCAACTCTATCTACGCCATGCCGCTGTCTGCCCAGTCGGGCGCCGGGCCATTCGGGATGCAGATGGCTGGTTTGACGCCCGCTCTGGCTGGGTTACCTGTCGATTCTCCCTACATGGTGAGCAGTTATAATCTGACAACCGTAAGAAAGAACGGAACTAAAGCGCCTCGAAGCACTTACCAGTGCATTGGACATTGGAGGTAGCCTAACGGTGCTTAAATTTGACAGAAATTGTTCGGACGTTTTGGAAGCTATCTACAGACACGTGCATCATATACTGCGGCATTTTAAATCCGTTCTTGCTTAGCTTTGTCCGACCTAACTTATATTGCTGTCTTGATAAGGTCTTTGATTAAGCGTTGCAATGAGGTATGCTGGGAGCTGGGTTTGGAGAGAGTCATCCGGTCCTGGCTAGACTGTCCACTCGCCTATTATGGTGAAGAGGCAGGCCTTGCTATAATTGTTGGAAGGATGATGGTTTGGAAAGGAGGAGTGGAGTTCGAGGCATTGACGGGAACGTAAAAAGATTCGTTGAAGATGTCACCGTACCATGTTCTAATTTTAGCCTTTGTGTCTTGCTTCTCTATTTTTTGGCTGTTTATCTTAAATATCTCCCTATTAAGCTTCATATTTTCCCTGCCCCTTATACAGGGTCTTTCATAATGAATGTTACTTTTGAACATTTAGTTAGGAGCTCTTAATTTATCACTTCCGCGTGAATTTTATATGCGTATTGTTGCAAATTGATTAGGGTTTTGTCCCAAAAAATAAAAAATTCACAACGCCAATTTTCCTTCACGGAAAAGCAGAGTATGTCGACACCACTAAAACGCATTACGGATTACGGTCGACGGACAAGTCTTCATCCATTGGCTCTCCCCTGGGTCAACACTGAACGGGGTGGCTTACCTCAGGCTGCTCAAAGAATGCTTCTGCCTCAGGTCAGGGACAAGGTTCAAGGAGACGGCCTGTGGTTCCAGCAGGATGGTGCCACAGTGCACACCATGGCAGCTGTTGCGCCAGTGGCTGATCGAGAATCTCGAAGAGCGCGTTATCAGCCGCCTCACCGAGCGACCATGGCCACCACTGAGTCCTGACCTCTCCCCGCTGGACTACTGGCTTTGGGGAGTCGCATTGGCAGATCTGAGACAAAACCCTCCTGCAGCCATCCACTGCGAACCACAGTGGAGAGGTTTACTGGAAGCCTGGACCCAGACGTTGTGAGGCGCGGGGTGCAACACCTTCGTCAGAGGGCCGAAACGTGTGCCTTAATTAAGGGCGATACAGTGGAAAATTCCTGGGGAGCATTAAAATGAAAGTTGTGTGTGCCAAAACGCTAATGTGTTTCTGTTTCATGTGATGGTACATATTACATGAGGAACATATATGTCCTGAGAAATAGCTCGTTCAAAAGTAACATTCATTATGAAAGACCCTGTATGTACATATTATCTACATTCATATCACCTCTTCCCCATCTTCCCTGTCCTAACTCGTCTCTTTCCTTCTCCCCTCCCTCCCTCCCCCTCCCTCCCACGGTTCGTCGGAAGGTCATCTCAGGCTCAAAAGAAACGATATATACCATTCGAAAGCTGACGGTTAGCTGAATCCAAAAATGTAATTTTTATCAAAATCGATCGATGGCCTTTTTTGAAAATTGCGTTTTAGTAAAAACTTAATAATCTTTTATTCAACGGGCTGTCCCGGACATTCTTGAAAACATAGACATGTATTTTTGAGTTCCAGTGAAAGCTTAACGCCAAAAGAACAATATTCAGCGAAGCAATATTTCCAAACATTAATAAGCGTCTCTCACAGCCGACAATAAGGCGGAATCACACAGCTCAGTGTCACTATGGACCGAAGTCAGCCACACAGAAGCGTGAAATGACCCTTATCGACTCGCAGACCCGGCGCTCTCGGCCCGCCTGACCGGCCACGGAAAGAACGTTCGGCTCTCGTTCTACTAAACAAATGTCATATTTGTCAGTTTAACTGTCCACATCGCTATTAAAGTTATTCAGGATACCTGTGAAGAAAACTCATTGTTCTGCTTGATTTACAACATGCTTTAATTTACATTTTTCTTACACATGTTTTGTTCCATCCAGCTGCGATCAGTGCCCGCGCAGGGGAAGTGAGCGGGGTTTCACTGTCAGAGGCTGTACTGGTGACAGCTGCTCGGCCGTGCGACCGGTCAAAGGTTACCCTGCCCCGCCGGGCGCTACCCCCACTCCACCCGAGCTGAGGCCGGTGCAGCCTCTGACATTTCAGCGCGGCCAATTTTCCTTATATGGGCATGATACCAAGCTCAATTGAGCAAAGTAGACATGAACAAATGCAAATTAATGCATGATGTGAAGATGACAGAACAATGAATTTTCTTCACAGATATCCTGAATAACTTTAATAGCGATGTGGACAGTTAAACTGACAAATATGACATGTGTTTAGTAGAACGAGAGCCGAACGTTCTTTCCGTGGCCGGTCAGGCGGGCCGAGAGCGCCGGGTCTGCGAGACGATAAGGGTCATTTCACGCTTCTGTGTGGCTGACTTCGGTCCATAGTGACACTGAGCTGTGTGATTGCGCCTTATTGTCGGCTGTGAGAGACGCTTATTAATGTTTGGAAATATTGCTTCGCTGAATATTGTTCTTTTGGCGTTAAGCTTTCACTGGAACTCAAAAATACATGTTTATGTTTTCAAGAATGTCCGGGACAGCCCGTTGAATAAAAGATTATTAAGTTTTTACTAAAACGCAATTTTCAAAAAAGGCCATCGATCGATTTTGATAAAAATTACATTTTTGGATTCAGCTCACCGTCAGCTTTCGAATGGTATATATCGTTTCTTTTGAGCCTGAGATGACCTTCCGACGAACCGTGCTCCCTCCCTCCTCTTCCTCCTCTCCCCTCTCTCTCTCTCTCTCTCCTCTCTCTCTCTCTCTCTCTCTCTCTCTCTCTCTCTCTCTCTCTCTCCTCTCACTCTCTTGCACCTAACACCCTCTCTCTCTCCCCCAGCCGATGTCGCCCCCCGACTCGTCCGAGGAACAGACTGAAGACGATGAAGACGATGATCACCAGTCTCCCGCCTGTGTGATGTGCGAATTCGTGATGATGCAGGTCAAGATGAAGCTCGATGATAACAGCACTGATGTGAGTATTTAATGGGAGTGTAGGGCGTGATGTGTTACTGATATGATGTCACTGATGATATGAGTATGAGGTGATAGTATGATGTCACTGATACGAGAAGGGGGCGAGGAGATATTTTGTTGATGTGAGTTTTGGAGGAATGAGGTGATGTAAGATTCTCCCTAATATGCATAGTAAAACATGCATGGAGTCATTCAGGGAAGTTGCCGGGGCAAACAGTTGTCAAGCATATGATATCGGATTGTTAAGTTAGGTAAAATGCGTTATGCGTTAATGCGTTAAGTTTAGTAAATCGCTACGCTTGTGTATGTGGCTGTGTTTCATGTCTGTGTTTCAACTTGTGGCTATGCTCAAAATTGCCTTCACCAGTAAAATTGAGCTTTTTATTTTTATGTTTTCTCTGGTGTTAAACCCACTATGCCCAGGAACTTGTAATTCTACCACACAAAATGTCATAATATTGCCACTAGATCTTGAAAATTTGGATGATGTAGGCTATCTTCTTACGAAACAGGAGACATTCGAAACCGTGACACTTTTAATTTTAAACATCCTGTAATTCCCATGACTCCTTACTACTACCGCTAACAAGTCACCACAATGCATTATTATTTAGCATTATAATCCCATGACTCCTAACTATTACCAACAATCAAGTCATTACAATCTGCACATGCCCCCTACCCTCCCTTTATGGGCGCCTATGACCACCGCAGTCCAGGCGCCCTAAACCCCCCTGTTCATCATGATAACCCCCTGCCTCTCCCCTTTACACAGGAGCAGATAGAGACGACGTTGAAGAAGGTGTGTACCTACATGCCGCAGTCCATTCGCGCAGACTGTGACGGTTTCATCGACGAATACGGAGCCGCCATCCTGTCGGTACTGAAGTCTGAAGTGGCGGATCCGGATGGTGTATGCCGTCAGCTGCGTCTGTGTCAGCCCCAGGAGGAGATGGAAGGTATGGAGCCCTGAAAGAACCCTGAAAGAACCCTGGAGGAGCCCTGGAGGAACCCATATGTGAAGTGAAACCCTTTGGTGATTGTTGAAATGGTGACGAAGATTGATTGAGGGGTAGGAGGGGTGAAGGGTCTGGAAAAATAAAGTTCGGTGAAAGCGAGATGGGAAGGGGTGGAAGGCAGGGATTGGAAAAAAGCTTCAGTGATTGAGAAAGTGGCGATGGTAATGGCAGAAGTGACGGGAACAGGCCATGGGGTGGTCGGGAAGGTTGGACTGCGGTTGTAGCAGTTTGGTAGCAATTAGTCAGGGGTGGGTTTGGAAGGGAATGTATGCTGTTTGGCATATCCCATGAGCGAAGATGTTGGCATTGGTAGGATAAAACAAGCTTAGAAACCTGCCTTAGCCCCAAAGCGCCCGGGGCGAGCCTTGGTCCATTCTTTCCCTTTCTCTCTCCGCCCCTTTTCCTATGTCGTCGACGTCAAAGTTGATGCGCGTCGCTGCCTATGGCTTGACCCCTTCCCTCCGAGCTAAGTTGTAGTATGGGCTGGTCATGGGACGATTTGGGAGATATACACAGAACAAGAACAGGGAGTTTTGCCAGTTTTGCTAATGGAAACAGTGCTTTGGGTGTAATTCATTCTCAAGTGGATTTATGGGATGCCGTGACTTTGGAAATTGCAAGAATATGACGTGTATCGCAGAATAACTACTTTCTTATACGATTTGTGTATGAAATGCAGCGTCATTAGTAGTAAGCTTGTGTGTGGGAATTCTAAATAAAACGGTGCCTTGAAACTGTCACGATAAAACGTTTCTTATTTACGCCTGTATAACTGTACGACCGTACGTCTATGATGTCATATTTGTAAGACGCATCACGGATATGTAAGCTCTATAGTCTATACCTATCATATCGGTGGGGCTAGACTACATGTGAATCGCTTCGCTCTATATTTAAGCTATCGAGTCTAGCGAAAAACGATCTGCTATTCCGTTTGGGTTTTGTGGCGTAATCCGCTTGATTTGAGAAATGGCAACTTTTGAGCTTCCTTCGCGCGTGATTGTCGAGCATTAGAAGTGTGTCAAAGAAACATTATTTTAGTTACGAGCTAGAATAAATACATGGTGAAATTATATTGCGAGACTCTTTATATCGGCAAATCGTCAAGCTACCATAAATCTGGTTATGTATTTTTTTAGTGTTCACGTTTGCCCTTCAATCTTCATAGGACGGTATTATGAAGAAATTGCAGTCAACATCCAGCATATATAAGGCTAGACGTTGTTTTTATGTTCCTGTCCAAGAACACGATTTCTTTCGAAGGGCCTGAAATATATTAGTATGATCATGTACTTGAATTGGGTCTATTTTGTTTGTTGCAACCTTGTCAGTCGCTTAGACCGTATTCAGCATATGCTAGCAATTTTCCTTTTACATTTCATTCGCAGCGTAGGTTAATGTGTTCCCGGTAAAATATCCAAGGCCCGCTTCCTAGCTGATAAAGCCATGGCCCCCAGGTGACGCCTTCTATGTACCCGGTTAATGGCATCATTTGGTTACTGTCTGTATTTTATTTGTATCGTTTTGGAACTCGGTCCTGCGTTGTCTCGTTGAAGTGTTGCGTATCTCTGGATTGTTCAATATCGGCAATACATATAATGGTCGTTGAATGACTGTTTTTGGTTGGGTACGGGTGATTTCGATATCTGAGAGATCGAACACTGAACACTTCTAACAACGGGGAAATCTGGTGGGTGAAAGGTCATTGGACAGCGAGCAAATAAAAAATACAAACAACATACATAATACTCTCGCAGAATGTTTGAATAAAAGACCGCACACACATCTCACATGAACATATTTGGCATGGTACCCCCACTGAATCGCCCTAGGACTATTTAGTATAAAACGCATCCCCTCACTGCTGCGGCATGCTGCTGCCGAAAACGTAGATATTTAATGTTATGTTTCCATATTCAATATTCAATGTCATGACCTCAAGAGGGCTGAACTATTCATAGTTATGGCTCTTTAGTGCGTCACTGTTCATTCTCGCGTCTCATTCTCCCCAAAGACATATTTATTCTCATTCGTCAATCATAATAGTATCAAAGCAGCAACAACATTGAACAGCGAAAGCCCCACTGTGTGTGACCCCACAGCGGCGACAACTACCGGTGGCGACTCGCACTGCGCACTGTGCCATCTAGCGGTGACCTACGCACACTCAGCTTTGACCGACCTCCGCCCGACCAATAACGATGAACTGTGTCAACTGGTGGCCAATCAGCAACGCGATCAGGTTAGTGTGACGTCATAGCGAACGGGCCAATCAGCATCATGGTGGGGTTAGTTTGATATTACTGGTAGGTTGATATGACGTAACGTTTAACCCGGCAGTTGCTGGGGTATTTCGCCACCCACCGTTTGCTGGGGGGGGGGGGCGTTAAACGCCCCCAGCCGATAACTCGAGAACCAATAGGCGCAGCGAAACGCACGAGGCGGAAAACGAAAGAACGCGACGAGACGCTTTAGATGAGTACTTTAAAGTTAAATTTTGAGGTCACAGGTCGGGTCAAGGTCAGGTCAAACACCTGAAATCGGGCTTTCAGTAGCATGGACTTCAGAACCTCGTAATGGGCGCCTCTCGTCATAAACTCTGTCAAAACGGTGCACAATCCTTCATATAAGGCCTACAAGAGTGTCAGCTCCATGTAGGGGTCAGTCAAGCATAGGTCAGGGTCAAGGTCAGGTCAATCAGGTAAGCACATATCCCCGAATATCAAAACTGGTGTTCGCAGTCTATGACACATGTTTTATGGGTAATTTTGGGCGTAGAACACGATGGTGACATTCATTTAATCATATGTGTACGTGTTTGGTTCAAAAAGTTCAATTTAGGAAATTCATGTATCATGGTCGTGAAGTAGTCACGAGAAATTGCCAAGATTCAGTTCAAGATTTTGGAAAATGTGGAACGATAATCGAAAATCGAAGATAGTCATTTGATTGTTCATTGTATCGGCAGTCTAATGGCGTTTACGGCATGTCTGTATGTCTATTCTGTGATTTTATACGATTTTTTGAACATATGCCGTTTTTGGTCGGAAACTCAGAAATTATGACGTCACTAAAACCTCGATATCTCAAAAATTTCTCGACCGATTTTTTTGAAACTTTGCCACAATAAACTCCAATCAATTCCCTACAGGTACCTAAATTTTGGCCGTTTTTATGCTATAGCGCGGCGAAAAAAAGTGGGGGCGTTTAACGCCCCCCCCCCCCCAGCAACTCGCGGGTTAAATCTCCAGATGTCAGTTGGTTGCCAAAAGCTGGATTAGCGTAAGTCCAATACCTTGTCGTTCGTTATTAACTTCCAGATCAATATCGCTATTATTGAGGCACCATAACATAAGCATCGCCGTTTTATTATGGCAATGGCATAAGACCATCGGGGCGATGCCGTCGTCACTTTCGTCGCCAGTATAATTAACTGATGGATACTTAACGGAGACTGGATCCAAAATCAGCCCAATGCCTCGATTACTCCAGCGTGATCTATATATTTACACCTTCGTTACCCCTGTTTCCAGTGTGTCCAGCTAATGGATACGTACGGAGACTGGATCCACGATCAGCTGAGGCAGCACAACACCCCCGGAAACATATGTATCGGTGAGTTTATCAGCTAAACACTCCGTGACCCCTCCCCCTCGGGCCCTCATAAAGGAATGCAGAGAGCACCCAAAACCAGACAGGTGAAGCAGTTCACTTTTTTCTCACGGTAGTAACCTGACATTTCCATTTCATATACGTAACCGATGTATGTATTTAGTATTATCATAACCCATTGTCCCTAATATTAATACATACACATAACATCAATTCATATATCATGTTTTCTTCAGGCATTGACCAATGCCCATTTTCTCTACACATTGACCGATTGGCCATTGACCAACCCACTGACAGTTCCCGCTAGGCATTGACCATTGCCCTTCTTATCGCCAGGCATTGACCAGTACCCCTCCCCTCCCGCCAGGCATTGACCAGTGCGCCCGCCCCCTTGGCACCGTCCACCTTCTGGGTGGCGCACGCTGTCTGTGGGGGCCGGCCTACGTCTGCCAGGATGAGTTCCACGCCCGTGCTTGTAACGTGAGTGTTAGGCGGGATATGCTAGTAGTTAAACCAGGATATCCACACCCGTGCTTGTAACGTGAGTTTTAGGCGGGATATGCTAGTAGTTATACCAGGATACGCAGAGTAGAATAGTAGACGGGATAGAGAAAAGTGGACGTTAGTAACACCATACTGACGGGTTAGACTGCCCGCGCTAGTAAAGTAAGTAATGAATGGGATATACTTATACCAGTATATAGACTGTCCCTGTGGCCGATGTATCAGGGGTCCCGCTTCAGGACAAGTTTTACGTTTACGCCTGTAACGTAAGCATCTACTGAACGGGAGCATTTTACGAGTCGCTGTGGATTGTAGATAAAATAATGCGTAATTGAGAGCTAGTTTAGCGTGTGCTGTGCGTATGGCTTTATCCGGATGTCGATGTGAGAGATGTTTTAGAAGTGTTTTGTTGTCAAATATCTATTTAATACATCATGTGAGAAGCGTATATAGATCTGCGCCAACGGCCTATATTTGGGAGCCCTAAAAATTTATCATCAATGTAAAGCTAGTCACGTTTGGCCAATTAGCTGCTTTTCTGTTTGAATTTGTGATGTACTTTTCCAAACCCAGTGCTCGCACTGGCACATGCAATCCGTTGTGACTGAACCTCTACTTACAGGCTCTGGAGTTCTGCGTCGCTCACTCCTGGAACACGGAATCAGCCCAAGAAGCAAGAGCTGACAAAGACCTGCCGTAGGTGACGGCGTTACTGACGTTACTGACGGCGTTGTAGCGTTACCGTCCTATTCTTCTTGTACCCGGAGTTGTAGGTCGGGGCTGGGTAGATATTTAGCCTAGGGCTGTGCCTTAAGAAGAAGACTTGGGCTTTGAAGTGGTCAGTATACTTCTATTCATCCTTGCTATGCTTATTCCTATAGTGAAGTTCAGTTTGCTCGTTACTGAATACCTATTGTTTTTGCTATTTTACTAAGCGGTGAACATAGAAGTGCGACTTATCTTGCTTTCATGAAATACTTTTCTATTAGAAGTGAGCAAAATATATGGCACCTATTACGTACGGATTCGTCCTTTTAGTTTGTATTGCGATTTGTAACTGTATTGCGTAACCTCATTACTCCCAGCCTGGCATTACTTGAGTTCATATGTACGATTGGTTTTCGCGTGGCATTTTTAGGAATGCGGGGCAAATACAGGTTTTGATACCACCTACTCTCGTTTCATTTCGATTGACGCTCCTGTTCTTAGTCTATGAAACGTAGCGGCGATATCGTTTAAATGATAAACGATTTACAAAGTTCGACATGCGGTAACGTTCGAACGGGCTCCAATTGAGTCCGCACAAAATAAGCATACCTACGATATCAGTTATACCGCATAGTGTATTTAAAGATAAACGTTTCTTCTTTCTCTGAAACGCACACACATACACACCGACATACACAAACGCACACACATTACCCATCAAACATTGCTCCTCTGGAAAATAGCGCACCGGTTTCCGTCCCCGCCCCCCTGTGTTACTCACGTTTCATTCTTCTCAGCCAGATGGCACTGTGACACCTCAATGACACATCATAGTGACGTTAGACACAGTCGACGGTATATGTGGTTAAACATCTGATACAGTTGTTTCTAGCATCCAAAACATGATCTTTTGTCACACTATACATCTCAAATAAGCCAATAGTTGAGAGTCTAACAGACTTTCAGTTCATTTACGATTGAAGACTTATAGTTCATAACTGACAAGTTCATCAGACCAGTTGAGAGTTTAGCTGGTAATTCACATTCGGGTTCATACGAGAGTTCATCCCACAGTTCAAATTTCAGTTCATCCAGCGTCTCACAGTTCAGTCATCTCACAGTCGATTTCACCCAGTATCAGTCCATCTCACAGTTCAAGCAAGTTCACTCACTGTCCACAGCTCACGAAGACCGAGGTCACTTCATTTGTAATTAGTCCCCAGTTCAGTGCAGTGCGCAGTTCAGCACCAGTTCAGCAGTTCACCATCAGTTCAGATTCAGCAGTTCAGCCCAAGACCAACAACCTTCTCAACTTCACTCAACAATTCTAAAGAAACCCAACATCTTACCAAACAATGAGGCTGCGCCCATCTTCATTGCCCTACGCGGGCATCGGATAGGTCAATAGACGTACCACAAGAAGTCACACGTGTGTTCACCCGGCACGTGTGAACACTACGTGGCACGTGCCGTGTCTGTACGTGAATTCGACACTCGCTGCGCACTTTTGTACAAACTCGGCGCGAATTAAAACGTATGACGTCATCTGTACGTCACTGAAAACCGGAAATGCAGAAACGAGGCATTTGGTTGGCTGTCTCGCCTGTATATGACGGCATGCATGCCACCATCCTGCTCGTGATTGGTTTATCAACTTCACATGACGTCACACTCAAATGAAGTCCACTTTGTGATTGGCTCTCCGACCTCACAGAACGCCACACTTTAGCGATATCCGCGTATGATTGTCTCTTCAACCTCATATGACATCACACCACAGCATTGCCGCCCTGTGATTGGCTAGGTGGGCGGTGAGGGTGACCTCCGAGACAGCTGAAGCCAGTGTCGTCTGTTCTCCTCCACGGCGTCTACCAGGGGTCTGAGGGGCTCCCCCAGCTGAGCTACCGCCTGAGGGGGAGGAGGGGGGGGGTCAGGCGAGGGGCGTAAATTACAGGGTGGAGTTATACCGATCTATCGCAGAGACGCGTTCTTTTCCGGATACCGGTCTACTTGTACCTTACATACTTGAATTGAACGTACCGTGAATTTAGATGTCTGGTCGTAAAAGATTGAAATCAAACACTACCGCGGTCCGCAGAGACAATGAAAATTCCATCACACAAAACAAAATGATATCAAAATGACAAAATTAAAAAGAAACCTGGCAAAACGAAAAACCAGCTGCCTAATGACAACAGAGCCACATGCATTCGCTTGTGTCTCCATGTAATCACTTATGGTGTTTAGGCTAGATTTGGCCCGCCCACGCCGGGAAGCTCCACCCCACGGAGGTTGCCTGAGTGCGCCCCTACGATGACCCGGGGCAGGGCGCGACCTTGGTTTACAACAAGTTTCTATCGTTTTCGGCCCAACAAACTATTTAGGACTATCACAATGTAGTTTGCCGATGTTTTCGAGGAAACAGAAAGCGCTAGAAGCCACTGCTATCATCTGCTATGCATGCTATGTATTTTATAGCGGTACCGTGAAGAAGGGTTCGATGCGCCCCGCTCCAGTGATCTGAGTGGCTGTGCGGAGCCAGGGTGGAGCTCGTTCGGTAGTGAGCTGTGCCGAGCGATGTGAGCTGCGCCAGCTAGAGTAGATGAACGCGTCCTGCATATTGGATCGAACATGGCATAACATTGTTGTTTTACTAACTGCCTCGTAGCAGAGAAGGGTTCCTCGTTATTGCCTTGTAGACAGACCCCAACCGCCCTGGTATTTACCTTGTAGACAGGCATACAGATGGAGTCAATAAACTCCACCTGCATGTCGGGAAGGCGGTCACTCTTTTCTCGGTCCATCATCTCCTGTGGGGGGGGGGGGGGGGGAGACAGCGGTGAGACGCGAGACAAAGCGTTGAGACAATTGGGTGAGACAAGACAGCAGACATCTGTGAGGCAAGAGACGTAACTGGAGAGACATCACTAAAACTGAGACAAAGCGGTGGGACAAGGGGGAAATCGGTGAGCCAAGAGAGCTGAGAGTAGACACTTCAGTGAAACACGGGAGGATATAACTTGGTGAGGCAGATTACATTACCGGAGATGCAGCATCGTGGTATAACATTTAATGAATAAAAGGTTATGAAAATCGAGAGAAAATGGCGAATAAGTCAACTCAGAGAGCATTCAGGAAAAATTAGCAAACAAAGAGGAGAAACAAGTCGAAAAAGTATTTTCGAGGAAAACGATATCAGCAAAATACTCGCATAACCACGTGACTGTTATCTCCTTCTAAAGTTTCAACCCCACAAGACTTCCCACAAGAGGGAGCTTTTCCATCCATGGGGATTGGTTTCCTCTCTAGACTCTCAGTTCCCGCTATCAAAAAATCTGAGTCGCTTCGTCACTCACCATGGGTTTGATGTGCAGCTGGTTCTTCTCGATATCACCTTGCTCAAAGAACTCACTGGCTACCAGGTTGGCCACCTGCGGAAGGCCAAATAAGGTCAATGGGAAGCCGTCAATGATTGCGAACTCTCGGCATAATGCACTAGCGGTGGTGATATAGGGAGATGCGTATTGTAACGAAACTCTTGTAATTGTTTTACACAAAAGCTTCGAATGCTATCCACTCATACATACTCAATAAAAACTTGAAGCAATTGATACACAATCCCATTCTTCTCAACCGTCCTCTGAACCGGCCAAGGTTTCTCAATAGCTGCCACATCACAATCAGCATCACTCGGAGTCATGCCCCGCTGATATTTTATCCGTCGTTTTCATACTCACTGGTGATGTCTATGTAAAGTAGGGAATATTTGGAAACCGATAGCAAAAAAGGCAATACTAAAAACCCAAAACAACCTGTATGTCTAATGACATTACTTTATTTTACAAAATCCGAACCATCTCATGCATCTTATCTTTCATATTACAAACAACATACCCAAAGAATTAGGCTTGAAATACCAAATACCAAGTAGGTATGTATCGCTTTGGTATCGGTATACCAAAAAGTTGGTATCCGATTGATATGTTTACTAAATACCCAGTTGTGAGTTGGTATCGGTTTCGTATCGGTAAATTGGTACCTGATTGACATCCTAAACATTCACTCTTGGATGAAATAATAATGAATTGGTGTCTTACCGGCTTTCGGCAACATTGAGCTCACGTTTGTCATCTAGCTTACCACTAACTTATGATAATTATCTCGCTAGATGGCAGGCCCGATCCTAATGTCGCATATTCCTGTGTTAATTTTTACGAGACACCAATCTACTATTATCTCATCCATGACTCACCCGTCTCTGGACTGGCCACGGTTTGGCAATGGCGGCCACGTCACACGCGGTCATCAGCATTCCCCGGAGCTGCTCACGGCAGCCGTCCTGGCCCCAGTCGAAAGTGCCCGCGGACAGGTGCTGAAAGAACCCGCCGCGCTTCCTGAAAGACGGGTGGGGGGTGAGTAACTTCCTGCTGGAGGAGGGGGGGGGGAGTCGATTGTGTGAGTACTTCCCTGCCGGGGGAGGGGGAGGGGGTCGATTAAGTTAGTAATTTTCTGAAAGGGGAGGGGAGGGGGTCGATTGCGTTAGTAACCTCCTGAATAGGGGAAGGGGAGGTGATGGTGTGAATAGCTTCCTGCAAGGGGAGGGGGGTCGTTTGTGTTACTAACCTGAATAGGGGAAGGGGAGGGGGTCGATTATGTGAGTAACTTCCCTGCCGGGGCAGGAGGTGATGGTGTGAATAGTTTCCTGCAAGGGGACGGGGAGGGGTTCGATTGTGTAACTTCCTGTGGGGGGGGGGGGGCGGGGAAGGGGAATCGATCGTGTGCAAAAACGGGGGGGGAGGTAATATAGGTGGATGAGTGCATGTAAGTTGTTGACAGTGGTCCTCTAATAGCGGTCAGAAACATGAAAAAGTTTTAGATATCTATTGTTTGAGAATATTTGGATTCCAAATCATTCTTCCGAGAGATAGATAAAGATTGAAATAGATAAATAGATAGATAGATAGATACCTAGATAGATAGATAGATAGAATTAGAAGATGATAGAAAAGTACAAACAATGACTACAGACAGCCAATGATAATTATTTTCATACATCACAAACTTGAATGTCATCCTAGCAAAGCAACACCTGAATCCCCTTAGTACTCCAGTTGATATCCCCCTCGTACTCCTCAGAAACTCACTTGAAGTAGATGGCGAGGTCGGTGGAGAGAATGGCCGTCTCCACCACCTTGATGAGGCAGCTGTACTCCTCCGGCCTCAGACTGTTGAGAATCTGGACACCCTGCGAAATGATACAGGTCAGGTCAGGTCAGGTCAGGTCGGGTCAGATATTCAGAAGGTTGTACTCCTCCGGCCTCAGACTGTTGAGAATCTGGACGCCCTGCGAAATGACACAGGTCAGGTCAGGTCAGATATTCAGGCAGCTGTAACCTCCGACCCCAGACTGTTCACTGAATTATACAGGTCGGGTCAGGTCAACTAGGCAGTCGGACCAGGAAATAGCGTGCGATTGTGCGATTTTTTTTTTTGACTTCACGAACTACTGGTGATCCTATATACCTACAGCTACATACCAGGTATTGAGTGGTATAGCAACAAGACGCGGAGATGATGTGTGTAATGCCAATTTTCGGAGTCCGAATACGCCAATCCACAGCCACGTTCCCCATTTCTGCACTAACCTGCGTGTAACAATGTAAAGCACGAACATCAAACTTCAAAGCAACATAACATTTGTCACATACAGCGTCTTTTATGTGGGCATGGCAGCCCTAACCTGCGTGTAACGCAGCTATGAAAATACATCATACTGGCAGTAGCGGCGGAACACCTTCAATTAAGGGGCCGGGGGGGGGGGGGCACTGCCGACTTTTGGTCCCATTCTTTCCATGCAACGTCCATAGGGCTAATGTTAAAATGTCAAAATCAAAGGGGGGCACGGTGCCCCGGTGCCCTCCCCGTTCCGCCGCCTATGCATACTGGCCATATCCAGCGTTTTCTATCAGGCCCTGTCCGCACTAACCTGCGTGTAATGCAGCTATGAAAATACACCACATTTGTCACATACAGCGTCTACTGTCTGGCCATGCCGGCACTCAGAGGTGCAAAAACCTCTTCAGCTGTCACATACTTTGCCAGTGGCACACAGACTCTGTCACGCAGCTTCCATCAACCAGGTGATGTCAGCTGACAGAGTTTACATTGAGATGACTGGATGTTACTTTTCCCTAATCTCTGAAATATTGATCATTTCTTGAATCTTAACATATTTAGGACAGGTTCCAATGATAAGCACTCTTATTGAGCACCTTGAGACCTGACATTTATTTCTACTGTTCTTTTCTCAACAATATTCAAACATTAAAACCCTTAAAACACCTGCCTTCGGACTGTGATTATACAAATGCAATAAGTAGGTGTGCATGAACTAAAGTACTTTTAAAAGGCTAAATTATATGATAATTCACTTAAGATTAATAAAATTAAGTTGGTTTAGAGGCAGAAATGACACACAGCCTGGTACACGGCACCCTACACAAAGGAAAGCATGAAAATGGGTAAGTGCCTATATGCCGCAAACCAAAAACATTGTCAAGTTTCTAACTAGATGTCAGGTATGGTCAAAGCTATGGCCTAGTTTAAAGAAGGTAAGTACCTACATTTTTGATAGGTACTGAGAATTATTAGAAAAACTTGGATTATGTAAAACATGTAGGCTCTAGCACAAACAAAAACAGGTTATTATGCAAATATAGCCTGAAGGTTGACGGAGGGGCAGCATTCGAGCTGCCCAACATTTTATTAATTTTCCCCCCAAGGTTTTGCACATAAAAATGTGATGCCAACCTTAATCTAAAATATTTCATTGATATGATTCAAATAAAAATGTGAATGCATCCTAAATACATTTTTATCTATTTCAATTTTGACAGCAGGGTAGACAGCCAAAATTGGATTCTCATATTCACTTATGCCAAATTTTCTGACTGAGTTTTTGTATGCTGACAGTTTTAGCTGAATCTCACCTCAAGGCTCTGTTATTGGCTATTGCTCGTCTTACATCATGCCATCCTGGTCCACATGCTTCAAGACTGATTGAACTATAAATATCACTATCCACAGCATACATCTTGTGCTCGGGGCATACAAACAGCCCGCACATCTTGCCCGCGCAGCCGTAGTAATGCTGTTGGATCCCATACTGCCTCACCTCACCTCCCCAGCCCGGCTAAGACACTCAAAACACACTGTCACAAACTGTCACAGCCGGCGTGACAATCCGCCAGCCCCTCGCCAACTCCACGGCCAGGCAATGGGGATTTACAATGGAGACAGCCGCCGTGTGACAGAATCCGCCGGCTTTTTGCAGCCCCCCGTAAATGCGTACAATTATGACGCAGCCGTTACGATTATAATCCACAGCTAATTTACTGCAAAAAGTAAACTTACTGCAAAATAACAAATGAATAAAAGTGGAGCCCCGTAGTAGCTACCTATCTTACTATTCGCAGTTTATATGGAATATAGAACCGGACACTCTAATTGGTGTCTACTTGACTGCAATCTGTCACGTTTCATGGGCTAAAAGTGCTATCTCTGGCACATACTCTGGTTGGCGAGTTGGCAGGTTTTTGCACCTCTGCCGGCACTGACCTGCGTGTTGATGATCATGACCGCCCTGTCAAAGTGGTGTCGCTCCATCGTGGACGTGCTGTACAGCTGCGCCAGCGGAGACGACACCCTGGAACAGACAATGAACGAATGTGATAAAAAGTCGGGGTTTAAATGACAATATACGATCATAGCGACATCCTGAAAATACACCAGTCAGCTATCCTATCTTCAAAGCTCACATAGGTCTCCCTCAGTCGTCTAACAGACTCGAGTTAGGACTAACAGTCAGGACTAACAGGGGTTGATATTTCACCAACTTATTGCGCCTTGACGTTGATATCTCATATTTACATGCTCTGGAAGCTGTAACAACTCCCTGATCTAGGGGAATTAATGACTAACTCACTTGGCCTGGAAGCTATTAGTGGTATCCCAGTGGTCCGTAAAGAGTTGGAGTGGCTAACTCACTTGGCCTGGAAGGAGTTGGTAGAGTAGTTTTATAATTAACTCACTTGGCCTGGAAGGAGTTGGTGGTGCCGCAGTGGTATGCAACGAGTTATATAATTTACTCACTTGGCCGGGAAGGAGTTGGTGGTGCCGCGGTGGTCTGTAAGGGGTTGTCTATTTACCTCACTTGGCTTGGAAGGAGTTGCCTGGAAGGAGTTATATAATTAACTCACTTGGCCTGGAAGGAGTTGGTGGTGCTGCGGTGGTCTGTAAGGAGTTGGAGTTAATAACTCACTTGGCCTGGAAGGAGTTGGTGGTGCCGCGGTGGTCCAGGTCGTGGCACAGACATGCGATCAGCAGACCGAAACACTCCAGGTCACCCAGACGGCTCCACCATTGGGTCTTCTGTGAAAAAAAAAAAAACAGACTATCGGTCAGTGACGCTCCCCACGATACGTCCTTCCGGACCAAAAAGAGTGATCACGGCTTCGAAAAAAAAAAAACTCGGAAAAATCGATATTATAAAAATATAATATAGGGATATTATCCCGGCAGTTGCTGGGGTATTTCGCCACCCACCGTTTGCTGGGGGGGGGGGGGCGTTAAACGCCCCCAGCCGATAACTCGAGAACCAATAGGCGCAGCGAAACGCACGAGGCGGCAAACGAAAGAACGCGACGAGACGCTTCAGATGAGTACTTTAAAGTTGAATTTTGAGGTCACAGGTCGGGTCAAGGTCAGGTCAAACACCTGAAATCGGGCTTTCAGTAGCATGGACTTCAGGGCTTCCCAATGGGCGCCTCTCGTCATAAACTCTGTCAAAACGGTGCACAATCCATCATGTAAGGCCTACAAGAGTGTCAGCTCCATGTAGGGGTCAGTCAAGCATAGGTCAGGGTCAAGGTCAGGTCAACCGGGTAGGCACATATCCCCGAAAATCAAAACTGATATTCGCAGCCTGTGACACATGTTTTGTGGGTAATTTGGAGCGTAGAACACGATGGTGACATTCATTTTATCATATGTGTACGTGGTTGGCTCAAAAAGTTCAATTTAAGAAATTCATGTATCATGGTCGTGAAGTAGTCACGAGAAATTGCCAAGATTCAGTTCAAGATTTTGGAAACTGCGGAACGATAATCAATAATCGGAGATAGCCATTTGATTGTTCATGATATTGGCAGTCTAATGGCGTTTACGGCATGTCTATATGTCTATTCTGTGATTTTATATGATTTTTTGAACATATGCCGTTTTTGGTCGAAAACTCAGAAATCATGACGTCACTAAAACCTCGATATCTCAAAAATTTTCCGACCGATTTTTTTGAAACTTTGTCACAATAAACTTCAATCAATTCCGTACAGGTACCCAAAATTTGGCGCGCCTGCGGCGCGCCGTTTTTATGCTATGGCCCGGCGAAAAAAGTGGGGGCGTTTAACGCCCCCCCCCCAGCAACTCGCGGGTTATATCATATAGGTCATATCATATGGGGATATTATACAGGGAAATCAAGCTCAAAACGAAAACAAGATACAAGGGCTGTACTAAAATTACGCCGATATTGAGAAAAGATACCTGACTGTGAAATCAAAATTAGCACATTTGGTGTAAAGTATGTGGCCAATAATTCCTATGACATTATCCCAAAATAGTTGATTTGACGTAACAAATTTAATTTATACGATACTAAATCAGTAGGTATAGGCTTGTTATTCATATGCTAAAATTTTGCATCGCCTAGCCTCTAAGATAGCCCCTCCTCGCAATCGTTTACTCCAATCGATAGAGTACAGCCTCTGACATAACTCACCTTCAGAATGGTGTACATCATCTGACACACGTTGAAGGCGTGCCGCCAGTTGTGGTACGTCACTGGGCGATAGTACAGCCTCTAACACAGCTCACCTTCAGAATGGTGTACATCATCTGACACACGTTGAAGGCGTGTCGCCAGTTGTGATACGTCACTGGGCGATAGTACAGCCTCTAACACAGCTCACCTTCAGAATGGTGTACATCATCTGACACACGTTGAAGGCGTGCCGCCAGTTGTGGTACGTCACTGGGCGGTAGTACAGCCTCTAACACAGCTCACCTTCAGAATGGTGTACATCATCTGACACACGTTGAACGCGTGCCGCCAGTTGTGATACGTCACTGGGCGATAGTACAGCCTCTAACACAGCTCACCTTCAGAATGGTGTACATCATCTGACACACGTTGAAGGCGTGCCGCCAGTTGTGGTACGTCACTGGGCGATAGTACAGCCTCTAACACAGCTCACCTTCAGAATGGTGTACATCATCTGACACACGTTGAAGGCGTGTCGCCAGTTGTGATACGTCACTGGGCGATAGTACAGCCTCTAACACAGCTCACCTTCAGAATGGTGTACATCATCTGACACACGTTGAAGGCGTGTCGCCAGTTGTGGTACGTCACTGGGCGATAGTACAGCCTCTAACACAGCTCACCTTCAGAATGGTGTACATCATCTGACACACGTTGAACGCGTGCCGCCAGTTGTGATACGTCACTGGGCGATAGTACAGCCTCTAACACAGCTCACCTTCAGAATGGTGTACATCATCTGACACACGTTGAAGGCGTGCCGCCAGTTGTGGTACGTCACTGGACGATAGTTTTTCTTCACCGACATCAGCCAACGGCAGAACACTGTCTGGTCTATTCGGAATCGCTCCAGGAGACCGCAGTCGAGCATCATTCGCATACAGGCCTGAGGAACATAAAATCCAGTGACGTAGTAATAAACATGACTGCAGACTAGCATAATACGCATACAGGCATGAAGAGAAAATAAAGTCCAGTGACGTCATAATGCAATGAAAACTCGGTGACGCCATTACAACTAACAGAAGTCCGGAGTTCATCAGCATCTGCAAACGTCTGAGACGTTTATCCGTGATTTCACTACACATACACGTACAATACTGCCAGAATTTCGAGAGTCGAATCATAGCGCTAAGGTTTTTCGGATTGTTAGTATACGACACTCTCAAAATAATTCGGAACTTCCAGAGTAATATTTAGTAAAAGTCCTCTCAAGGTACAGTTTCAGCTCCATCATCACCCTAAATTCTATGTTTTTTCGGTTATATTTTGAAGTGTCACTATATCTTCCGGCTACATCACACGTAGTTAAAACGCATTACCAGACATTAAAGCTTACTGTATATATTGAGACGGGTTACACAGCACATTCGGGTGGATGCGTTTCGTCTAAATGACTTTATCGACACCCTCTCGGAAATTAAAACAATACAAACACGAGAGGGTGTTTAACCCTCGCCCCGTTGGGGGGGGGGCCATTTTGGCCCCCCCCCCTGTGGTTTTTCCTGAATAGCAAGAAAACGGCGGCGCGCAGCGCCGCCAAATTTTCAGGACCTTCCCGGGCATCAATTTGACACCTTCACACCAAATTTCAAGTCTTAGGTCACCTTAGGTCAGGAGTTATTGAGGTCAAACTGAGGTCATGTTCGAGCAAAAATGAGCAAAAAACATGCAATCTTGAAACGCTCACCAAATCTACAGTTATCAAGTAATTTTAAAGTTCTTTATATGGTCTAGTAGACAAAAAGCGGCGCTACAAAACTGCTATCTCGGATATTCAAAATTTTTGGTTTTTTACCCAAAAAAATTAAAAAATTGATTTTTTTAGAAAAACAAGAAAAAAATCCAAAATTTTTCGGAATTTCGAAAAAACCGGAATATATGTGATAGTCCCAGCGCTCTTCTATATACATATTAAATTTCAGATCGATATCTCGTTTTTTGGCCAAGTTATAGCGAAAAAAACTGTTCAAAAATGATGACGTCAAATTTTTGAACTCAATTTTTAGCGATTCTAGACCACGTAGGGCAAAACAAAGACCACCATTGAACTCCCCGTGACGAGCTGCATCGATTCGATACCTATTTTATGCAAAAATATTAACTTTGAAATTTGACCTAATTTGACCTGACCTTGACCTGACCTTGACCTGACCTTGACCAAAACGTGACCTAAGCTGGCCCCAAAGGCTGCCTGACCCACATAATCGCATTTGTCATGTAAAATGGACCATAAAACATGTATCACACGACACTTTCATATTGTGACCCCCCCGTGACCTGACCTCTGTGACCTGACCTGGTATCAGTGACCTCAAATAGCAAAATATGTGTTTGAAGAACATTTCCCATCGATGATTTTCAATGAAATGCATTTTACTCGATTTTACAACGCATTTCTTGAAATGCCTGTAAACGGTGAAAATTGGACCTTTGACCTGACCTGTGACGTCATCGGTTTGACCTAGGTCAATAAAATTGGGTCACAAGGTAGTTCCCTGTTGGGGCTATCCAACGCCGTTTACCGCTTGTCGATATGTTGCGTGGTTCTCGAGATCTTAGGGGGGGGGGGGCCAAAATGGCCCCCCCCCCCCAACCGGGCGCGTTGCTCGGCAGAGCCCAACGGGGCGCGGGTTAATTTCCGAGAGGGTGTCGATAAAGTCATTTAGACGAAACGCATCCACCCGAAAGTGCTGTGTAACCCGTCTCAATATATACATTTGTCTATTGCTACTCAACTCATTAAAGCTTACCCTCAGTGTATCATCATCGGACAGCTTCAGGTCGTCGAAGGCGAAAGAGTCTAGCTTGAGACAGCGTGCTGAGGGGATTGGCGACTCCTGTGGAGGAAAAAAACTCATGTCAGAGAGGCCATCCAATGACATGTGGAGTCTGTCAGATGACACATTCTCTCAGCAAAACTAGTGCTGTGTCCAAAAAGATGTTTAGAGTGAGGGTCGAACTTAGGGAAAACGAACTAGAGTCTGTTACAAACTGTGTGAGCGTGTAACACTAGCCGGAATAGACACAATGCATGATGTTTCAGACAACCACTATAGATTCAAGATTGTACGGGACAGGACAATATCATCTCGTAGTGGACTTTACAGTCAGTCTTGAAAGTACCGCGCATCGGCGTGGTGGATCTACCAAGTACCAAGCCCACTGAGGAAAGGCTGCTAAATTTTAGAGTCACTGAAACAATTGGCCTGGGGGATGGATGAGGACGTCTATTGGCTCGATGACTCTAAAATTTAGTAGCCCTTCCTCAGTCGGGCTTGATGGATCCACCGCACCGATGCGCGGTACTTTCAAAACTGACTGTACTACTGACCTGAAGTCGCAGGGCCTCCTCCAGCGGTGCCGTGGCGTGGTAGCTGAGGACCTCCATCGTCACTTTCTGCTTGGCCACGGCAGTAGTGGCCTTCTCGAACCTACAGATCGACAGGAGAACTTAGAAAAACACGGAACAAATAGTGCATGGACGCGTCTCGATTATTAAATCTTCATCAGCATGGCATACCCACAAGGAAAACAAGTCAACAAGTTTCAAGTCATTAACCCTCGCCCATGTAGGGGGGGGTTGGTGCAACCCCCCCCCCTGAGGTTTTTCTTAGCTACACGCCGAACCGTTTCAGATAGCCTGCTCAAATTTTCAGTACCCTCTGGGGCATCTTTTGCGCAACTTTTGGTATTTTTTTGTCAAGGTCATGTCAGGTCACGGAGTTATGACGTCATAAAGGGAACAACCTCCGGCCAGATTTACGCTAAATTGGAGATTGCTTCACATTGGTATAAATGCCGACTGACCTGACACACTGATGGATTGTTTTAGAATCACAACTGGCTGATTTGACATTGGCACAATGTCCGTTGACATTTTGAAGGTTACTAAAGGTCAAGGTAAGGTCAGTGACCTCGGTTGACCTGTAATGACTTTTTGCACTTGTATGCCTTTTCGGGGTATTTTGATGCCCTGAATTCGAATTTGCTATCCATTCCAGGCATCGTCGGTTGTTTCTTGTAGTTCATTTTGGGTCAGGGTCAGGTCAGTGACGTCACACGCCTGACGTGACCCAATGCTACAATGACTACAATGACTTTCGATGCTCCCAACGCATCATTTTTAGAGTTATGACATCGAAATACACACCAAACGATAGAGAATTGATCAAGGATCACGATAGTGAAGGTTTCAAGTCGATATCTCTTACCGTTTTGCCGCAATCGGCGCGGAAATCTGAAAAAGTTAGATTTTTCCGAAAACTTGACCTTTGACCGGTCATAAGTAGGTCAAATGTTGACCTAGGACCAAAAAATATACCACCAATCGCGAGATCTCGTTGAGAGCAATCCGTTGGTCTTTTCCGCTAAGCTCTACGACGCTCCGTTTTCAAACGCCAGGGGGGGTCGCACCAACCCCCCCCCCCCCCCCTGCATGGGCGAAGGTGGCAAAACACCGTTTACGGGCGAGGGTTAAGAAAACAAGTCAAGAAGTCAAGTCATTTCTGTCATCAAATTTTGATGTCAGGGAGAACTTCGGTCATTACCAGGTCACCATTCCCGTAATTACCAGGTCACTGTGATAAAGATATCGGACCATAATCAAGCCATCTAGTTATCAAGTTAACATCATAGGTTACATCAAGTTAACATCAAGTTAACATCATTAACATAACATAACCTACGATTTAAAGGAAAAGGGCCACCTTTAACATGGGGATTGAAACTGAGATAGCCATCTTGTAGCCCGTGTCCGAAAACCCTCCAGTCTATCCCCTTACGGCCGATTTCGGCTTCCATTCGTAGGTATCAGCAATTTTAAAAGAGGAATGCGTCCTTATCCCAGGAATGCGTCCTTACCCTGTAATACAGCCACCCGCGGCGAGGCTTTGGTTTTTTACCAATCAGCTCCAATCAGCTCAGCTTTAACCAATCAGCTTATCTGACACAATCCGACGAGTCTGTCTTCTGAACGCTGATTGGCTTGAGTGTGACGTCATCGCTATGCCATCATACAGTAAGTGCCGTAGAGAGTATCGACATAGTACCAAAGTATGTTTAATAGTTTTAAACACTTTTTCGCGTATTGTGCACTGCTGGCACCAGTTTTAAAAAGAAAATGAAAAATTATAATGTCAAAATGAAAAACAACGATATCTTCATATTTCACGAAGGTGGGCCCTTTTCCTTTAAAGTTGTTTGCTGGATGTGCATGTAATTATCAAATCATGAAGCCATTATCAGGTTATCTGATGATCATATCATATCATGAGATCATCGGATGATAATGTCAGTAGGTGAGCATCAGCAATCAACATCATTATATCAAATGATTAGGTCATCATAAATAAACAACGTCATCGCTAGGTCATTTCCAGGTTATCAAATTATCAACACAAGAACACAGTACAGATGATCAAGGGTAGATAGCACACGTTGTCTATATAAGCGGAACACAATGCAAAGACGCATGTCTTGTCGCGTTTTTAGGTGTTACTAGGGTTACCCGCGTGCTCCGCAACGCGAAGGGGGGATTTTTTTGACCCGTGGGTATTGGGTTGGTCTGTGTCGATTTGGTTGGTAGATATCCATTTCGTTCGATTGCTTTTTAACGGCCAAGCATTTTGTAAGAAAACAAAAAGATACATCGCATCGAGGTGCCCGTGTCGTATTATCATGCGTTCTACTTAAGAATGATTCGAAAACTGGCGTGAAGTCTTTTGAGGGCCATCGATGAATTTCGCTAAAAATGACAGTGTAATGGTTTAGAACATTTGCATTTTTAAGAATACTGTTATTCATAATGCAAAAATGAAGACTGAGCCTTGGACAGAATTGAATGCTCTTTCCAACGGTGCCATTTTTAATTGTCAGAGATATCAGATCATTGAGGAAAACCCGTGTGATTAATGAAGTGGCACAAAATTGACAAACACTATTTTCTCCCGTGATTTGTACCACCTTGATTTGGATCAATTAGCTCTTCACAATTTTCCCATGAGAGGCGGTACATTTCTCTTGCCAACAGGCGTTGTTCCAACTCGCTCCGTTTAACGGTCAACTAAAAATAAAATTAATCCCAAAATCCGTCAAAAACTGCAATTTTTCAATAAAAGTATCCTCATAGGGGCACGTGGCGCGTGCCATCCCCTGCAACGCACACCGATCAATAGCCCATTCGATTCTCTACACGATGCTGTTTTCCCCGTGCCGATCGGGCGCACGGTTACAAAGATGTTGCACGGGGATCGGACCCGTGTGGGGCAAATTTAGCCATTTTCGCCCGATTTTGCAAGCCGATTTATACATGTAAAGTCTATGACGCGAATTCGCACTTTTTGAGCACGCGCCACGCGCTCCCTACCAATCCGATCGAGCCCAGACCCCTCAAAGGCACGTCGCGCATCCTTGATCTGTAAGTTGTGCAAATTTCAGCGCGCTAGGTGCAACGGTCTGGCCTGTAGTCCACGCAAAGCACCACCAAGTCGGGACCTCGGTAACGGACAGACGCACCCTCCTCAAATAGTAATATAGATTAAGTGTTGCCGGTTGCGTTACCCAATCTCAGGCCAACCATGCAAAACATAGCCCGGAGAAGGACCGCTCCGGTTGTTTTTTAATAGAAAAACACAATTCTAACGAATAGTGTTTGTCTTTTCAAACAACCTGCGGTTATTACTGTTTCGCGCTATCATACGCAGCGCGTTAGTCAAGTGTCACGTAATTACTGTTTCCAGTAGTTCTAATATAACGACTTTGACCTTTTGCAGAAGTTGAATTGTTTCGTAAGTGGCAGTATAGTGCCGAGCTATATGTGCGGCTCTAGGGCAATTTGGACGCCAGTATGAGAGGATCAGTGCGGCACTTTGGGGACATAATAAACGGACTTTTGGCAGCACTTGAGACAAACTCAAGATGTGCGCACAGTGCCCTCTTCTCCTGTTCTGCTGTTCATCTGTTCGCTAGCGTTAATTTGTTTGTTAAATTAATGGTTCTAGTATGTATTATTGTGTCTGAAGCTCTTTCATTTTTATTGTGCTATTTTATACCTATTCTATAGATGATTTGTTGACTAAAATATTACCAGTCAAAATTAACCCATTTATTTTTGTAAACATTTCGAAGAAATACCATAAAAATAAAAATAAATGTATCGCTTCCAGTTTACCTCACAAAGCACTTAATAAGAGTAAGCATTCACATTTTAAAGATTTTGATTTTCAAAACAATAAACATCGACTCACATGTGTGTGTTGGTGACGCCGATACCACAGAAGATGGCGAACGCCTCCAGGAAGTTCTCATCGTTCTTTGTGAACGGGAGTCCGTCAAACTTATTCACCAGCTGATGGAGAGAAACATAGAATGTCGTATCATTTCCTGGATTAAATCATGATGGCAAATTTTACTATGTTTCCTTTTTAGATCTCTCGGTATTCGTTAAACCTTTGCCGGATGAAGAAGACATTATATTCCGGGGGAAAATGCTCACCAGTGGCAAATGCTGAAGGAACTAACGTTCGACTTTTTTGGTAGAGCATAGTAAGAGTAAAGTAATATTGACAAAGCATGCTGTACAGTCGATGCGTTATACATATATAATAAAACTGAATGCATAACAGTCAGAAGGTAAACGACTTCGATAGGGCGTAATTTATGTTCACAATAAAATGAAAAAATAACACTAACGTGGTAAACTGTACATAGGACCATTGTAAAAATGCATTTCTTTATTTCTATAATAATCTCAATACCATTTACTACCCATTCTAGTTATTCTAGCTTTTTATTATATTCTAGCTATTCTATTCTGTTCTATTCTATTCTATTATATTATATTATAGTCCAATATATTACCTGTATCACACCTATAGTCCGGTTGGCCGGAGATATGATTGGTAGACACAGTATAGACTGGTGTTTGAGTGGCGATCCTTCGTCCACTGAGGGCTCGAACAGGTCCGACTGGTACACGTCAGCCAGGTTGATAGTCTGTGGGGAGAGCGTGACGTCAAAATGACGTCACAGAGGCAGTATGACTGGTACACGTCGGCCAGGTTGATGGTCTGTGGGAAGAGTGTGACGTCAAAATGACGTCACAGAGGTAGTATGACTGGTATACGTCAGCCAGGTTGATAGTCTGTGGGAAGAGTGTGACGTCAAAATGACGTCATTAGTGGTCAGATTGTCGGTTCATTAAATCGTCCTGAGTGATAAACGACGGCCAGGTTGATGGTCTATGAGAGAAGTGTGAAGCTCGATCTCAAAATTAAGTTAATTCGAAAACACATATGTTCACTGTCTAAATATAAAAAATCTTTAATTATCACCAAACACCAATGGTGTCGACAAATGTACAACTTTTATATAAACACAGAAATGGTGAAACCGAGTCTTTATTCACAATTTACTCACTCACTTTACTCACAAGCCGCCCGTCGAATGCAAAATGCTCTTTACTCACCCTCGCAACAAAGAACTTCTGTCTAGTGTAACCCGTCCTTAACCCTATTCCTGGCGGGCTCCGCCGGGACAAGAAACTGGCGGGGGGGGGGGCCGATTCGGCCCCCCCCTGAGATCTCGAGAACGAAGCAAGATAGCGACAAGCGGTAAACGGCATCGGATACGCATGGACAAGATCTACAATTTTTACTAAGCTCATTTTCAGGTCAGGTCAAAGATGACGTCACAGGGGTCGAAAAAGTCAAAATGGCGGCGCTAGATATGGAGAGAGTTTTTCTCGAATAACTTTCGAATTAGTCAAGATAGGAACAAACTAAGGGCATCATCGTGATCCTCTCGTCAATCCGCATCGAATGATATATATGTTGACCTCGAAAGGTCAAGGTCAAAGGTTGACCTCAGGTCACGTGACCTCGAGGTCATCATGTATATCATTCGATGCGTCTTGACGAGCTGAACACAATGAGACCATCCACGCGGCTGTATCTTGTTTCTGTACGGAGTTATTGGCCAAAAACCTTTGGTGACCTTTGATGACGTCACATGACCTCACAGCTGCCCAACAGCAAAACAGATCTCAAGGTAGTGAAGGTTGATCGTATATGAAGTCATGTATGGTATATGGGGCCATTCCGACCCGTTTTAGTGGTAAAAACAGGGAGTTGATTTTTCCCCCATTGACTTATAATGGGGAGGTCGCGAAACTGACCTGACCTTAGGTCACCGATATCAAAATTCCGAGATATACAAATTGCACATACTGGTACCCTAACTAAAGCCTGAAGAGAAGAAATTGATCGGTCAAAAACTCTAGCTCTGGCGTGATTGCAAACTTTTCTGAGGTAGGGTCACCAAACCGCCTCTGGTGACCTGACCTGAGGTCAGATCAACTCAAAATTTTCAGACATGTTGCGTAGAAGCCTTATAGGAAAAGTCAGAAAATTTGAGCTTCCTAGCTCAACGCGTTTGGGAGAAATAACCAAAAAACCTCAGGGGGGGCTCCTGAGGCCCCCCCCGCCAGGAATAGGGTTAACTCACCATTACCCGATGTAACGCGGCCTCTACTCACGATTATACAGTATAATCCTCCCTTTACTCACGATCATATAGTATAGCCCGCCTTTCACTCACAATTACCCAATGTAACCCGCCCTTTACTCCACATTAAACCGATGTAACCCGCCTTTTACTCCACATTACCCGATGTAACCCGCCCTTTACTGACTATTACCCGATGTAACCCGCCCTTTACTCACCCTCCCTGTGGTCGCCAACTGTCCAATGAAACTCACACTTAACTCCACATTAACCCGCGCCCTGCTGGGGGGGGGGGGGTGTTTGAACACCCCCCCCCCCTGTGGTTTTTCGCGGATATCTCAAAAACGGCGGCGCGGAGCGCCGCCGTTTTTGGTACACCTTATCATACATCAATTCTACACATGTTGTGAAAATTTCAGACCAAGGTCATTCAAGGTCAGGTCACCAGGTCACTTGAAGTGACCTCACCTCATAAAAAGTTTCAATGTCTGCCATAGCTACACCGAGTGACCGATCGCTTTAAAACTTTCAGCGATTACTAAGAGCAATAGCATGTACAAAATGTATATCTCAGAATTTTGATATCGATGACCTAAGGTCAGGTCAATTTTGCGACCTCCCCATTATAAGTCAATGGGAGAAAATTGAAATGCGCCTCTTTTGGACGAAAAGCATTATAAACACTCCCAAACACTGAATTACAAGTGGTTTAGACACACTGAACATGAAAATGGTGTCCGTGACCCCTGGTTATGCCCCTGAGGTCATTTTAGGTCACGAATGGTATCTAACAGTTTTTCGCAAATAACTTTTGATAGAGGCATGCTAGAGCGATGAAAACGCCTTAGATGTGTTCAGCTCGACGATACGGATCGACTGATATGCAACATGACCCTTTCCGGTCAGGTCATGACCTTGACCTGAGGTCAAATTTTCAAGTTGACCTTTCAAGGTCAAGTTATAGTTCATTCGATGCGTCTTGACGAGAGGAACACGATGCCGGTAAAAGTAAGCTCGTACAAGGTTTGGGTCAAAAGTTATTGCAGAAAAACTGTTTCCGAAAAAATCGGCTATTTTTGCAGTTTTTACCCCCTGCAGGCAAAACCGTTGACGCTAGGTCAAATCTGAGAGGATTACTCAGAAAGAGCGTTAATAGGGCTATCGAATGCGCTTTTCCGCAGCGCTGTAGCTCTATTGGTTCCCGAGTTATGCGTTGGCTTGTTGGAAATTTTCGACATTCGACCTGGAAATCGGCGAAATTTTGCCTTCAATGACCTCTGGTGACCTGACCTTTGACCTGACCAAAAAATTGACCGAAGTGATTTCGTCATTATTTTATACGCTCTTTCGAACTCCGCCTTCCGCGTATCGCTACGTGGCCCAGGAGCCGAGTTAGAAGGGGGGGTGTTTGAACACCCCCCCCCCCCCAGCAGGGCGTGGAAATCCAGGACCCCCAGCAGGGCGCGGGTTAACCGATGTAACCCGCCCTTTACTGACTATTACCCATAAACCCGCCCTTTACTCACCCTTCCCGTTGTCGCCACGCGTCCGCTGATCCCCACATGGACTGGAAACCTCCCCTCGTGCGGCTGATCCCGCGTCTCCGATTCCTCCAGGTCGGAGGACTGGATATCGAACACACGGGAGAAGGTCCCCTGGCAGGATTCGTCCACTAGCATAACCTGGTGACACAGAAGAGGAGATATGGTAACACAGATGACACGGATGGATGACACAATAGCCGTTTTCATGACGGCCATCTGGTACACATTTGGTGCAAATTTGGTACAGATTAGGTGCAGATTTTGGTCAAATTAGGTTCAGTGTATCTCTTAGTAGCTATCAGCTAGGGTTGCGCTAATTGCTTATATGCCTGCTTTGTCATATTATCAGAGAGCATCATCGATTAAAACACTGAAATAAATTTATAAAATTAAGATATTTGCTGTTAAAGAGATTAGGTACAGATTTGGTCAAATCAGGTGCATTCACCGGATAGCCCGTCGTTATCATGTTATGTCTGATGGTAACAATCAACGAGATAAGAAATAAGAATACGCTTGGTGCCACATGCTGACAAATGTCACCTAGTTGACAAATAGTCAGGTGAGATGTGATGAAACAGTGAACATTTACAATGATATGACGCCGTGTCATGTTACGACATACGCCAGCACCACATGGGGAATGTGACACAAGCGATGACCAAGTTCATTACGATGACACCTTCTGACACATTTTACGACATGATAACAACGGAGACAAAACGGTGTTGCCTCGACACCACCTCCTTGACTGAGCCAAGAGGAATCAGACCTAAGGACCAACCAGTCACTACTGCGCAGGACTTGACTGAATCAGAGTGGATTTTACTGTACCAAGATGGATCTAGGTGCACCAACCTGACACCGCTGACACTGTAGGAAGCTCAGCGCGTGCACCAGGATTCTCTGCACGACGCGTTCGATGGTGCTCTGCTCCTCGAAGATGATACGGGCCAGGTCGAGCAGAACCTGTAAGGGTGAAATGGCGGTGGTTAGTTATGGGAAAATGAGTCTTATGCATTGATGCAACAGTAGTTGATGCGATGGGGTTGTATTTTGAAGTGTCAAGATGAGAGAGATTGCAAACATCTAACAATTGATTTCAATTATCATTGAATAAAACACATGTGTGAATTCTCAAGAAGAAACAATGTCCAATTCAGCATCAGATATTGCTCGAAGTACAAAAGGTATCATATTGACAACGCATTTTGCTGATAACCATTCTCAATGTCTAACCATCATCAACATCTAACCATCCTCAACTATCCTCTAAGCTAGTACCTGCTCATCACATTCATATGTCCTACTCTGTCAACTTGATTTTTATGACAGCTCATTCGTTCGCACGTGTGCCACAACGCATGCCAAATCAGATACCCAAACCTGTACATGACAGCACTGCTAACTCTCAGAAACCAGGACCGTTCTACTCAGAATTGGCTCGCCTCGCCGACGAAATGCTTTAAATTATCGCAGCATAGTCAGATAAACCCTAAATGGTGCGGCCTGAGGAAAATAGTGGCGATTTAGCGATTTGGGGGCATCGCTGACTGACACGCAAGGGCTCAGGAGTCAGGAGCCGTTATAAATTACAATGGGTTAACGTTATTGAGGTTGCTACATAAGCGTAGGAACCATGGGTGCAAGGGTGCAGCTGCACCCACAATATTTCTCCAGTGGGTGCAGACAATGTATTCTGCACCCACAATAATCTGAACCAAAAACCCCTTTTCTCATCAGCACTACTTTCACTTTCCATGCAGCACGGCAAATTCAGGATATGTTGCCCACTAGGTATCCATCTTTCGAAGCATTTGCTTTTGTGATGGTCTTCAAAACTTACATTTGTGCTGAAGAAAAAAGGGATGGAGCATGTGATTGAACACATACCGAGCCGATGACCCACTGTCACAATTTTTAGCCCGATATCTTCGAAAATGGCTAAGTTGGCCGCTTTTACTTTTTGCGGTAGTCAATATTATCAATTATCAATATTATAAATTAGCCGGTCCCGTAGCTCAGTTGGTTAGAACGTTGGACTCCGCGCGGTGAGAGCACGCGTTCCCGGTTATGGCAGTCCGGGTTCGAAGCGCGACGGGCGCTCGACATTTATGGGCCTCCTGACAGGTATGGTTGCGGTTGGTGGCAGGCCGTAGCCAGGCGAAGTCAGCGAGGGGACCGGCCGTGCGCGGCTTTGTGCGCACGTTAAACTTTGGACACTAAATTCTGCCATGAATCGGAATTGCGCGATCGGAGGGTAGAGGGCAGGGTCATCGCAACAAGCTTCGCTTAGCGGTGGCTCTGTCCTTGTGAATCCTTCCCATCAAAAGGTTCGGACTAAATTTATATTAAGAAAAAAAAATATTGACACGTGTCGCACGTGTGCGGCGTTTTCCAGCTTCTAAGGTGTAGGAGTGGGGGGGGGGGTGATCGAGCTAGAGCTTCGCGGAAAAAAACGAGGGTGTTGCCTGTGACGAGAAGAGGCCGATGATACCCAATTTTAAGGTCCTAGGTCATTGGTTGACCTTCCAGGTCAGGTCAATGACCCAAAAGTCGGGAAAATCGGGACCTGTTAGAACGTCGTAAAGGGTGGCTGCTATGTTTTTTTTTGGGTGCTGATCACGAATATCATGCTAGTTTTGATCACAGATGATTTCTTCATGCATTTAGGCCAGATCGGGTCAGGTCAGGTCAGGTCAGGTTAACCATTAGGCGTCCTACCGGCTATCCATAGTAGGTGTCAACTACCACTGACGGCGTCGTAGCATGTTACGAAGGCACTTAAACTACTTCGTTAACATTCAAAATTGGATGCTAAATTCGAAAACAGCCCGAAAAAACTACCCTAGAAACATGTAATGCTCGAAAAAGTGAACCAAGGTCATCAAAGGTCAATGACCTGACCTGACCTTCAGGTGACCTTCACACCCACCGTGATGCATGGGACGAACATACTTTCACATGTTTGGACATCTATAATCACAAAAAGACTGGAAACGCGCGGATAATGTGAGCTGACGTACGCCAAATCGCGATTCCGGCCGAACATGGTCTCGAGAATCAGGTTACAGGTCAAAGGTCTTTTGGGTCAGGGCCATGAAATTTTCAGAGTAGGTGTAAAACTGATCATCTCGAGGGTACTTAAAGCTTCGTCGCGATCGGTTGCTTTTTGCGCGAGTTATTTGCGAAAAACCATGGGGGGGGGGGGCTCATTCGAACCCCCTACACATGCGAGGGAATTAATGCTTCCAAATGCACTTATCGGTCGGTACCTTTTCGACATGGTATACACCCCCCTCAAAGCTCGTAACGAGCCTTCGCTCGGGTGTCGCTCCCTACCCCCCCCCCCCCCCCTCCCCCCGCTTCACCGGCCATGGCTGGATTCCTGCACCCATGCACCCACAATGTTCCAGCCGTTCCTACGCCCATGGGTTGCTAAAATACTCCCAAAGGAGCAGCTGGATGCCCAAGATTACTAGCGCACATAGCCCGGGACTGGCAAATCAGGCAAGTGTACGGATCTGTAAGAAAATAGGACATACTGGTGACATTTGAGTTTTCTACGCTGAAATAAAAAATGCGCCACACAAGATAAAAATAATCATGTGATCATTAGTTAGACACGCGTGTAACAACACCTGCATTATGTTGTAATTGCGTGACATTAAAGCTGTCTTGTTGGGTAGCAAAACACCAAAACAATACACTAAGCAAGATGTTTTTTGGACAATGCATGCAGCGCGGCCCCAAATAGGGTCACTCTATTCACGCGGTGGTGCCGCAGTCCGCACAGCAGAACAAGGTTCGGGAAAACGCTGAATTTTAGACACCGTCAGTCTAACATGGTCCCAGAAATGCTGTATAAAACTATGTACCCATAGTGGCGTTAACACTCGTTCACTTCTTTTTCTTCCTTTCCGTCTTATTGGAGTATTTAACCCGTTCCGTTTTATCAGCTCTATCCTACCAGTCCTGTTTTGTCAACTTTGTTCCCTAAGCACCGTCTCATCTGGTCTGTGTTATTCGTACGCTTTTCCATTTCATTCTCGACCCGTTTCATTCTCATCCCGTTCCCTTTTCTTCTCACCTCGTTCCTTTTTTACTCACCCCGTTCCTTTTTTACTCACCTCGTTCCGTTTGTTCTCCAGCTGTGAAAGTTTGTTTAGCTGTGCGTTCCTTTCCTTCTCACCCTGTTTCTGTTTTTCTCACCTCGTTCCTTTTTTACTCACCTCGTTCCTTTTGTTCTCCAGCTGAGAGCGTTCGTAGAGCTGTGCGTTCCTCAGTCCAATACCGCAGAACTGGAGATAACTGGCGAAAACCAGTTCGTCAGCGGCGGTGAACCGGCCGCCGCCCTGCTTGTTGACCGCCTGGGGAAATAGAAACGACGGGAGATGTTAGGGGGGTAAATAGGGAATGGTAAGAAGTCAGTGACAAAGGGGAATAATGCGACGAAGAGAGGACAATGAAGAGAGGTAGGCAGTGGTTAGTTGCAAAAGGGACTTTGGAATCAGACGACGAACGGGTCACGCCCCATTCGTCGCACCTGCGCCATTTTCGTCCCACCTGCGCCACATCCGTCTAACCTGCGCTAATACCGTTCCACCTGCGCCAATACCGCTCCACCTGCGCCACACCCGCCTCACCTCCGCCACATTCGTCTCACCTGCGCTAATACCGCTCCACCTGCGCCACACCCGTCTCACCTCCGCCACATTCGTCTCACCTGCGCTAATACCGCTCCACCTGCACCCTATTCGTCACTCTTACGCCGTTTTCGTCTCACCTGCGCCACTCCTAGCACTTCTCCGTTGCTGTCTTTGATGGGCATACAGAGCAAAGAGTGGGTCCGGTATCCAGTGCTCGCGTCCACCTCCTGGTTGAAACGGGGGTCCTGTCGGTGGCGCCGGGTCATGGTCATAAGCGTCGTTTATAAATATGTTCGTAAATAGTAAATACAGCATGCTTGGATATAAATTAGGAGAAAAGCAATTCGATATGTGTGAAATGGTTTGGTAGGCAGTGCAAAATAAGTTATGTCCTTTTAGATGAGAGGATAATTTCATGGTGATTGATGGGTCACAAAATCATGTCACCAATCGCAAAGCTACTTGCGACTGCATTTTGGTTAGAGTTGGGTCCTGGTCATATGCAGTGTATTATTGACAAGCGGCGTCATTTCCCAATCAGCTAGTCAATGTTAACATACTATTTCATAGCAATATACTAAATATTTCACAGCAATACTATTATTTTCTCATGCTACTTGCTAAAACAAGACATGGGACAGTCACAGCATGCGTGAAAGCTGGGCGCCCCTATGATGGCGAAGTCTGATGACTCTAAATGCCCTACTCTGATAATTTCCAGCATATTCCGGACGACATGTGCGTGTAAGCCTGCTCTAGATCACTCTACGTTCATACGCGCACGCGTCCCATAGAGATATACACACGGGTGTGTGTAAAATGTGTCAGCATACGCAGTGTGAGACTGGCCAGGCGTCTTCAGAGACTGACCAGGCGTCAATTAGGCGATAGGTACTCGTGACGCCTGATACATGTCAGAAATAATGGCGTTTGAAAAAGCCACGTCTAGTATAGCCAATAGTCTTCTATACCTGGGGCTTCCGTACTTGTGTTTTTATTACATCTTTTGTCTTAAAATCTTACTCGAATTATAATGAGGATTGCCTATTATTACGTTTTTATAAAGGATTGAATAAATCATAATTGCGGGTTTTCCCGCTACCTATCAGTGCTTACTTTGATGATAATCAGTCGATGTTCTCCATATAATGAATCTCTAATTACTTACGCCCTGAAAGCAACCAGCAATTATAAAATTACGGGGGAAACTAATAGGGAATCAGATGACACCATTATAACTCCATCCCAATGACATCATTTACCCTCACTCCAATGACGTCACGCGTCTCTCACCTGGTACACGTCAGGTACATTTACTGGCTGTCCCTGGTCTGCGACAAATCCAGCGATCCCAGCTCCCCAGGGCATGCGAAGTTCCCGCTTGGTTTCTTCGACCTTACTGTGTGAGTTCACATCGAAAAGCTGTGGAAAGAAAACGAGTTGGTTAGTTTGATTGGTAAGAGATCAAACTGAAAGATGATAGGTTCCGGTTTCGAACCCAGGGCCTACTGGCAGCCTTCGGTTGGGGTTGAACTGGGACAAAGGGATTGACAGCCACCGAAGACCACCAAAGCCTGAACCCAAAACAACACTGACAGTGGCGTACCCAGGAATACCAGAGGAGCGCCAATACTGGACAGAGGGGCTTCGCCATCAACTAGAAGCGCGCCGCTATCGACTGGAGGAGCGCCAACACTGGACAGAGGAGCGCCAGTCACTGAGGGCGCCGAGGACGATGAGCCAAAGGGACAGGGCATGCACGGAATGTCCTGTATGTGCGTACGCCACTGAACACTGATGAGCAGAGAGCCGATATTGGCAATTAGTATATCAAATGATGGAAGTTCTGTTTACGTTTGATCCCTAGCCCATGGCTGTGAGGACCGAAAATCTGTTCATTTTCTTTTTGTTTTCGTTAAGTGGCATAATGCCGCCTTCAATTATTGCAATGAGGGGATTGCATGTGTTGTTCGATACGATGATAAAAAATAAGTGAACTTTTAATGCTTAAATAAGTGATAAGCCTGACCAAGTAGCTATCACGAGCGGATCAAAATGCTATCCGAAAAGGTATTATCAATGTTCATTTGATTATCACTTAGCATAACTCTTTCAACATACCCTTGGCCTTTGTCCAGCTCCTAAATCATCCTCCGATTCACCCGGAACAACATGTCATTTTGGAACGCCAGTTTCATCAGCGATAAATCGCCCGAGGCTGCAGTCAGGCTATGTTTACCAAATGTCACCAGACTGAGACGTTACCGCTCCAATCTAATTCAGCGAAGATCGACGACGCTACGATCATCGTCAACTATCCACGCGTCAGACTGGAAGAGTTAGGGTGAATTATGGCATGTGGAGATGATGTAATGCAAAATGCTATGCTAGCGAATGTCGGTTAGTTCGTGATTTTGGGTAGAATGACGAATATCGGATGGCAGTTGAGAATCTGTGACAGATTAGCATCATTTGAGGTAAACAGTTGAGCAGGACTTTACCCTTAACATGTCGCCAAAGCCACATACGTTCGGGGTTAGAGATCTCACGAGTTGAATTACCCCTCTCCTGCACTCTCTCTCTCTCTCTCTCTCTCTCTCTCTCTCTCTCTCTCTCTCTCTCTCTCTCTCTCTCTCTCTCTCTCTCTCTCTTTCTCTCTCCTTCTCTCTCTCTCTCTCTCTCTCTCTCTCTCTCTCTCTCTCTCTCTCTCTCTCTCTCTCTCTCTCTCTCTCTCCCTCCCTCCCTCCTCTCCTCTCCCTCTCCCTCTCCCTCTCCCTCCATCCCTCTCTCCCTCCCTCCCCTCTCTCTCTCTCTCTCTCTCTCTCTCTCTCTCTCTCTCTCCCTCCCTCCCTCCCTCCCTCCCTCCATCACCCTCACCCTCACCCTCACCCTCCCTCCCTCCCTCCCTCCCTCCCTCCGTCTCCTCTCTCATCTCTCTTACCTGCGCCACCAGATGTCTCGATCCGGACTCCTTCTCACCCCTCACCAGAAATAGTGAGCATCTATCGGCCCTGGTGAGAACGCTCACACTCTGGAGAATCTTATGGCAGAGTGAGCAAACATCCAGGTCATTGCAGATGTCCTTGACAAGCTCCAGAACCAGCTCCTGGAGGAGAGAGATAAATGACGTCATTAGAAAATCAGCACGTGCTGCAGGGGTGTTCGATGGCAAGACAAAGTTGTTGGGCGGTGGAAGACAGATGACTTCATATGAGATTAACTGGAAGAGAGAGCAACAGGAAGAACACCAAAAAACGTAAATAAAACACACAGAACCAATACAAATGCAGCTTCTGAAGGGAGGGACATACTGATGACGTCATAATGTATACCTAGAATGACGACTTAGAAAGTGTTTTGTATATGATTTATAGGATTTATAGCATGCATGCCTGATTTATATATTTATGAGCATTGTTCTATCAAAATCATAAAGTTATGCATCTAAACTAAATCAGAGCAGAATCTCTTGCAGGAGAGATGCATAATGCAGCACCAGCTCCTAAAAAGGCCAGCTGAACGTCATCCAACAGATCAATCAATAACATCCAAACACAAGCAAGCAATAGAAGGATAACGCATAACGACGAAGGACAATGTCTGACAATACATGAAGACAATAAAGACACATATTTTGTTTGTTCTGGGTATAACCAAGAACAAACAAAAACAGCCACAAACCTACAAGCAGGTGACGTCACATAGAACGATCGACTTTCTTACGATATAGGGACTGGGTGTCAGGCAGACGCAAACATACACTGACAAATCCAAAAGCGGCAGTGCACGGGCCCATTGTCTCCGAAATAGACAGTTTTCCAGTGGTATGCAAACTGCTACCCATACACAAAGTAGTCCACACTTAGGGTTGGCCCACGTTATAGCTCTAGAGAAGCTTCTCACATGGATCCGATAGCACTTTGAAAAAACGCCACAAACACAGTGAAGCAGTGCAGAAGCATTGGTGGCAGCAGGGGCGGACCTGAGAAGGGGCCACGAGACCATGATTCGTGCCGAAACACATACAGGAGGTAACATTTTTTCACCACCACCGACCGCTATGGATTTAGTAATTAATTTGGCGCCATCCCTCCCTTCTCAGTGATTGTTCTTCAGAACCATTTTGTTGTTGTTGTTGTAAGAATCGAATTTTTAACCTAATTTGTCATGGTCATTAACTTACCAACCGTCACGTCCAGAAAAAAAAACATCAAGGAAAACGGCAGAAATATAATTGAAATAAATTTAGGTACGACAACTTCAAGTGACCAAGGACTGTCCAGCGTCCACATTAGCTAGGGCACCCGGTCAATATAAACAAAGTTGAATGATTGCCATACCAACCGAGATGTTTGAGGGTCAACGATAAAGTAAACAGCAATTCCAGCCTGTCCAATCTAGAGATTCTCTGCCTGACTGCATAAGTCAGACGCTGAAGAGCAGCGAACACCTACAGTCATGGCAAATGAAATTAACTGGAGCAGAAGACATCAGACAGAACAGAGCATGACACGCCATACATACATGTACAATAAACAAGCACATACGCCAAGCCCTCCAACGGCGAATGTTAGTGTCCACCGGCGCAAGCTAAACAATGTGCGACAGAGGTCTGCATAGGGTTTGCCTGTCCTACACATGATATAATGAGTTTTCATTGGTGCAGAGCCCTCGCGATTCTGGGCTATGATAGCGACATTGAATCATTTACCTAGTTATGTCTAGGTGTGGAATATTTTCACCGCTCATTAACTGATACAACGATTTTTTCATCAAATCCAATAACTTTGTGTTTGTTTATTTATTAACTTATCAGTTTATTTACTTACCCATCATTGTACAACAATATCTGGTTAACATTATTTAAATTAATGACCATTGCCACATAAGGATCCAGCATAAAAAAGAGCAAAAAGAAACCTATGATATACAATTTTACCACCGTTGCAAATCAGCCTCGTAGTGCGCCTAGCCAGCGCGGCGGTCGGGGTGGCGGGCTCAAAATCTGGCCACTCTAGCCGCACACCTGTTGAACTCCCCATCCCTTCCCCATCCCCCCGTCACGCTACCCCAGGCCTTCTCTGATGTGAGTTGCGCACGCTTCAGGCCCTAGCAGTGGAACGCTCCTCCTAAACTCGTGACATTGAGATGAAACATTTGAACACCGTATGTTTAAAATGTCCGTTTAATCCAGATGACGAAATGCAAACTGCTATCAAACTATCAATTGCATAAGCCGGTATTGCGAACAAATTTATGATTGGATGCGTAGCATAACTTTTATCACCATTACTACAAGTTATTCATTTGAATAATAATTGTAACTGTAAAGGGCATGATGAAATGGTTTATAACGAATCCATGACAGATGTAAAATGACGATAATAACTCAAGTTTATTGTACAAGACAAAGCTTTCGATACATAAAGTAGGTATCTTGATCACTGTCAATGAGATGTAGATACATCTCATTGACAGTGATCAATATACTTTATGTATCGAAAGCTTTGTCTTGTACAATAAACTTGAGTTATTATCGTCATTTTACATGAAATGGTTTCGTGAAATGAGGTCAGCAAAGGTCATAGTGACAAATCTGCGAATGATGTTTAGTTCAAGGTCAAGTCGTATGAGCTCCTTCAAATTTATTGATCATTGCAATGAATTTAGCGATCTTTTTCAGACTAAATCTTTGATACTTTATTTGAAACAGACGATGAAAAATGAATGAATTAAATAAAAAAATGAATTGAAATGGATGAATTGAAAAATTTAATAAACAATTATATGAAATTCGATGAAAAAAAACAGCAAAAAGTTCATGTTTTCGACGATTTAGTATCACCAAAACATTCACAAAAATATATGTTATCATGCCATTTATCCATCATGCATTTCTACACATCACGACAAAAAAGCAATCACCAATCCATTACCATCACCAATTCCAGCCCCATCACCAAGCGGAGTTAACACCACAAAAAAACCGTCACCCGAAGCGTGTCACGTGACTCATCCCGTGCCGTTGACCCACAGTCACGTGACTTACCTCGCCCGGGGCCATGCGCCGCAAGTCGAGAATACGGTAGGTATTTGAGCCGCTCAATCGTGCACGGTGGGAGCTTGAGCCGCTCCCTCGACTACGCTGAGAGTTTGAACCATGCTCGGTGACCATGGGTTGACCAGGGTGAGCTCCATTTACCTATGGTGTTATAATGGGGTAACCGCAGTCCGATGCAGGCAGTTAGTGTGGGAAGGGGGCTAAGAAGAGCCAAACGCCTTTGGCTAGTGTTTTGGGCTTGATTATACTACCATTCCATTATTGGCTATTGTTAGGAGACACTAAGATCAACTAATTAAGCATGCGCTTGTTTATTCCGTCTAAGCATCCTTACATAGTGTTTGGCACTAGAACTAGAATGGTTCCAACACGATAATGTAATGTTAGAAACTACAACAGCCTAACTACCTGGAAAAGTTCTAGTGCTAGGGACTCCATTGTACAGATATGTAGGTATATTTGTAGACACTTATAAACTGTTATCATGATCTAAGCTAATTTGAGACATAAACCTTAGTGAAGCACGTTACCATGGTCGAAGTGTTCAACGAGGCTCTACGAAGATGCAACACACTCCGATTATGAAAGCCAACTGAAGTCTGTCATGCTACATGTTTTGGTATGCCACATGCTATACGCTTTAGCAGAAGCTAGTTCATTGCACCCGCCTATTTCTGTACTAAAACAGCGGACTTTAGCACTTTATATAAATCTAAAACATCTTATATCAGAACATGAAACATTCGGCTAGCGTTTAACATAGACAATTGTTAGTCATACGTCTCGGCAAATGCTGAACACAATGCAAAGTCAACGCATTCTGCTCAGACGTTAGATGCCGCCTTATGGTAGTTTAGCAGGCTCGGCTACTGTCAAGCACTATACGTTTGTTAGATATTAGTCACAGCAACCAGGCATACCGGACTACTACAAATAAATTATCGATCGAGGAAAAGTAAGCTACATACACTGAACTAATGATTGAACAGATAGGAGCCAGATCGTGCGTTTGAATGTAGAACATTTGTTCATGTGACAACTGCAAAAACATTGAGCTACCGCTATTGAATATACGAAGCTTATAGTGGGCATGCTTTTAGAAAAGGCGTTGGTTTGTTCATTTTTTTCCAGTGTGCGTATGCTAGAATTATTTATCTAACGGGATTTCGTATAGTGTATCCAATATCCATTATAAAAGGTACTATAGTCCATTTTATTTCAAAAGGCGCACGGCCCGAAAATCGATTTTAGAATTGTCACGTGCAAAGTGGTGGTTTTGACAAAAATCAACGAACACCGGCTTGGCACGTTTCGAAATCAGACTGGTCAGCTGGTCCAGGCTGGTCTCTGATTTGCGATAAAGTATAGACATAAGACTCATAATGAGGAACTGTGAATCGAAAATGCTTCCACACGGGGTCTAGCCATAGGCATTAAATAAATGATTAAAATGATCATGTGGATGACCTGTTTGCAGGCCTACAAAAATAACACACGGATTGACATTTTGTTTTAAATTTATTTCTTGGTAAGTACAAAAAGAAACATGCGCCAGCATATCTGCCGACCTATTACAATACTGATCAATTGATTTCTGCATTGGAAAAATCTGTGGAAGGAGTTATTAAAAAGACGACCGAAGGCGAAGTTTCTACGTAGCATGCGAAAACACAATGTAAGACAACAATATAGAGCATCACCAGCTTCAGCGGTTGACAATGACATGTTTTCCATGAGCCTGCCGTTCAGAATTCTGGCCCCCGACAGAGTATAGTAGCAAAAATCATTGTTCTGTCTTGGTTGTTTAAAGATTTGCCGCTTGCTAGTTTCTGAAGTGATGGGCTGGCTGTGGAATCAAGGTTACTACAGGAATGACGTTTCATTAGCATGCAAAATTAACAGAATGGCTCAAAATCTATGAATTTACTAACATTTTGAAACGTGACACAGAATATAAGCTCAACTGAACAACTCGTTCCGTAGCACTGCGGTTATCTTTCAAAAATGGCCGAGAAATTCATCTCGGCTTGCGTTATTTTCCGACCCCACCGGACACGATTTGGTAGCCGAGGTCTGTGACGTCAGCTGGGCGTGAAGTTTTCCCTTCACCATAGGCTTTACACACAAATTGGCCAAAGTTCATGCCAGGATATCTCAGTCTGGAAGTGCAAAAAGGATTAAATGTTGGCGTCATTAGATTCAGTGTTTCATTTTATATCTGAAAATGTCCATTATTAGGCCTCAAAGAAGGTACAAGTACTCAAAATCGAAGTTCAAGAAGATGCTGTCGTGTACATAATCTGGTAGCATCACGTGACCTCTTAACAGCAGTTTATAAATAATTTAAACATCTAGTTACACGATTGCTGCTTCAAACAACATGAATAATACATTTTCAACATTTATTACTTCCGTTTAGGTCACAACATTGCAAAAAACAAAGTTCACCACCGTAGTCACGTGACCAAAGGTGTAGCAGGGGGTTGGGACAAATGCTTGAAGGGTTTTAATTTTTTAAAATAAATAATATAGTTTTCGTGATGAAATTGAAAGATTGTAATTTTTCATTACATAATACGAATTTTCGTATGTGGGATATTTTATTTGTAGGTAGAATTCTCCACATAAAAAATGATAATGACGTCACGGGGGCTTTACTCAAAACATCGGAGCTACCTGTTTCTTATAGGTATCTTGTTATTTTCTAGCGTCCCGCACGTGCAAACTCCAAAATAATACTTCGGGCCATGAGCCTTTTGAAAAAAATGGACTATAATTACCTTATTTTAAAACTTACTTCATTTGATAGACAAATTGCTCGCTCATGAAATATACTCATTTCAATGAATTAGAAACCAATCAACTAAGGCAAAGAAAATGGCTAGTAAAGATATCTCGCATCACATTTTACTCCAGAAACGTCACCTTGCAGGCGAAACTGACATCCAATCCCTTGCATACAGCTTCCGTAGCAACAATCTTCATTTATTGGCCCTTCAAGCGAGGCGCAGTCATTGCCTGAATTGACATTATCCCACCAACTACTATTCGCAATGCTATGTTCAAAGTACCGAAACGACTGAACACGTAATGAATTCAACACCCAGCAACAAAGCTAATTAAACCGGTACTGCTAATTAAACATTGACGGCAAGTAATTGCGGCCCAGCAGCATCCAAAATCTTATACGGGAATGCGTGTACTGAATTTTGATTGAGCAGGGTAGTTAAAGTCAGATCAATTTCAGAACATGTTGCCATAAAATATTTACGACTTGTTGCCATGGGTGATGTTCAAGAGTAGAGTAGTAAAATAGATGGGGCGAATAGGGTACCGGGAATCAATCTCGAGCGGTTTCCTATGCTCCAGACAAACTGAGCTCGTAGCCCGACTAACTTATTCAATTTGAGCTTCAGTTATAAAGTTCCAAGGTGTTTTGATGCTCATTCACATAGCGTCAATGCATTCATTTGTTTCAGGCAAAAAAAGCCGGTATTCAGTAGCTGGGAAAGCTGATTTTCCGATGTGGTGGTAGGTACATTAGCAAGCAGGCCTAGCAAAAGCAAAATAAAATGATAAATATAATGCAAAACAAGCAAAAGGAACATACTCCAATAATGAAGCGCATACAAAAGCAAAGTATCATGTATATTCTTTTGCCACTTGTGATAGCTGTAAATACACGACAAAAGTGTTTTTCGTCGTGATGAAGCTGAAGATAAGAGGGTTGCATTTGCTAACATTTTTATCGAACCATTGCGCAACACATCAAAAATTTGCATTACTAGCCTTATCATCGAGATGTCACACATCACATCAAAAATTCGCACCACTCACCTTATCACCAAGGCCTTACAACCCCCTTCCCCTCAAAATTTGCATCACTAACCTTTTCATCCAGGTGTTGCAGCTCGGATCGCGGTTTGCATCTCTGCCGCCTGCCGGCTGCCGCCGCCGCCGCTGATTCCGGTGTGGGGGCCGTCAGGAAGGTGGGACTACCCCCGACCGTGTTTACTATGGCTTTCAGGGTACCACCTCGCTCGAACTCGTGGGCGGAGATTTTTCGAACCGGAGTCACCGACCCGGAGGTGACTCTGAAATGGAGAAAGGGGTAAGTAAGTATGATAAGTATGGAATAAGGGTCAGTATGATGAAGAAGGGTGAAAGAAGAATGGGGTTTGAGAAGGGGGCTTGAATATGTTACGTGTGTCTCTTGGTTATTTTTACGACTGATAGGATAATACGACAGATAAAACAGCTGAGTTGCAGTCAGTTAGAGACAGCCAAGGACTAAACAACTTGGGAAAGGGGCGTGAGTCGTGCTCCAAGCTTGAGCCGCGCCTAGTAATGTGCTTTTCAACACATGCAAAATGATACAATTTATGAAAGTGCATCGTGTATTTCATATGCGTGCTGCATATTCACGCTTGAATATCTATCAGATTTTAACTTATGCTTTATGGGAAACTCCACCAATTATCGTAACTTTCTTTTGGCACCAGGCAATCCTTTGCTCTCTTTTCTCCACAGGGCCATTGTGCATGACCTCTAATGCCAACAGCAAACAGGATCCGTGAGCATGGCTTCTATACAAGTCATGTTCCTAGCAAATCATGCTCCTCGCTAACCTCATATAAACCGCATGGTCACCGACAATGACTCACTGTTCCTTCCAGGTCACTCACTAAGCAAGCACTGGCAAGATTGCGCTGGTGCCACACTACACACTAGCTCACTAACTCTTCATGAGTTTTCATGTCATATCCTATAGCGTCTAATTGATTCGTCTCTCTAGTTCTTCCCCAACTTAACCCACATATCAGCCACAGGCTGCTGGAGGAGAGAGAGAGAGAGAGAGAGAGAGAGAGAGAGAGAGAGAGAGAGAGAGGGAGAGAGAGAGAGAGCGAGAGAGAGAGAGAGAGGGAGAGAGAGAGAGAGGGAGAGAGAGAGAGAGACGGCCCCCATGAGCCGACCCCGATGTGGCGAGGCTGACCCAAATCCCTGCTCTCAACTGCAGGGGCGTTGTTTCTCCGAAATACACAGGCAGGAATAGCCAGGATACAATGCAACGCAATAGAGAACAGGAGCAATGGCGAGGTACTGGTTAGGGTTAGGGTGAAGTCGTATAAGAGTACGCACTTAGTGGATTTCTTGCTCTCATTTGTTTAACCCTCGCCCGCACATGCCATTTTCCCATCCTAGAACGCACATGGGGGGGGTGGTTGCCACCCCCCCCCCCGCGCCATTTCGTTCCTGTTGGAGATAGAGCTTAGCGGTAAAGACCAAAAAGATTCTTTGGGAAGAGACGAATCCAATGATACCCAGTTTTACCTTCTCAGGTCAGTCATTGACCTTCCAGGTCAGGTCAAACTAAAAAATGTTGCTGTCTTGGGTCACCGTTGGATATCAAGTGCGCTGCTTATCAAATACCGATGACGATGCTGTTTTCTGGTGCCAAGCCAGCTAGAACCTCTTTGTCACACTACCCGACCAGAATTTTGCTGCTGAGGTCATTTCAGGTCAAGTTAGGTCAAGGTCAATTATATGTGTTTGTATGTCTGTGTGTGTCTGTGTGTATACTGATGTGTACACCGATTGTTTTTGGGTCCATATTACATGAAATCATGATCTGAGAAGCTTTTACCAAAAATGCAATCAAAAAACTTCACAAAAAGTAAATTCGGCTTGCCTAAAACGCAATTATCTTAGATGACCTAGGTTGACCTTGACCCTGACCTTGACCCCTGTACATCGTTGAACAACATGTTCCATGATAGGTGGGAGGTAAGACTGGCAAAAAAGGCCGAAATCAGGGTGTCAAAAGCCCACAAGGCCCATGGCAAACGCAAGATGTTGAGAATTGGCCATTTGGGTCATGACATGACCTCAAAAACAAGGTCATATCTCCGAAACCAAAAATCACAGAAACTTGAAATTTTCAGTGGACATCAAGAAAGGATAGAGGAGCAGCTATACGAAAAATCAGCCTTCTAGCTCTAAAAATGTTGAGTGCAGAGCAGAAAGACTGCCTGGGGGGGGTGGCAACCACCCCCCCCATGTGCGGGCGAGGGTTAATATTTGAAGGAAAGAAATCGCAAATAGGGAATATCAAAGTTCATTGAATTAGCCATCAACCCATGGGGCAACGATCCTTCAGCGTAAATGGAAGTGGTCTAAAACTGACATTTTCTGAACCGTTGCACTTGCGTACTCTTACCATATGGGGTGTGTAAGAGTACGCACGCCAGGCGGGTGGAGTACGCAAGCATATGAACACACACCTATGCAGCTTGCACTGTCCAAATGCTTAACTTCAAACTCAGAAGGCATTTAAGTTAATTCTAGTATCCAAAAAGAAAAACATAAAATAAATCTTTCAAGTCTATAAATCAGGAAATAATCATGTCGTGTGTTTCTTAAAAAAATGCACAATCAAAAAGGAGAATAACTCGTATTTGGAAGAATTTCGGGTACGCATCTGCATCACAGTGCTCCATTGATGATATACCTCAAAACAAACGTCATTGAGCGATAGCTTAATAATTCTATATTTCTGTATATTCGATTTAATGTGTAATTCTGCGTACTCTTACCCTCCTGAACAGTGCGTCCTCTTACCGTACATGCAATTCGCGCACAAAACAACCCCGAAACGTTGTGCAAAACTTCGCAAACAGAATATTGCACTGTACAGTATTTCCCCAGATAATCTCACAAGTTTCCCACAACAATCACGGAAATGTACCTTATCTCAACTGCCAAGTATCAAAATTATTGTACCATATCATAATAATATCATAACGCTCGAAAATTATATTCATCGCCTTAAACTCAACAGCGTCGCCGCTCAACGCCCACGTTCCGTTGGTGACATGCACGCACTAACGGCTTCATGTCACTTCATGAACTCGACAAACCCGCGTTGCTAAGCAACCGAAACAGCTGATGCGTACTCTTATCGCCCGCGTACTCTTAAGCCGGGTTCACACCGGTTTTCCGGTCCGGAAAAATTCCGTCTGCCGGGCCGGCACCAAAATGTTGAAATTGTCGCTAGATGTCAAAAAAGTCGCTAGAACCGGAAAACCGGAAAGTCGAGCCGGAAATGTCATAATCATCAACCATCAAGTACGATAAGTAGGTACCAAGCAATCTCGCGAATTATTTTGAAATCGAACATACTTGTGTGACGGCTGTACAAGTCCCTGATGCAGTTCCACCCAACCGAAAATCATCCATACTTCACTGGTATGTATATTAGCAAGATTAATACAATTTAACATTTACAGCATGCGGGCTGGGTATCGACAAAAAGACACTAATAAATTTCAATCACGCTTTGGCTGTTGTTGGTTTAAAAACACTTGCGAACAAAGAGGAATTGAGGGCTGGGCAGGGCGCATTAGAGACGGCGAGCTTGATATTACGCTTGCTGATGTAGATGGCTGGGTCTCAAAATCGGTCATCTGTCACTGAACTCTACTGCCATAACCCGCGCCCCGCTGGGGTCCCAAATTTCCACGCCTTGCTGGTGGGGGTGTTTAACACCCCCCCCTTTTAACTCGGCTCCTGGGCCACGTAGCGATACGGGGAAGGCGGCGTTCGAAAGAGCGTCAAAATTAATGACGAAATTAATTCGGTCACTTTTTTTGGTCAAATCAAAGGTCAGGTCACCAGAGGTAATGGAAAGCCGAATTTCACCGATTTTCAGGTCGAATGTCGACGATTTACAACAAGCCAACGCATAACTTGGCATCAATTTTCTCCCATTGACTTATAATGGGGGGGGGGGTCACAAAATTGACCTGACCTTAGGTCACCGATATCAAAATTCCGAGATAGTTATTTATTTAAATTGTGTACATATTGTTGCCCTTATCAATCGCTGAGAGTTTCAAAGAGGTCGGTCGCTCGATGTAGCATATGGAAGACGTTGAAACTTTGTATGAGGTGAGGTCACTTGAAGTGACCTGGTGACCTGACCTTAAGTGACCTTGGTCTACAATTTTTACATGTGCAGAAAAGATGCATGATAAGGTGTGCCAAAAACAGCCGCCGTTTTTGAGATGTTCGCGAAAAATCACAGGTAGGGTTCAAATATCCCCCCCCCCACCCCCACCCCCAGCAGGGCGCGGGATAATATCCTTGGCATAGTACCATCGTATTTCCTGAATCTTCTACTTGCGATTGAATGGCAAAACTGTCTCCACCCTCCCGAGCTGCTATGTGCTTGTGTAGGAGGGCATCGAGGGCAGAGAAGTGTTGTCAGCGCGTCTTGTAGAATGTAGATTTCAGAATCTGCTCGGCTGGCTCCACTTCGTAGACGACGGAAGTTAGCAATACGTACATTGTGCTACCTGTCCTGCGGCCGGCTCCAGCGCTTGATAATCTCTTCTGCAGATACTGGCTCCGCTCCTTCTACAACCAGCGCGTCCGCAATGTTGTTCCACAAATTCGCCCTTTTCACCGCTTCCTTATAATATTTATCTTTTTTATTATAAAGTCATGGATATTTTCCAACCAATTAAATAAATTTATAATTTGAAAAGGCCATGAGTCATGTGAAATACAAAAACAGATATGTAGCTATCACTCCGTTTGAGATGCAAATGTTTTGAAATAAAAATGAAACGCCGTCAAATTTACGCTTGAATTTCATATTCTCGTGAAAAATCGCGAGACTATTAGGGCACCGTTGGTTAAATTGGTCCTGTAGCGCTGAAACATAACATTATTTCCCTCGTGCCTTAATTTCATATCACAAACGGTGGCTATCCGGCAAGGCAAAAGTTGAGATGATTTCAACTTTTTGCCGGACCGGAAAATCTGGCTCTCCGGCCTGCCGGACCGGTCAAAAGAAGTTGCCAGATTTGCCGGTTCACACCAGTTTTCAATTTTCCGGCACGGAATTGGCCATTTTTCCGGCCCGGCAGACGGAATTTTGCCGGTCCGGAATCCGGTGTGAACCCGGCATTACCCGCCCTTACCCTACAGCTGGGACCAACACAAAGCTTTGCGCAATACGCAATGTTCTGAGCAACTTTGCGAATTCATACGTTGCTGAGTGGAAAACAAAATACCCGTTCAAAACATGAGCCAATAACATAGGCAGTACGGTAATACGGTAACATACGGAGCAAGCAACACGGAAGCAATAGTATAAGTTTCCTGGGTAAATAAATTTGGAGGCTTCCTCAGATATATAGATGAACATAAATTCAAATAAAAAGTCGCCTTACTTGCAAGTGTAACCACACCACACAGCAAACGACACATAAATACGGGACAACCGTAAGAGAAGTTAGCTGTAAGTTAGTCATAAGAACTTTGGTAAGCAGGCTCCCCTTCAATTTTTAATAACGAAAGCTGTAAACTAGACATCACTTGTCCACAAACATACAGCCACTTCCTTCTGCTACTATCGTGATAATCACGACGACAGGGCCTGGACCAGCTACTTCGGGCATTCAAGGTACCCACTAATCAAAATACGACCTTGGTCCACTTGTTGCTCACTTCCCGCTCTCTTGAGTTGCACATGAAAACGCCCACTGTGGCTTGCAAGGCTGGACTGGGTTGAAACTTAGCGGGCCGATGAGTTGGAAACTAGCTGCATAGGAACTGGCATATTTATTTATTTATTTATTTATTTATTTATTTATTTATTTATTTATTTATTTATCTATTTCAAAATATCGCTAAAAAGCAGCACCGTAACTCATACGTAACTCATACCATCTGCCATGGACTCGAGTGCTATGCCGATGAAAGCCAGCCCTCCTACATATGACGTCATTGTGACGTCACTCTACCTGCTGCCGGGTACCGACGTGGCGTGCCGATGCAGACAGCTCTCCTACATATGACGTCATTTTGACGTCATCCCTACCTGCTGCCGGGTACCGACGTGGCGTGCCGATGAAGACAGCTCTCCTGTAGGCTCTGTGTGATGGCGTGAGAAATCAGCCACGCGTCAATCATTTGACGAGAGGCTTTCCTGAAAAAGAGAAGACGGGTCAGACAAGGAAAACAAGACACAGATAGGGAGGGAGGGAGAGAGAGAGAGAGAGAGAGAGAGAGAGAGAGAGAGAGAGAGAGAGAGAGAGAGAGAGAGAGAGAGAGAGAGAGAGAGAGAGAGAGAGAGAGAGAGAGAAAGAGAGAGAGAGAGAGAGAGAGAGAGAGAGAGAGAGAGAGAGAGAGAGAGAGAGAGAGAGAGAGAGAGAGAGAGAGAGAACAAGGGAGGAAGGGAGAGAAAAGGAGAAGGAGGAGACACGCGAAACAAATGGAACAGAGTAAAAGTGCAGACGAGGAGGCGAAACAGGAACCAGGGAAAGGGCCATGAAACACAGTAACCATGCTCAGAACCATGAATAAGACTGCACCGTCCGGCAACCTTTAACAGTTGATTGCTGACGGACCATTGCTCTCACCATTAATACAACCTCGGGGTCATTCCCCTCTCGATTATATCTTGATTGCCCAGCAAGCTTATAACGTAAGTATCTCATTATGGCTAATTTGATGAGATGACTGCGAACCCAGCGCTCTAACACAGCTGTAGAATATTAAACAAAATTACCGTTCACTTCAACCACTTACTAGAAGATGAATATTTTGTGAGAGAAAATCCCTTACTAAACCTCCTTCAAGCATTCAGTAAACAACATATAGCAAACAATAAACAAACATATAAGCCTATGTAAGCAAACAAAAACTGATACGGCAAAAATTATACGCATACTCAACCCCGTCGACTAACCTCATGAAGAAATCCTTGGTAAAGTCGGGATGCTCGTCCAACCAGGCCTCGACCTCTGCCGGCTCCACATCCGCGGGCAGTCGAGACGGTTCATTTGCCTCCCGGGCGTCCTCATCACCGCCGGCGCCCTCGGCGACGCCCTCTAGGACGCCCGCGGCGCCCTCACCATACCGGGCGCCCTCGACTTGACGCGACTGCGCCTCGGCGCCCCGAAGGCGAGTATGAGATGCGTCATCTGGCGCTGCGTGAGCGTTGTGCGCCCCGGGCGTCAGGGGCGCCGGGGGCGCCGCTTCCTGCAGACGAGCTGTACAGGAGTCCGTTGGAGGCGAGGGAGGGGGTGGCGGGGGAGGCGGACTGCCCGCTCGGAGTAGACAACAGTCCGAGTCGCGGCCAGTACGACTCGAGTCGCGGCCAGTACGACTCGAGTCGTGACTCGAACGGGACGAGCAGAGGTGGTTTTCTGAGCTGATGTCCGTCGTTTGCTGAGCTGAGAGCACGCTTAGATCGGGCGCCCGCCATACTGCAATGAGACACAATGGTGCACATGGTCAGAAAATATATATTACACGCTCAGATCGGGAGCCCGCCATACTGGAAAGAGACAGAATGGTGCACACGGTCAGAAAATATATATTACACACTCAGATCGGGCGCCCGCCATACTGCAATGAGACAGAATGGTGCACACGGTCAGAAAATATATATTACACGCTCAGATCGGGCGCCCGCCATACTGCAATGAGACAGAATAGTGCACACGGTCAGAAAATATATATTACATGCTCAGATCGGGCGCCCGCCATACTGCAATGAGACAGAATGGTGCACATGGTCAGAAAATATATATTACACGCTCAAATCGGGAGCCTGCCATACTGGAAAGAGACAGAATTGTGCACACGGTCAGAAAATATATATTACACGCTCAGAAGTCGGGATCTCGCTACTGGAAAGACACAGACACATTACTGGAAAGACACAAAGTAGTGCACACGGCCAGGATTAAACGATCAAATCGAGGGCCCAAATGATCAAATGATACGCAATGAGGCAATGAGACAATGAACAGAAGTGTGACAATGCTGAAATGAGACAAAATAGTGCACAAGATCATGAAATGTGTAGATAACACACTTTTGGGTAAAGTGTTGTAAACCATGAGAAAGCACAGTGCATGCGATCACAAAAAAGGTGCGTTGCATACAACTAAGGATGGGAGACCTGAACAACACAGTGCACACGGTCAAAGTAAGAGAGGTTTCAAATCAGATCTGGCACCCTGCACACTGGAATGAGACAGCAAAGTGCACACGGTCAGAGAAGGTGCAAAGTCCACTCTCAGCTTGTCTGTTTATTGTTTATAATCTGCATGGAGACGGCACAGTGCACACGGTCAAAAGTGGACGCCCCGTCACAGTAACGTACTGCATCTGTAATGAGACAGCACACTGCACACTGTACACACAACACAAATTATATGTAAATATCTTATATCAATAAAACCAAATATAGGTCAGCAATAGCCTTCCAAGAAGCCTTCTCAAAATAGGAAATGGCAATTCTGACCACAAATGCGACACCAAGTTGCAGCTTCAAAGCCGTTGCTATTTTTGAATAAGCTGTCGAAGCTTTGCGACACGCAATCTTATGCAAAGAATTGTCCGGCGTCTGCCAGGAAAAAATAAAACAATCATGCCAGGAATGTGATAAATGTCAATTAAACTATTACCAAAATCCTTCGCTCAGCGTTTAAAAGTCGTTGGGTTTCATAAGAACAGGTTTTGACCAATCCTGGAAAATGTCACAGGATATGATTACCGAGCTATAACCCTCGCCCGCACATGCCATTTTCCCATCCTAGAACGCACATGGGGGGGGGGGTGGTTGCCACCCCCCCCGCGCCATTTCGTTCCTGTTGGAGATAGAGCTTAGCGGTAAAGACCAAAAAGATTCTTTGGGAAAAGACGAATCCAATGATACCCAGTTTTACCTTCTCAGGTCAGTCATTGACCTCCCAGGTCAGGTCAAACTAAAAAATGTTGCTGTTTTGGGTCACCGTTGGATATCAAGTGCGCTGCTTATCAAATACCGATGACGATGCTGTTTTCTGGTGCCGAGCCAGCTAGAACCTCTTTGTCACACTACCCGACCAGAATTTTGCTGCTGAGGTCATTTCAGGTCAAGTTAGGTCAAGGTCAATTATATGTGTATGTATGTCTGTGTGTGTCTGTGTGTATACTGATGTGTGCACCGATTGTTTTTGGGTCCATATTACATGAAATCATGATCTGAGAAGCTTTTACCAAAAATGCAATAAAAAAACTTCACAAAAAGTAAATTCGGCTTGCCTAAAACGCAATTATCTTGGATGACCTAGGTTGACCTTGACCCTGACCTTGACCCCTGTACATCGTCGAACAACATGTTCCATGATAGGTGGGAGGTAAGACTGGCAAAAAAGGCCGAAATCAGGGTGTCAAAAGCTCACAAGGCCCATGGCAAACGCGATGTTGAGAATTGGCCATTTGGGTCATGACATGACCTCAAAAACAAGGTCATATCTCCGAAACCAAAAATCACAGAAACTTGAAATTTTCAGTGGACATCAAGAAACGATAGAGGAGCAGCTATGCGAAAAATCAGCTTTCTAGCTCTAAAAATGTTGAGTGCAGAGCAGAAAGACTGCCTGGGGGGGTGGCAACCACCCCCCCCATGTGCGGGCGAGGGATAATATAGTGACTGTATGAAAGGCTCATTGTCCAGAGCGAGCCATAATCAGTAACCGCAGTGGCGTATCCAGGGAGGAAAGACAACAGGGTAATGTTTTGTGAACACGTACCTAATTATGCACCACGTCTACCAAAGTTATTGAATCGCATGATTTGTGTAAAAGCCGCACCTTGATACACCTATGTCAGATATTGATCACGGAGGGATTAAAACAGGCTCTTCATTGTGCTGGTCAGTATTTAACAGAACCGGGTTTACAGATCCGGCGATGGATGCAGAAGAGAGGCTGACGGCGGGCGAAAGTTATCGCGTAATGGACCGAATAATGGCCGTTTTCACGACGGCCATCTGGTACACATTTGGTGCAGATTAGGTGCAGATTTGGTTACATTAGGTTAAGTGTGTTTTTCAAGAGTCATCAGTTTGGGTTGCAAAGATGCTGATATACCTAACCTACCTCATTTTTTTTTTTTTTTTTTTTTTTTATTCAGGCCTCCCTCCAACGGGCTCGTATGGTCCCAATTACAGGAGGGCTCCTCCTCCTCCCGGCCCTCATTACCCACCCCCCAGGCTACGGCTGAAGTGGGAGCCTACCCCACACCTGGTGACACAGCCGGGGACGACGCCCGCGGAACGGGCGGAACCGGGAATCGAACCCGAATCCGGCACCGCCCGCACCGCGGGTCGACGCCTTAACCGACTGCGCCACCAGGGCCGCAGTCGGTTAATTTTTTAAATTACCAGACATTTTCGATTAAAAATGAAAATCATGATATGAACTATGAAGATATAAATATTCATTGTAAAAGAGACTTGGTGCAGTTGAGGTCAAATAAGGTGCATTCACTAGATAGCCCGTTGTGAAAACAGCAAATGCCTCGTACTCTCGCGTATCGATTCGCCAAAATGATTCCATGCAGGGAAATGCACGGCACACATGATCAAAATGTATACAATCCCCTAACTAACCAAAAACAAGGCACTCATATTAGGATTAATAAAACTACAATTCATAATCCTACAACAATGCAACTCTCGAAAGCAAACAATAAGACAATATGGTATATCCAGGAATGTTTTAGAAAACCTGTTCTGGAGACAGTTATCACACAATGCCTCGCGATTTTCGCCGGAACTATTTACCAGTTTGCCACATGATTTCAGAGAAAAAGAAAGCCAACTGGTTCATAAGATCAGAGTCCATGTTATCGCCAAATCTAAAGAAATCCAATGGGTCAAGTACCCTGGGCTGAAAAAGTCAGCACGGGAGATCAGCCAAATATTTCTGATGGCAACTATGTTTGTCCATTTCGTTGCCGGTTAGGATTTTAAAATGAATAGATCCAACGCCAGAATTACTTATTCGGTGTATTATGAACCAACTGCACAGCAAGCTCAGCCTCAGATTGTGGACAAACGACTGAAACTTAAGTTTCACTCTCTTCAGCTGTATTCCAGCATTCTGACAGTTTGGGTCCCAGTTTTAGCCACCAATATCTATCACATAGCATAGCTATCAGCTTATCAAATATATCTGACAGAGTTATACGCCCCCTTTATTTGATCGCTATCATTGTGATCTGTTCTCTGCGCGTAATATGGTTGGTGGGTTGACCTATAACGTTATCGACGATCAGCCTGATAAAACCAGCACCGTGTTGACACGGATTTGCGGTACACCAGGTCAATGACCTTTCATGACGCGGGTCATTGAGCGTCGAGCATGCATATCGGTCCTCCTCTCTCTCTCTCTCTCTCTCTCTCTCTCTCTCTCTCTCTCTCTCTCTCTCTCTCTCTCTCTCTCTCTCTCTCTCTCTCTCTCTCTCTCTCTCTCTCTCTCTCTCTCACTCTCTCTCTCTCTCTCTCTCTCTCTCTCTCTCTCTCTCTCTCTCTCTCTCTCTCTCTCTCTCACACACACACACACTCTCCACTCTCTCTCTCCTTCTCTCTCTCTCACTCTCTCTCCCATCCCTCTCTCTTCCCTTCTTCCCGCTCTCTCAATACCATTCCCAAACAACAATACGCTTTTAGTGACGTCAGCATCCATGGACGGTACAAGGCCTACTATACCACCTCCACCTCCCCCTCACCCTCCCTCCCTCTCCCTCTCTCTCCCTCCCCCACCCCTGTCCCTGATGGTCCCACTGGGCTCCCATCCAATCAGAGCCAGGCTCAGAGCGGGATCTACAAGGATTGAAGCTGGCTCAGCATTGGGGGATACTTGGGGTGTGGGGAGGGGATATTTGGGGGGTTATTATGGGAGTCATTCCAGTTTTGATGTTGGCTACTTTCTCATATTGGATAAATGTGTGTCTGTGATAAATGAAAAGTAATATTAAATAATATCACCGGATATGGATTTTTAAATCACATGGAGATAACGACAAAGTTTGCAATTTCATCAGAAAGACGTACTTTTCATTTCAATTCACTCTGGTAAGATTGACTAGCGCCATATCTTGTCCTTGGCTGGGTTTGACATTGTTGACGCTTGTGGATGGCAGTTAGGAGGAGGTGGGGAGGGGGGTGAGGGGTGGATGTTATCCATTACCCTGACTGCGACACACCCAATACCCAGACCAAATGGCTTACCCCTCTCCCCTATTGGTAAACAGGACCGTGGAGTGCTACATTTAGTACGGGATATGATCACACCATCCCATCGACGGTCGTACGGGAAAAGAGATCCAAAAATAGATCACGATCGTACGGGAAAAGGTGTCCAAACATAGATCCACCATCCACCCTCGCATGAAGGCCCGATCTGACTGATCGCAGATTCCTCTAACG